TTTCTTCTTCAGCAAGGTGTATATAATTCCCTGACACAGATACGGCCTAAAATCTCTTGGTTCCTCCTTCACAAGTTCTTGATAAAGCTTCAATGCTTCACTATGCTTTCCTTCGATGACCCGAATTTGCGCCACGAGTAGCTTAAAATCCCGAAGATCGTTATCATTACTCTCCTTTTTGCACTTCAACATTGCTTCCTCAATTCTATTCTCAACATCTTTCAAATCAAGACCTGCATCGGAATAGGCCATAAGCAAGCCGTGATAAGCTTCAACACGAAGCGGATCTTTAGCCAGAATCTCTTCAAATCCAGTTTTCGCTAAGTCTAGATCTCCACTGTAGGTAAAGATGTTGGCTTTCAAAACTGGCCATTCTTTTTCATCAGGTTCCAATTTTATCAAACGATCGATCACTTCTACGGCTTCTGTAAGCTTTCGGGATCTGATCTTTACCTCCATCAAAGAACGAAGAGCGTCTACATCAGCAGGGTGAGAAACCAAATGCTCGTCAAGCGCTCTCTCTTCTTCTTCCAAGGTAACGTTTTCTTTGCTCTCAACTGACGGCGGAGGCGCGACCGGAGCTGCAATCGCCGGAGATTTGAGCTGGAGATTCGCCAAAAGCAGCGCTGCGGCGGTTGTTAAAGTGATGCATGTGGATTTGAAGAGACGAAAAGGTGTGGACTTTGGGGGAGGGGTTACAGCGTCTTGAAATTTGGAGGACGAAGCTTTGATTGAAGCGCATTTGGAAGATAGAATTGGTCGGATTGAGGCTCTGAAGAAGTTCTTAGGGAACGATGACGAAGAGGTGTGGTGAGTGAAGGAAAGGTGAAACGGCTGGTGATGGAGCTGTAGCGTCCCTAGAGACTCCATGATTGCGGAAAGAGATAGATAAACCCTAAAAACCCCTGAACTGTAAAAGAGATGAACTGATTAGGTGAAGAAGAAGAAGAAGATCAGGCCTTCGAGTCCGAATATTCTCTCACCGCTTCTGCTCTATACGGCGCCGTTTGGTCTTTGATTTGACTTGCACTGCGCTTTAACCTATCCAAAAGCAAGTACATGTGTTTCAGATTGATTCTACTGCAAGCTGAACACATTTAGAACACACTTTTTTGGTGTAAGTAACTGTAATAACTCTTACAACCGCCATGGAGCAACACACTTTGTGGTGTAAGTAACTGTAATAACCCTTACAACTGCCATGGCTCAACAACAGTTGTGGGCGGGAAACGATTCCAAGAATCCAAAACAACAACAGACAAGAAAAATAAGGCACAAACCTTTCTCCCTTTCTTTCATTTCTATACATACATGAAATTATATGATCAAAGGCTACAAAAACTCAGGAAAATGAAGGATACACAGAAACTGCAGATTTATCCAAACATCATCTGCTGTTTCTTCTTCTTCTTCTTTCAGTTCTTGTGATTATATAAAAATGGGTGGGGGCTTGGGTTAAAGGGTATACTTTGTTCCCGGTTTCTTGTGAAAAAGGGGTGGTTCAGTGCTTCTCTTGCCTTGAACCTTTCTGATGGATCATATCGAAGCAGCCCTTGTATTAGATCTATCAGATCACCAGCCGAGTGATCCACATGCTGCATTATCAGATTCTGCAAAATGCCAACAAAAATAGTGTCCCTATTTCAATTTTACAGATACACGAATATCAAGTGTTGAAGTTACGTAATTGATTTCACTCAAAGACTATTTACCGGTAACCGGGGAAGTTTCCATACTGCTTTTAAGCTGTCTCTTGATGTCGCACCTTCAGGCCAATCTAACTTTGCACCTCGTTTGAAGTATTTCTCAGAGCGCCGGCTGCAAGAACCATTTTGAGATTGATATAAGAAATTACAGTTCAATTTATTTTCAACGGCTGCTAATACGAAAATCTTGTTGTTCTTACTCAGCTCTGAGCACCATATGATGAGGCAATGGTCCTAAGACTCTTTCCATCATGGCCAAATGCTCCAAGTTTTCATGCGTTTGGAAAAGCGCCTCTCCCTGCAAGTTTTATCCAGAAGAAATGTTAATGAAGACATGGTGAGATGAATACTAGTGTACTAAATAATACGTAAGCAGAAAGTTACTCACAGAACAAAGTTCAACAAGTATGCAACCAATACTCCACAGATCACATGGATAGTTCCACCCAACCCCTGTGATAACACATTCCAAAATATTAAAAACCTATAGTTATACAAAAAAATCATGTGTCAAAGTCATAAACGTTTACCTAGGATAACTTCTGGTGCGCGATAATGCCTTGTGGATACAATGTAGTTATGGTCTTGATGTTCAAAAGTTGTACTTCCGAAATCAATAAGCTTGATGGCACTCGACTTGGGCAGGTTCTTGAAGTATGACCCATCTTTGGTGGGTCGTGATAGAAACTAGATTTTCATGACAATAAAGGAAAAAGGTCAACCTACTTGAGTTGTACAAGTTACTTCACGGATGGACACCACAAAATCCCTGAACCTAAATGAGTCCAGCTTGGGGATGATTGATTACTAACCTTATAATCAGGTATTTTGATATATTCAGATGATACCAGAAGAATGTTCTCCGGCTTCAAATCCGTGTGAATCAGCCGTAAGTCATGCATATCTGTCAGATAGAATGAACAACGTCTGAGAACACTAATAAACAGAAGTATCCAGACATAACTGTTTGAGCAATATGAATTCCATGGAAATTGCAGTAATTAAATGAGAAACATTGAGTAATAACTATTTACACCTAAGTCTTATATCAAATAAGTTTCAAAGGTAAATTTCTTAACACTAATGGGACTATTATATAGAAGAATGGGTCAAGAATAGTCCACACACATGCTACAGACTCCAAAAGTTGTCTGCCAAGCTCCCGAACAAGGTCAATGGGAAATGAACGGTAGCTGTTTTTCCGAAGAAAATCATATAAGCTTGGTCCAAGCTTCTCAAATACCTGTTGAAACCATTTAAACCCATCCGCAAGTTCTTATAACTCACATAATATTTGGGCATGAAGGAAATTGTATTTTTCCTCAAACTTATCAAGTAAAAGTATCAGTACTTACAATACAAATATGATTACGATAGTCAAACCAATTCCGTATTTGCACACAACTGCAAAGAATTGAAAAGCTTATACGAAATGCAATAAATTGAACACCAACCAAGAATTAGTAAGAGGAAAGAAATATTCTTACCGTGAACCACCAACGTCATGCCTTGTAAGCCTTTGCAACACGTCAATTTCTATCATGGCAGCTTCACGATACTTGTTAATGGACCGTATAACTTTGATTGCCACGACTTCTTTGTTTTTATTATCAAAACATTCCAATACTTGTCCAAATGTACCTGCCAAAATACAATCCAACGGATTATAAAAATACCCACTTTGAAATTAGGGAACCCTGCTTTTGACTTAGAGCATGCATTTTGAGCAGAAAAGACAAGCAGAATACACTAATCACAATGACGATATAAACATGTAAGTAAGAGATAAACAAACCTTCACCCATTTTGCTGAGAATTTGATCTGCACACACAATAGAAGAGGCATGTCAGAGTAACGTACTTAACCTCCATGAGATACTCGGTGAAACAGATAAGATGTCGAAAGACTTTTGACTCACATCGTGGAGTCAAAGTATCTCCAACAACAAAGACATAATGTCCATCTTTATCATCTGGTCTCCAGGGAGGAGAGCCCTGACGAGGAAGGCCATTATAGAACATGTTTGGATAAACAAAATTGGGAACAACTCCACTCGCAAACTCAGGAGCATAGTACAACGGAGGTTGAAATACCTGGAAAAAAAACACACACACACCAGCTGAAACTTAGCTTAAGCACTCAAAAAAAAGTCATAATTTTAAAGTAGTCAACACAAATCGCAGTATCATCGAAGATCGGAAACAGAGACAAATGAGTAAAATCCAATTACAAACGACCTGAGCTATGGAAAAGTACAAAAGAAGAGCTCTTTGATACCAATACAAAAAGAAAAACATATATGGAAAATTCAATTACCGCCGGCGGAGGAGGAGGAGGGGGAAGAAGAGGAGCAACATCCCAAGCCAATCGCGGCCGCTTCCTGGGACGCTTATCGGCGATCCTATGAGGGAATTCAACATTCCTCTGAGTTTCCAAGATCATCGCGATCGAGCTAGCTTTATCACGATGCACACTGCTTTGCATAAAGGCTTATATAAAAAACGCAAATCCAGAGCTGAAATTCAAAAAGAACACCCAGATATGAACAGAGAGAGAATTGTGACTGAATTTCGAATCGAATTAACGAGGATGAGATTCCGAGATTTCGAAACCCTAATAATCTTCGATTTGGGGAGGATCTATCTCACAAAGATAACTAAAAAAGGTGGGAAAAGTAACAGAAAAAAAATATATAATAAAAAAGCACAAGTAATGTAGCTAAAAAAACTAACCGCAAATCTCTCTTACACAGATTGAATTAAACGAGAATTGAACACTGCCGTAAAATTTTGAATCTTCGGAATTCAGATCGGAGATTAAAAAAAATGCTCACTCAATCTGGAATTGGAAAAAAAATCTCAGGAGAATAAAAATATTTAACAGCGAAAGAGACTGATTAGAACAGAGAGAGAGAGCGAAGCTAAGGAAGAGAACGGCGAAGGAAAGAGAGAGGCTTTGGAAGTTTTTAATGGGCTTTTTACTTTTTAGTAAGGCCTCCATTAGAAATAAATATGTATACGTTGACTGAAAGAACCACATGATGTTTATTATTTGTTCATGGGAGGACGACACGGAGTGCAGTTGTTGAATATATAAAGAGCACGATGTTTATACCAAAGTCTCTCCCAATGATGGGCTTTATTTATTCAAGCCTTTTTCAATTAAAACCCGTCGATTAAAGAACAACGACATGGAGTTTATTATTTTTCAGGAAAGAGAACGACGTCAAGTTCTGTTGTTGAAAATTAGAACAACGCGATGTTTTCTACGAAGTCTTTTAATATGGGGGAGAGTCGTTGAACAAAGGAAAATTCTGAAAGCAGCAATGGAGATAGCCGCCGTAACTAGCACTGTCTCCGTCGCGCCGCAGTCGCGTCTATTGTCGAATGCGTTCTCCAGGAAGCTAGGATCTATATCCTCTCTTTCGTTCGGTTTCTTCGAGAAAGAATATTGCTTTAAGAGCTCTAGGCTTTGCGTGTCTGCTACAGCCTCCATGGACGCCGTCACTGCCGAGAAAACCTCTCAGGCGTCGAGTTTTCTCAACAAGAAAGAGACCGGAATTCTTCATTTTGTGAAGTACCATGGCCTCGGCAATGACTTCATATTGGTACTTTTTGTTCTCCATTGAACTCTCAATATGTAAATTTGACCTGAAATGTATAAATTTTTATAAATGTTTTCAAATTTTTGTCCTTTTTGGGAATTGGGTTTTGTAGGTGGACAACAGAGACTCATCGGAACCTAAGATTACTCAAGAGCAGGCTTCGAAGCTGTGCGATCGAAACTTTGGTGTTGGTGCCGATGGAGTGATTTTTGCAATGCCAGGAGTCAATGGTACTGATTACGCAATGCGGATATTCAATTCAGATGGTAGTGAACCAGAGGTGGGGTTTTATTTTATATGATATAAGTCTATTTATTTTGGAGTTGATTGAGTGATTTATAGTTGCGCTTGAAGTCAGTGGCTTTTGATAATGTTCTTGTAGATGTGTGGCAATGGAGTTCGATGCTTTGCTAGGTTCATTGCTGAGCTTGAAAATCTGCAGGGAAAACATAGGTATCTATATCTGTTTAAGAAACATTTGTTGAGAGTTCTTAACTAAGTCATGCTTGAAATAATCTCTAAACTCTTCTTTATCTATTTGGATAGTTTTACAATACATACCGGTGCTGGCTTGATTGTTCCAGAAATTCAAGATGATGGACAGGTAAATCATTTGGATTGATGTCTTGTATTAGCTTTAGCCGTATTCATGATGATGAGTAAGGTAAAGTTTGAGTTTTTATCCTTTTTCTCGTTGTTTGCAAGTTGTTTACTGCATTGTGATTGATATGGGCACAGGTTAAGGTTGACATGGGGACACCAATTCTTAAAGCACAAGATGTGCCCACGAAGTTGCCTGGGAACAAAGGTGAAGCTGTTGTTCAGGCAGAGCTAGTTGTTGATGGAGTAAGCTGGAATGTGACGTGTGTTAGTATGGGCAATCCTCACTGTATCACATTTGGTAAAAAGGGTGGCCCGGTGCGTGTTTGCTTGCTGAACTTTTTGTTATAGTATTTGTTTACACATGGAATTTCTCATTATTTGTAATTTACTTAATGTCAACCAGAGCCTGAAAGTTGATGAATTGAACTTACCAGAGATTGGTCCAAAGTTCGAGCATCATGAAATGTTCCCGGCTCGAACTAACACTGGTTAGTGGAGATTCATCTGCAGAACAGCAAGACTTCTCTATTATATTTGGATTTATACTCCTTAAGTACTATTCCTTGCATTTCTCTGCAGAATTTGTTGAGGTCTTATCACGTTCTCACTTGAAAATGCGTGTGTGGGAGCGCGGAGCAGGTCAGCTAACTCCCCTAAGTCTTCGAATATAATTCTTTGTTGATTATTAACCGTCTCTGTATTCTTATATACTCAATGCTTAAGCATACTTAAAATTGTAGGAGCAACTTTGGCCTGCGGAACTGGAGCTTGTGCTCTGGTTGTTGCCGCAGTCCTTGAAGGTCGAGCCAACAGGGTAAGTTTGGAAATTTCAGAACTAAAAAAACTAGATATCAGTATGCACATGAATCATGATAGGTTAGGGAAAAACATGTGTCATGTGTAACAGAAAATTGGACTAGCGTTTTTATGCTCTTCTTATGAAACCTGCTGTTGCAATGATGGTCAGATGATTTTATTGGTAGGCGATTGATGAGATTATGATCTTACTAAGTAGTTTTCATTTCTTGTATATTCATTTGAGCTTAAATAAACTTCATGTCTTGTGGGAGAATCTTGTATTCCTTTTTTTCACTCTCACTTACTACTACGGGGTTTATACCTCCATAGAGATGTGACAGACACAAATGTTATGAGCTGCATGAGGTTATACACATACATGTTGGCCTTGAGCCCCTCATGTATTTTTGTATTGGTTTTTGGTGGAACAGAAATGCACTGTGGATTTACCAGGGGGACCGTTGGAAATAGAGTGGAAACAGGAAGACAACCATATTTACATGACCGGTCCTGCAGAAGCTGTTTTCTACGGCTCAGCACTGCTCTAATGGGCCTTCACAGTCGATGACTTGTCCTCTCACTGTTGTTGTTCTTTTGGGGTCTGTGTTCTAATCCAAGCGTACTAAGCTGCTACCTGTCCCGCCTAGATTGTGTTTCATGGATTTGTTTATGCACTTCTATTGTTTTCAGAGTAAAATTCCAAACCTTTTGAATTGTTGCATTTGTGTTCATAATTTAAATCTTTTTTCATTTCGAAGGCCGTGGTTGTACATAAAAGACATGGATTTAAGACTTGAGAGAATGTATACATAAATAACATCTATAGAGAATACAAAAACACATGTATACATGAATCTGGAATTTTTATCTCTGGTTAGAGTAAATACAACAGAAGTTGTTTCATAATATCTCCTAAACATAATAATACAACTCTCATTTTGAAGTTAGCCTATCTCACACAAAGATCTGTCAACGAGGTTTTACTGTGTGGAAAAAGCCGCTGTCTAAGTCACTGCCAGGAAGTAAAGACAATGGGGAGGGTACAGAAGTAGAAGATGATGGCGATGTTTTGGTGCAGAGCAATTTCGTTGTTTCTGAAAACATATCAGGTTCAAGCACAGATTGGCAAATACCTTCAAGTTCCTTCACCACTTTTGACATTGGCGGTCTCGTCTCTGGTCTATCCTCACAACACCATAACGCCAATTCCGCCAACTTCTTCACTTTGTCGGGCGAATATTGTCCCATCCGACTATCCGCCACTGACAGAACCGTTCCACATTCATATGCCATCCTCGCCTATATCATATTGTACATCAAAAGCTCTTAAATAAAAGTGTTGAATGATTCAGGAAACAGTAGTCATACAAGTCCCAGATTTAGCTAGCTCCATAACCAGTTTTTCGTGGGAGCTCAGTCAAGAAAAGTACCTCGCGGATAATATGTGTACCCTCAAAGAATGGGTGCATTCCAGTTAAAAGCTCAAGCAAGACTACTCCAAAGCTGTAAACATCGCTCTTCACCGTCAATTGCTGAGTCATGAAGTACTCTGGATCCAGGTATCCCTGTGCAGATATAAATTCTCAAAATGTTATATCCTAGAGCAAAAGCATGTTCTGTTTTGTCAAAAGCCACAGGTTATACGTGATCAAAATATCCATTAGTTTGCTAGTTTGGAACTCACCGGTGTTCCTCTCACTACTGTGGATACATGGGCGGGCTCAACATCTCCCTCCCCAAAAGCAGGAGCCAAGCGTGACAATCCAAAATCAGCAACTTTGGCATGCAGCTGGCAATCCAAGAGTATATTGCTGGTTTTGATATCGCGGTGGATAACAGGCGGATTTGCTTCAGTGTGAAGGTAAAGAATCCCTTTAGCTGAACCCAAAGCCACATGTGATCTCATGCTAAAGCTCAATGTGTCCATAGCATTAGCTGCATCATAATGTAAAACCACTGAAACATTTGCATTGATGTGGAAGCAGATAGGAAAAAAGTTGGAGATAATGCTAGTTCTTAAAAAAATCTTGAAGGTATATAAGAAGAACTTGGAGGAATATTTCTTACCTGAAAGCCAATCACGGACATTGCCATTAGGCATATACTCATATACCAGCATCTGTGCATGAAACAAACAGAACACACCTATGTGGATTAGTCGAAGAAAATAAATATAAAGCTAACAAACAACTGCAGGACGTACCTGTTCCCCAATGTCACTACTGTAGCCAAGCAGCGACACAAGATTCCTGTGATGTAACCTTGAAAGCAAATCGATCTCATTCAGAAACTCTTTCTCGCTTTGCAGAGAAGTTTCTTCTCCTCGTTTGATGGCAACTTCAGTTTTATTTGGCAAAATGCCTTTGTAGACCTTTCCATAGCTACCTCTACCGATCAATGTGGAGCTATCAAAACCATTAGTAGCATCCGAGAGTTCTACAAAACTAAACTTCTTCACCCCTTCGATTTCCCGAGATATCTCCCTGACTGGAAGACACAAGAACGAGTCCTTAGTTACAAGGCAATAGGACAAAATAAAGCCAAAAACTGGCATAGAGATCCATTGTCGAGTTGCTTACAAACACGTTTTTTGGTGAATGTATGGGTTTTCTCACGACGTTTCCTAACATACAGAAGTGTTGCACTCACTGATAAGACAGTGGCAGCGATGACAGAGCCTAATACTATCATCACCCATACAACCTCGCTAAATCCACTCGTTTGAGCAAACATATCACCTGCATCAAAATATTTAAATATGTAATATATTATTAAAAGTATTCTTTTGGTTAAAGATTAAAAGTCCCAAAACTGTACCATATGGTCCTTTTAGAGGGAAGTCCAACAGCTCATAAGGTCCAAAAAAGTCAGTTTTATTAAAACTCCATGACATAAACCTGTTTCTGATACGTATGACTTCATCCTTGTTGAATTTCATTTTGCCTTTTGGAACTAGCTTCAAGTACATCCTTAGACGCACCTTGTTCTCATCAACAAATCTATCGATTGCTAGCTGATGAGTTTCCAACTCGAGGGACGAGGTTATATACTGAATAAATTGGTGTTTAATATATGGAGTGAAGAAATAGAAGCTAGGGCTCTTTAGCCTATAATCTATGGAAAGAGGTGCTGTACAAAAACAGATCCCTGGGGAAACTTGGACATTCTCAAAGGGACATGACACATTACTGCAGGGTGTATTTGAGTCTGTAGTTGTTTGTATTTTTTCTCCGCAGATGTATTGGAAGAACTGTTTGACGATGGGAATGCTTGTACTCTTGCATATTGGGTTGCCACGAAGACTAACAAAAAGGATGAAGAAAAGAGCTTTAGTAGATAAACCAAATGATATAGAAACTAGAGAAACTTATGAACTGAACAAGTACATAACTAGACTACAATGTCAAGAAAAGAGAAGGCAGTTCAGTCCAAAATGTTTGATGTGCTTAAACTTGCTACCAAAAATAGGAACGAAGAAACTCACTATAGGGTAACATTGTCCGGTGTTCTCAGGTTTCCTGTGGCATCAGAGAAGTTATTGTTTCTGAGATCACTGTTGCATGCATCCAAGAGAAGTTTCAGCCTCTGAGAATGAAGTATATAACTAGAAAATATTAAGTATAACATAAACTAAAAACAAAGACTCGAGTTCATACACTTGCAGCTTCTTGTTCTCAAAAGACTTGTTCTGCCAAATTTCTGCTGGGACAGAACCAGATAAACTGTTGTTCTCAAGTGAACTGTGACAGATGAAACAGGAATATCTTACAAAATACTCATAGATGATTGGAAAATGCTAAAAATAAGATGACTCTGAAAATTCATTTCAATGATCAATTAATGTTTACATACAGTAATTGAAGAGAGCCCAACTCCGAGAAACTTGGTGGTATAGAACCAGTAAGGTCGTTATTAGAAAGTTCACTGCAGAAAGACTCAGATATTAAGTTAAGTACACTGTTAAAAGGAGTAAAATTTGGAGGAAGACATACATTGTTGTCATTTTGTCAGAAAGCTTCGATTCTGGTATAGTTCCTGTGAGTTTGTTCCAGCTTAGATCTCTGTAAATCAAGTGAAGATAAAACAAAAGTGGACTCTAATAGTTCCCTAAGCAAAGTTTAAGAAATCAAGGACCAGTAAAAATCACAGAATGAAACAATTTTACACAAATTCCAAACATATAGACACTTACAGATAGCTAAGATTTTGTATCATGCTCAAGTCAGGAATAGATCCTTGCAGTCCACAGTTCCTTAAGCTTCTGCCAAGTTGAAAACATGAAGGTACAAAAAATAGTTCATATCACTGTTGAGTCTAGTAAAGAAACAAGAACTGATTTGAAACTTCTTGCAAAAACGCTCGTAAGTCTTACAATTTTACTAATCTAGGAAACGTTCCATAAGCCTCTGGAATCTCAGAACCGTCGAAGTTGTTGTTATCCAGCTGGCTGCATAAGCAGATTAATAGCTTAACAACTTTGGCAAAATATCGGTAAGGCAAGCAAAAAGAATCAATCATCCTTTTCCAGTTAATGGGATGGGAAAAAATATATGGGAGAAGGCACATACAGTATGGTCAATGATGGTAATTGAACTAACTCTAGCGGCAATGTCCCAGTCAAGTTATTGTTGTCCAATATCCTACAAGATTACTTCCATCAATATAAGCACTTGAAAGATAGTATACAAAAGCAATATCAAGAATACAAACAAAACTCACAGGTGGGCAAGGTTGGTCAGTTTGGATAGCTCAACAGGAATTTCTCCGGTTATCGTGTTATTGTTGAAGTGACTGAAGTCCAAAAGGTAATGGTGAGTAAAGGATGAACCAAAAATGACTGTTGACTTTTGCTACGAATACTTAACGCGAAACTTACAGATGTTTTATACTTCTCAAGTTTCCAAATGATGATGGAACTGAACCTGTTATGCTGTTCTCATCTACTTGAAGCCTGTTCAGGTTTTGAAGATTACCAAGTTCAGGAGGTAAACTACCCGTGAACTTGTTCCCATTCAACAGTCTGTCCAAATAATATAGCAGAGAGTTAAGTGAAGAATATAAGTGTGGCATGCTAAGCCTTCTTTAAAACTATCCCATAAGTGAAACTAAACAAAAGAAACAGAACAAAAAAGCAAAAGAAAATAATGTGATCCAACTTACAGGAGTCTCAAGGAAGTAATTTTTCCTATCTCCAAAGGAACATGACCAGTCAGGTTGTTCCACATCACATTACTTCAACGTTGGCAACACAAGATAAAATAGATTTTTCAGTATGCATAGAAACCAAATGAAATAATTCGTTAGACTCCATATCTTACAGAATTTCGAGAAAGGTTAGCTCTCCAACTTCAGGAGCCAGCTCTCCAGATAAATTTAGCCTCATCAATCGGCTACAATACAATATGTAAATAACATGAGTTGCAGTATGTATAATCCTTGCAAGAATGACACCAGGACTCTCCTTTAGTGATGCATCTACCTTGGTATAAAAAGCCTAAAAGAAGTAAACGAAATGTGACAAATGGAAATAAAAGAGAGACATACAGCTCCTGGACGTGAAAGTGGCCATCATCATGTGAGGTCTCAAAGCATATTATGCCAGTCCAGTGTGACTTGCACGGGTCACCCTTTGCCCAGTTACTTAAATTTCTCATAGGATCAATTAGACTCCTTTTGATCTCCCTCAGAGCATTTTCTGCAAAATGGATATCAAATATTAGCAGTCTCCACTTTGTAGAATGAGATTATAAGAACTGTGAAGTTATGGTGGAAAAAATGATCACCTTCTAGAGGATCTGTTCTTGAATCAGCTACATGAAATAGAAGGCAACAACAAAATGTAACCAGGAATATTGAACCGCATGTTCTTGAACTCATCACGATACCTAGAGAAGGAAGACAAATCATACTTTATTCTGTTGTAGCTAGCACTCAAAAACATACATGGGGTCAGAGCTTAGATGAACTCACATTTCATTAAAAAAAATCTGGGTCAAGGCCAATAAAGTTATGATCAAGTCACCAGAAGAATGAATAATTAAGAAACATAAAAGAAACCCCGGAAACTTCTTTGAAACCAAGGAAAAGTACAAGTCTTATGGTCATTAAACATAGTTGTGTCCACAAGGATACTGCTGGAAACAGAAACCTCATAATGATAGTGATCTAATGAGTTAACAAACCATACCAGAAAGAGACTACAGAAGAAAGGGTCAACAAGGTTTCAATTGTATATCTATATTCAATGAAATGGCGTTTGAAACTTTCTCATTAAGATTGAATTTCCTTGTTGAAACTTTATCTCCTGCAGTTCCCCTGTATACATCATTGAAGCGGCTAGGCAAGATATAGAACACCAATAAAATAAAATTTTCAATTTTATAATCCTTTAAATTCAGTTTCAGACTGGTTGTCCACTTAGCCTGACCCGGTCTTAAAATTTATGACCCTTTCCCTATCTAGGCTAGGATATTGTTAACCTACATTGATCTGGTATACAATATTCCAAGAGCAAGCCAACACAAGAGTAAATAGGTTGGCAAAACTTCGGCTTATTATATGATAAAAGAACATTCAGAATGAACAAAACAATGTCGGCAAGGAAAAACCTGTCTAGGTAAAGATAGAGCTCTTCTTTCTCTGCAAAACTTCTATGCGGCAAAATTCAACTAAAGGTCCTCTTTATATTATGGTGAAAAATGTTCCCAAAATGTTCAACGAGCCAACAGAGCTTGAACTCTTTAAACACCTCTCTATATTATGGTGAGAAATTAACTAAAGAGAAATGAACACATGCTAATTGCCACTCAAGTAAGCCTAGACTTCCCCAGGTAATGATTATTAATTTGGTACCAAAAATATTGATTGCGTCTCAGTACCTAAATTCTCACTGAGCACTATCACTACAGTTTACAGAGCAAAAGTACCTGGCTCGATCACAAACTAAGAATCAACTAAAGTTTATTGTCATCTGTTGTAGATTGAAGTCTGTGAACTGAGAAGCTAAAGAAATAAAGATAAAACTAGATTTTACCCCGTGGTACACCACGGGACCAGTATTTTATGCGTTTTTGTTATATAGAAACGTAACCGTTCTTGTTTACATATACAGATTGTCCCTCTAGCACACCATGGGTCTATATTTATTTTAATAAACCACTGATTTTATCTAATTTTTTTAGTTTATAAATATTACGATGTTATATATTTGTTGTTGTATTTACAAAATTAACCCCGTGATATTCTTTTTGTTTTAAAAATAGAAGTTATAATGTTGTATATATTTTGGTGTATTTGCAATAATTAATGTAATCATTCTAACTTATTTGGGTTGACTTTTATATTTGTTAAAATAAGTATATGAATAAATTACATTTATATTTGTAAGACTTAATAAAACTAATAACTTAATATATTCCTTCATGCAAGGTGTTCTTTCATGTGAGTTACATTTGAAATTAAATAAGTATTTGTATTTTTTTTTATAAACAAATGCAATTTTTACTTATCGTATGATATGAAACTACGAATGACAAAAAAATACACATAATAGAATACCACTAAGAAGAATTCAAACAGTATGCTGTTGTGTGCCTATCGTGACAACATTAATAGAAAAGGATCTCATTTTAACAAACTGACCAAGTCTTCCTACCAAATCTTGATAAAACAAAACCAAAAGAAACAAAAGAAAAGAGTAAAGCTCTGGATTCAGAATCACAGAGAGTGGTGGAGAAGAAAGCAACGATGGCAATAAAGATATTGTCGTCGCTTGACGCAGCACGAATACAATGGTACCATTTCAAAACGATCATAGTCGCAGGAATGGGTCTTTTCACCGACGCATACGATCTTTTCTGCATCGGACCGGTCATGGAAATGATTAGTCATGTTTATTACAACGGTGATTCAATCCACACAGACGTTCTTTTGACTTCTTACGCCATCGCGGCACACCACGGATCCACGACTTATCCTCGAAATCTTCGTATCTGCTTCGGCTATAAACCGTTTCTTAAGCTGAGCATCTCCGATTCCTTTTGACACAGCTAGAGATCCCAGGATCCTCCAAACACCGTGAAACGTATCAACATATTCACGCGTAGTTTGTTTCTCTTCCTTCCACCGTCTCTAGACGGACGGTGGTCAGAAGTAAGCGCCTTAGTCATACCTCTAACACTCATAACAGCTCGACAGTCACCACAAGGTTCCCTTCCCTAACCAGAGCCGTTACACAGCAAGAACCACCCTTAACGTCTATCTCCTTTAGAAACGTTGCTTCAGTCATAAGGTAACCACGTTTCACCGCATCAGCTATCTCAGACTCCTCTTACCACCTAATTCTTCTACAACGTTCTTATCTAAGTTCTTAGCTGCAACTCAGCTGCTTTAACTCCTCCATGACCATCATAGACTCCAAATATCGCCTGTAAAAAAAGCCAAAAAACACTGTTTAGAAATCTTTTCTTCGTTTCAAACAATTCGATTCAAAATCTCAAAATTTCCCAAAACCTAATCGAATAAAAACTCCAAATTTCCCCAAAAAGCTAATTGAATCAAACCCTAATCGATTCAAAATCTCAAAATTTCCCAAAACCTAACTGAATCAAAACCTAATCAAATAAAAATCTCCAAATCTCCCCAAAAAGCTAATTGAATCAAACCCTAATCGAATCAAAATCTCCAGAATCCTAAACCAAAATTGAAATTCACCTGTTTGTGATCTCCATGAAGATTAGTGATAGCGGAGTAACGATACTCCATAGCTGCTCTTCGACCTCTCTTACAATAAATAGAGAAACCATCACCGTCCCTCTCAACCTTTCTACACTCCACCATCGGCGTCGCAACTTGAGAAGGTCCTATTTTTTTTAATTGTAGTCATAGAAAAAAAGATTATTATCGCTGTAATATTCGAAGCTAGTATATATCTTATTATTGTATTAAATGTTAGATCCAGAATCTCCAATTGGGTTGTAATTAAAAGATTTAAAACCGACCCGCTAAAATAGTTGTCCCATTTAACCTTAATGATAATAGAGTATTTAGTTAAGAATAAGGGCATTTGTAGTCAAAAATTTTAAACCATAGGTGGTCAAAAAAGTGGTTGAAAAAATAATAAGATAGATTAAAAAAAGGCAGGTAAAAAATTTCCAAATATGTATACTCTGCTCTTTGAGTTAACTGCCAAAGCCAAAACAATAACAATGCAATGATACGGATCGAGCCATCTAATGGTTCTCAAAAAAAGAGAAAGGAAACAAAATGTGATTGAGAGTGATCCAAAAAGAACAGAACATAAAGAGACACATACAGCTTCTAAACATACATAAAACTAGAGTTTGATCAGTTTCAGAATTGATTTCCCTTATAACTCTCTTTAAATCTGACGGATACAGATAGAAATCAAGAACAAACGAAACAGAAATAAAGTCGAAGTTATTCATGTGAATGAGTTTTAGAGCCTCCCTGGCCTACTCTCCCATGCCAAACCAATCCGAGAATACCTTATAATCCTTATCAGATTCTTTGCCAACTATATAAACCAGTTGAGTAGCTGTGCAGGCAGCCATATTACACAAGACTCGAACCATCTTGGTGGTTTACAGGTGTTCTCTTTATGTCTTGTCAATATCATGCCAATCCACTTTGAATTGTGCATTGAATGATCACCACAGCCCATTTACTTAGGTTCTTTAAATGATCAATAAACTCTCGTCTGACAAAACAAAAAATGTTGCGTTCATAGAAAAGGACTTACCTAAGTCGATGCAAACAGAGATCACTACCGATACTACTCGGTAGAAAATTCATATCAAAGTTTAAACAAAGAGAGCTTCACCAAGCCAAACAGAGTACCTGAGGAGTTAGACCATCAACACAAAGCACAACTAAACATTCATTTTTTTCGAAATATCCAGGACCAGACAATAATACATCAGATTGTAGCCATACACGAACGCTGTTTACTAATTAAACAGATTTGGATTAACCTAAAGATGAAATGCTTTTGTCTTAAGATAGAACACAATGTTTCGTTTGTAACTTTGTCCAAAAAGTCTAAAACCACGATCTAAAAATCCGATGCGTCATCGTCACGATTTCATCATTGATGACGTATATGTAATGACACATCTGTAATTATCTTATTAGGGATACATCCAATAGCGTCTATGTAATGACACATCTGTATTAGTGATACATCCAATAGCGTCTAGGTTAGAAGCAGTTGCCAGATTTTGACCTTTAACTTTTGAAGAATACAATCATTTTGACTTTTAGTTTGACTTTCATTTTTGTTCATATCTAGTCAAATCTTTCTAATATTCTCCACGTGCTCATTACGTTCCAAAGTCAATACAAATTCACGAAGCCAACAATGAAAGTATGAAACTGATAATATTAAACATTTTATAACTGGAATATTTTAGACAGACAAAAGAGAATTACTCGTTTTATCTAACAAACAAATTGTGACTTGTCGGTTAACAAACCAAGAAAATGGACTGTTATATATTAATAGTCTAGTGTATAATATTTAACATGTTGTGTGGTGTTGTCCTTGTCAAACCAGCAATGCTGCTTAGATTTATATTTGATTATAAAGTTTTTTTACTACGACTTTTTTTTTTCTTTGGTCAAATAAAAAAAAAAGTCAATTACTCTCAAAACCTTCTTTAGTTTTTGCTTATAAATACACTACTCCATGAATACGTTACAAAGATCTTACTCTCCTTTTCACATTTTCTTGGTGAACCAACCAACCTACCAACCAAAAACCTAATCGTGCTCTATATCGTGCTCTTTTATCTTCTCGACACATATACATCAACTCGAACAAGAAACATGAAGAGAGACCGGTCCGATTACGAAGAATCCATGCAGCATATAGACATTGTAAGAAGTCTAATGATGTTATCCCAGAGTTTCGTTGTCAAACAAATCGATGTAAAGCAATCTACCGGAAGCAAAAACAATCACAACAACCACTTCGAATGCAAAACGTGTAACCGGATATTTGATTCGTTCCAAGCTCTCGGAGGCCATAGAGCTAGCCACAAGAAACCTAAGCTGAGCGTTGACCACGAACAGGTGAAGCATCGTAAAAGTGAGAATGATATGCATAAGTGTTCAATCTGCGATCAAATATTTGGTACCGGCCAAGCTCTAGGTGGTCACATGAGAAAACATAGGGCGATCATGCTGACCGAACAATCGGCTATCCCTTCCGTTGGTTTTCCCAGACCGGTTATGAATCGATGCAATAGCAGTAAGAAGATCTTGGACTTGAATCTAACTCCACTGGAGAATGATCTTGTGACTATCTTTGGGAAAAATATGGCTCCACAAATTGATTTGAAGTTTGTGAATTAGTAGTAGGGCTTTTTATTTACTTATCTTTGTAGCTTTTTTTTTTCTCTTGCTAAACATTTTTTCATTCTTTCTGTAATATGTCATGTATGTATTACACAATTTGTTTGAATAAATCGTTTCAATTCTTTCAAACGAGTGATAAAATATCAACCGTTCAAACCGGACTAGTTTCGAACCTATACCACACACACCCATTCAAAATAAAACAGATTTCAATACTTTTTTGGTTTGAAGGCTTCGGTAAAAATACTCAACTCCTAACATATAATGGATGGTACTACTTCACAAAAGGATGATTGGTGTGCGACTGATAAACTGATATATTACCACTAGTCATATTTGATGTCAGAGAATCCATTCCGGAAAATATTGGAATACGAATTGTGTCCTTTCACACTATACCATTAGGGGGAAAGAAAGAGTTTTAAAGAATAAACGTAGAATTAGAAAACACTATCTCATAAAATAAAAAAAGCAAAAGAAGATTGATTTCCTTTTTCCTTTTTTTCTGTTCTTTCCAAAGGTAAACAATAATACCATATGTCTCTTTCACTAGCTGAGTTCTTCCCTGTCGATTGTCTCCTGGACCCGGTTTTTTACTAACCACAACATGCTGATTTCTGAGTAGCTTGAGATGTTCCTGCACCTTGGTCGGATTGGTTCATTTTGATTGTTTGTGGCTACAAAATGATAAAGAACAATACGGCAACATTAAAATCGTTGATACACACAATAAATTGTGATTTTGATCAATACTCAAAGATTTTTCTTGAAAATACTACAGCTCTAAACTTGTTACTCTATTGATAATAATTGCAATGTATGATGATGATGATGATGATGATGACAGAAAATAAAATCTAATGCTCGAACTTACCTCAGCCTTTGCATCAGTATCTGCGAGTCTTTGCTTAATGTCTTTAGCAATTGAGAAGAAAACTTCCTCAACGTTTAAGTTAGTCTTGGCACTCTGCAAGAGCAAACTCATCAAGGTTAACCAAATGAAAATCATACAATCTCCTACATATATATTGATGTGAAACAAAACCCATAACAACAACTTACAGTCTCGAAAAACTTGATTCCATATTCATCTGCAAGAGCTTGGCCCTTAGATTTTGGCACAGCCTGGAGAAACAAACATATCGGTGTATTAGCCAAAGAAAAAACATAAAATTAATTAGTAGGATAATACAAGGGAAAGGTGAAAGAGAGAGACTCTTTTGCTTTCATCCATATCAGCTTTGTTCCCAACTAAAATCTTGTTGACATTATCAGAAGCATGCTGCTCAATGTTACGGATCCAATTCCTGATGTCTATAGTTAAATAGAGAGAAATAAAGTTAGTGACTGAAAAAATAATAAACTTTAAAACTATTGCAAAAGATTGTTGGTTGCACGAGGCCTGGAAGTCCAGAACAGAAGTAAATAAACAGCAATATAAAACTTAAAGAAAGTCATTACTGTTGAAAGATGATTCATCCGTCACATCATAAACAAGCAAGATGCCCATGGCTCCACGGTAGTATGCTGCAAAAAGAACAAACCAATTAGGTGAATAATTCCAGGGCTCCCACCATATTTGAGTAAGGAACCAATGCATAAATAATACTAAGAGAGACTGAAAGGCAAAGGGCATATACTAAAGCAAAATCGAAGACACACCAGTTGTGATAGTGCGGAACCGCTCCTGTCCTGCAGTATCCCAGATTTGCAGCTTAATTCTCTTCCCATCGAGCTCTATAGTCCTTATCTTGAAATCAATTCTGTCAAATAAAACGCACAACTTAATGAGGAACCGAGAACTACATAGAGCACGTGTTAACAGTGTTGACATACCCAATAGTTGTAATGAAACTGGTGGTAAATGAGCCATCAGAGAAACGTAAGAGGAGACAACTCTTACCCACACCTGGTACATACATGAATAAAGGAGATAGAGTGAGAAGAGACTTTTGAATAAACCATTGGAACATAGTGAAACAGTTACAGCAATCAACAAAAGGAACAATCAATCAGTTAAGCTCAAAGTACATACAATGTTGATACTAGTCTAAACCATTTGCGACAAATCCTAAATCAACATTTAACATTCTAAGCTGATGAAATGGTAAATGCACGATCGGAAAAACTGAAATCACTCATGTCAAAACAAAACTTGAAGCGTATCAAGAAAAAAAGGTAAATAGATAGATTGAATTATCAAAAATGCAAGGAACAAAGGCAAGTATTACGATCAAAATGATGAAGAAACCTACCGCTGTCTCCGATCAATAGAAGTTTGATGAGGTAATCGTAATCAGCACGAGCTCTAGCAGGAGGAGCAGCCATATCTTGAACAAAATCAAAGTTCTAACAGAATAAACCAAATCACTGGTACGTAAGCCAAATGGTGACAAATTCAAATCGAGAATCATGAACGTAAAACACTGAAAATTCGAAAGGGAGAAGAAGTACCAGATCTTACTCAGAGAACACAAATCGTCAGAACGGAGCAAGACAGTAATCGGACGGCCGTTGAATTGTTTATTTCTCTCGATCGGCTTTTTTTCGGAGATTCAGAAGAACTTTTTTTTTTTTTTTTTGGTTTGAGAGAAGAAGGAGAAGGAGAGGGAATGGATCTGGACCGTTAGATCAGTTTCGTGATGGAGATCTGTGTTTTGGCCGGGCGCGTGGTCTTCGGTTACGGTTTTTGATAAAACACTAATACGTCGCCGTTTTAATATGTTTTGAACAACGGGCCTTGGGCTACTTTTGTGTGCGACAAATCTATGATTCTAGCACCCAACCCAACAAGAACTGTCGAAAGGGAAGTACGCGGCTCAACTTGTGTGCTATACAATGTTTTGATGGCTTTTTTAAAACTTAGCGTGTGCGTCAAAGGATCAAAAAGAAGAAAAAACAAAAGTTGAAACCATGCACTGTTTGTAATGGTTGTAATTTTCAGTTGAAAACAATAATATGAGTTTATGGCTAAGCTGTTTAGCTAACCCTGTTGTGTTGTGTGACGGGTGTGGTTCCAAAACTTGTGTGGGCATGTTATTTCGTTGACTTTTTAAATTGTTCTTTTCACAGTTTAAGCAAGTAAAACGTTGTTAAAAGTTGATTGAATCCCTTCATTTGTAAATCAACTAAAAAAGTTGAAGTAGCAGAATCCTGCCAACTAAAACTCCCAAGGCGACGCAAAGGTGAAAGGTTAGGCAAAAAGAGATTGACAAAATTGGTAAAGATGATTGAATATAAAAGAAATTGAATGTCGTCGGTGTTAAGCAAAATAGCCATCCCGAGAATAAAGCGTGGATAGGGATATTCCTTACAATGATCCTACGTAGCATCTACTATACTGCATGAGCATCCGTTACTCAACCCCATCCACCAATCATCCTCTGCGTACGAGTCCACAGGTTCACTTTCGGACCAACCAATGAGTGAATGACACGACGTAAGCCTTTCCTAAATTACACGATCCGGTTTCCCTTTTCTGAATTGATACGAAGAGTGTTTCCATCGACATTAATAGGAAACTTTAGGAAAGCTATGACTTTAACTAATTAAGTGATATCATATATTTTCAAGATTTGTTTTCAATGTAAATTTCCGATTAGTACGTCGAATTTATTTAACGTTTTATGGAAAGTCAGAAACATATTATCCAACACCTTCGTGTTTAAGGAAATCTAATCGTACACGATTAGTTTAATGTTTATCCAAATTTGGATTTGTGTTATCCACAGTTTTAGCCAAAGTAAATCTTTATTTAATCTTTTACCAGACCAAAAGTCAGAAACTTATTATTATTATTAGCCAACACCGTTTGAGCTTGTTTACTGCAAATGGTATTTATCTGGGAACACACGTGTATATATTAGTAGGACAAACATAATTACAGTATATTGTTATTAATTTATATAAATAAGAAATCATAAACCGGTGCTTACTGGTGGTGGTAACTTGGTTACTTGTATTATGAGTATTATAGTTTATTTTATTTTCTGGTCAGCGAGTATTATAATATGAGTTCAAAGAGGAAATATTCATGAATTGAAACGAGAGACAGAATAATATGAAAAACTTTAAGAAAGTTAAATAATAACAATTATAAAATCACAAGAGATTTTCTTTTCCTAAGAGTTATTGTTACCAAAACTACTATAACTGTAAATTGTAATACTATAACTTAAAACTAATTACAAGTGACTAATATATTTTCTCTGACAATATTGATACCAAAACAATTATACACAATCCATGCATTTTTGCGTAAACCAAATAATTTCGTATGTACATTGTATTTTCAGAAATTATTTAAAGAACATGAATAATATATAGAAAGAAAATAAAAACGAATATTCACTTGACAGATTACATATGCTTATCTTTTAATTTGCAGTTTGTAATCCACCGACAGAGAAATTGCGATGTCATAAATTCGAACACGATTTTTTCCAGTGCACTCGCTAACACCTGATCACAGCTCTCTTACATATCACTCTTTAGCATATTCCCTATAAACAGTAGCTAACGGAGACTTAACGTGGACTCCTCGCAATCCGAGTCACGTTAACGTGTAGCTTACAGCCAGACCTGACGTTGACCCCACCGCCGTTAGGAATTCCGTCTATGTCTCTTCCTCCTCTATCCAATTATATTTTGACATGTGTACATATTCTGGTCAGGACATATTCAATTAAATTCCCAAAATTAAAGACATTTAATTTTTTTTTCTCAAAAATAATATTAATATTCTTTCTAAAATGGAGCCTTCAAATAGCACAGAAGCAGAGAGAGAGAGCGGGAACGCGTCTAGTCTACAGCTTTCTTCTCCTTTAGCTTTCCTCTCTAATCTCCTCTATACTCTTGCTTCTCTCTCTCTTCTCTCTCTCTTTTTACATCGGTGGGTGCTTCTCTCGTGTTCACTCTTCTTGAGATCTGTGCTTGCGTTTCTTCTCCATTCGACACTTTTGTTCGGGAGATTTGCCGATTTGCTCAGGTACGGATTTCGAAATGCTTTTCAATCGGATTTGTTCTTTCCACACCAGGTGTCTAGGGTTTGACTGAGTGTCTAATATGCTTGCATAAGCAATGAGCTATCATATTTTGGTAGTTTATATTGGTTCGAGGGGGCTTTGTAATCTGTAGATCTGAGTTGGGTTCGAAAAAGATTCACTTTTTTCATGTCTACAATTTCTCTAACTCCATAAAAGGGATAATCTTTGCTCGTTTCTCTCAAAGCCCATTGCAGAGTCCTCTGTTTTTTTTTCAAAATAGTATATGAAAGGAAAAAATCGATCTTTTGGTCACTTTATACACATGTGGGAACGGTTTTTGTCGGTGGATACATTTAAGGATTCATAAACTGCTGCAGAACAAATATGCGTTTATTGGACGTTTCTGTAACTTTCTCTGTTTTAAAAGATTTTGTATCTTGTGTCTCTGTGTCCACCATTGCGTTTGTGTGTATTCAATTGTTTGCTACTTAATCAAAACTTCCACGAATACAAATGTCGGTTCCATAATTTGTTACGGTTGAGATGTAGATCTAGGGGAATTAGAACATTTGTAAAAGATGGAAACCATATGTTTCAGAGAGACTTATGAATTGCTATGTGCCACTGTTTTGCAGAAATGGCGCCACCGATTGAGATTGCTGCCAAAAGCTATGTTGAGAAACATGTTGCACTTCCTACCCTTAACGAGAGGATTCTTTCTTCCATGAGCCACAGATCAGTTGCTGCACACCCATGGCATGATCTTGAGATAGGTAAGCTATACGTAAAGGTTTCTTCCTTCTCTTCTTTTTTTTTTGTGGTTCTAAGATGATTACATTTTTTCTTAATATTAACTCTTTTACGTTTCATTTCTTTTGTTTTCTAGGACCTGAAGCCCCAATCATCTTCAATTGTGTAAGTATTTTGCTAATGTTCTTGATATTTAGGCAGCAAAAGATCTGAATATATTTTATTAGATCGTCACAAAACTGCCATTATGCGTATTTGGAGATGCTGCACTTGTATACTATTTCTACAGGATTTACATACTTTTATCATTCACTCATTGAAAAATCCAAATGCTCTGGCTATTTTCCTTGAGACCCGGATCAAGTCTGCTGTAGGATATGAATGATGTACATTGCCTAATTTGGAAACCAGTTTAGTCATTGAGATATTTCTCTTGGATCTTTATTGCAGGTGGTTGAGATAGGAAAAGGGAGCAAGGTGAAGTATGAACTCGACAAAACTACGGGTCTCATTAAGGTAACTTTAATGCATCAAGTTTCTTCACTGTCTTTTGCACTATTAAAGACGGCACTATTTTTTAAACACTACATATATTATCAGGTCGATCGTATTCTCTACTCATCTGTCGTTTACCCGCACAACTATGGTTTCATTCCGCGTACTCTTTGTGAGGACAGCGACCCTATTGATGTTCTTGTCATTATGCAGGTAACATCTTTTTTCATACAATTTTGAGAACCTGTATAATTCATTACATGATTTTTTTTGTTACATTTTGATTTGTGCATCTTATAAGCAACTGTGTAACCTAGGGAGGAATGTAGCAAATTAGAAATGTTGTGACTTGTGAGACTTTAGAGAGCAATTAGTGAGGGCTAGGCTTATAAAGGTGCCTCAACATATTGTTTAGAAAGGGGATTATCTAGTGTTCAATTTGGAATTAAAGTCTCTTATTAATCAATTTTCTCTGGTTTGGTAAAATTGAATAACAGAAGCTTCTTTTCTTATTAGCATCACCAGCTTCTCATTCTGTCTTATTGACCGATTTAAAACACATCCATATGAATCTTGTTAAATTTTTCCTATAGGAACCAGTGATCCCAGGTTGCTTTCTTCGGGCCAAAGCTATTGGTCTGATGCCAATGATTGATCAGGTTAAAAAATAACATCCTTGAATGTCTGTATCATCTTATTATGTCCACATAAAAGGAACAGAGAATGAAACTAGATGTTCTTTCTGCTTTAAAAGGGTGAGAAAGACGACAAGATCATTGCTGTCTGTGCTGACGATCCAGAGTATCGCCATTACAACGACATCAGTGAGCTTCCGCCTCATCGTATGGCTGAGATCCGTCGTTTCTTTGAAGACTGTGAGTAATTCTTTCTTCACAATCCTTCAAACTTTTGTATTAGTTATGGATGAGATGAGATTAATCAAGATTGAAAATGTTTAAACCAAAATTGAAGCCAAGTGCTTAAACCGGCCTAAAGGAGACTCATATTCTTGAATTCTTGTTGCAGATAAGAAAAACGAGAACAAGGAAGTAGCCGTTAACGACTTCCTTCCCGCAACAGCAGCCTACGACGCAGTTCAGCATTCCATGTAAGCAGCTTTCATTAGACTTGACTTGTTATATTATTTCATATTCATATATTATGACCTTTTAATTGATGCAATGTTTTTTTACGTAGGGATCTCTATGCGGACTATGTCGTGGAGAACCTGAGACGTTGATTTACCAACCCAACCAAATGAAATGAGCGAGCTTACAACTGCATCACATTTGTTTTCTTGACGGGTGTGAATGTGTAAACACAACTATAAAATATACATTAAAAAAAAATGTCAGGGTTCTCAAAGGATATATTTGTGTATGTCCTCTGATGAATCCGGTAGATGATGCCGATAATTCAAAGACCAAAAATGGGATTTTACCCATTTGTGTTCTATCACCTTTTTTTTTTTTTTTAATTTTTGGAGTCATTTTTCTATATCTTGATTAAATTTCTTTTGAGTTTTTCTTATATTAAATTTCTTATACATCCATAATAGACAAAGCAAAGAATTACTTCGATATTTCATTCATGAAAACCTTATACTAGGTCACTAATTCAAAAAGTATACACTCTTTAAACCTTATGGAAATATACATACATGCGTGCTGGTGATAATTTTTTACTTTTAGTGGTAATTTCTTGTTTAGCCAAGTAAATTCCATAGTTTCCATTTACAAAAATCAAATTGGATACATGTAATAGAATATTACCATTTTAACCTTCACCTTTTCTGAAATTTGCCGGCTTACCCACGCTTACCTTTCTATGAACCGTCATCGTAAACCAAAAACCCTTTCCTATCCCTAAAACCCGAGACCGAGAGTACTCATCTTCTGCTTAGGGTAGTCGAAGAAGGACGAAATCGAAGGAGGAGGAAAGAAGAAGATCGATTCGTTTATCAACGATGAGCTCTTTCAATGGAAACAGCAGCAACATCGACAACCTTCTAATCCAAACCCTTCTTGGACGTCTCCAAATTCGTCCCCCTAACTCCCATTTCCTCTCTCAATCCCTAGATGACCTCCTCTTCAAATCCGACGACAGCGAAGGCGATGATGATGGAGAAGGTCAGACCAGTCTCGACAGAGAAGAAGCTCGGCTTGAGAAAGAGCTAATCCGAGTCATCGTCTCCGGTCGAAGTGATTCTCTTAAGCCGAATTCAGGTCAAGCCGTGACAGTCAACGAACACCACATCTGCGTTGGGTATCACGAGGATGAGGAATCGGATTATCGTGTTTGGGAGTGGCATGGTCATATCATGTTGTTCGATGAAGAGAATGGATATACGCCTGAGTATATCTACGGGAATTACTTCGAGAGGTTGCCGGTGAAGCTCCCGAACCGCCGTGTAGAGAAGGAGAAGAAGGAGGTGAAAGAAGAGGAGGTCGAGAATTTGGGCCTGAGAGAGTTGATCGATGGTGGAGACGCTGCTCCTGGTAGGATTCTTCATAGGAACAACATCAACATCGGGTCCTCAAGGTTTGTTCTCTTATAACTCCTTTCAAACTTTTATCATTCTGTGTCATGTCAGTTCCTGAAAATTATGTTCAAGTCTTAGGATAATATGATAATTCCATATTCTGTTCGATTCTACAAGTTAGTAGTACATTTCGAGACTGCAATAACTTGTTCGTGATGTTGCTGATTTAGTTTTGGCGAATCTAAGTTTTGGGTTTGATACAGTCTACAAGTTTAGTGAGAAATGTAACGGTGACTCTTGTTCTTGGGATGGTTTAGTTGTCCATTGATCTAATGTTGGCTAATCAAAGTTTTGGGGCAGGTATAGAGTATGTATTCAGTGAGAAATATAACAATGGCTCATATGTTTTCGATGATTTTTGCAGTTTAACGACCTGCCCTTAATTCTGTTTTTGAAGTTTGATTAGCTCATGGTCAAGCCTTTAGTTTGCTTTTACAATTCCTGTTTCATTCCAAGACAATAATTGATAAAAAAGAATTTGGAAAATGATACAAAAGTAGTGAATTCAGCACTTGCTATTTTCTGGATGATGTTACTGGTTAGACCAATGTTTGGTTGTGGTCATTACATTTCTGTCTCAAATAACACACTGTCGTCAAATATGATCAATTAATTCTGCTCAGTTTCTTATTATAAATTTTGCAACCTCCTCTTCTTCACTGATTTTAATCTCTTTTTCCTTTTGTGGTTTGTAGATAATTGTTTCCCATATTTGATAAAACTGCATTTTCTTACAAAGCATGCTTTTTGTTTACTTCTATACCTTGCTTGCTTGGCCTTCGGTGCTGTTTTGGACACTCTATTTAGTTCACAATGCGACTAATGAGACTTGGTCGATTTGCAAATCTATTGATTTCATATATAGTCAGTGATTTTCATGCCAAGAAAACCCGATTAAGAATCTGTATATTCTTTTCTTACTGTGTCCACAAATATTAATGTACAACGTTCTTTTAATCTTCATATAATGTCCATAGATATTCGGATATCCATTTTACATTACCTGAATGAGAGTTCTAAAATGATGATCATTAAACTTGTGGTGTGATAATCTTCTCAATAGTATTTAGTGCTTGATCTTATTCTTGGTTTTTCATATTCAGTTCGCATACCCATTATCTTCCAAGTATCTGTTAGTTTACCCTCTTGTCTCACTTTAGATCCCAACTGTAACTTGTTTATCTTGCGTTTCCATGCTCAAAATGTTTAAATTGATCACTGAATTTATGTGGCTCATGTGAATTGGCAGGGTCTAAGTTCCTAAGAGCAGTGAGAGGTTACATTGTTCGGGAAGATTTCAGATGTGTGAACAACTCGCGACAACAAAACATAAGAATATTTCGGGTTCTGCGCCTTTCTATTTAAACCTGGAAATCCATTGGTGAAGCTGTTCTCTTTAAGAAGTTTCATCTGGAGTTGTTTCTGAACCACATTTACAGTACCTGCTAATGAACAGAGAAAAAAATTACAGGATCATGGTCATCGAACACGGAAGCTTTTAAGTTTTCACATGTTTGTTTATTTATGTTCTTTGCTTGATAAATCATATATTTTGCTCATATTTCTCCAATCCTGCTTATGCTTCTAAACATTCCTGAAATGAAATAACACACACCTTGGGATGTTCGTATTAGTACTTGCTTTAGAGTATATATAAACTTAATTCTCCTTAATGTTCATTTGTGACTTAATCATATATCGGTTAGTGTAGAGATTACTTTTACAGTAGATACATTTCGTTCTAATCTTGGCCATGGATCAAATAGCGTTAAAACAAAACTTTAAAGTTGGTCGATTACTCAATTTAACATGAGCATTAAGCGGCCAGTAAGGGACGTTTTCAATTATTTAAAAACACTAGAAAAGTATTTATTTCTACGTGTTAGTTTCAGCCAAAAAAACAAATAAAGTTACTGTATCCCTACTACTACACTTTCTTTTTTCTTTAAATACAAATATAAACACATGAGACCTACCTTGCCATAGAAGTTACTTCAAAAAGAAATCACCACTCCTTTGCTTTTATGAGAACTATGATCCGATCATAGTTCTCAATGGATAATATGACTTGCTTTTTGAGCACATGGACAATTATATACTGTTGATCCACGCATCCTTAGCTTAAATTAAATCGTCACATTTCAACTGTCAAAACTGAATCATGAATGATGACAAAAAAAAAAAAAAGAAAACTGAATCATGAATTTGAGAACAACATCATTAACATCTCTCTAGAATCTTAATCAAAAATTAAATTGTGTAAATATACAATGTACATGTAACTAGGGGAACAACAGTATGTAGTTCACTTGCCCGTGATGAATGGGTGAGCTAATGCCTGCGACACTGTAAGTCTCTTTTGAGGATCAAGCGTGAAAATCTTGTCCAGAAGATTCCTGAAATGAACTGACACCTTGGGATCTTCATCCTTATAACGTCGTTTAATTACTGAACCCAAATCATTTGGCTTTATGTTCACCATCATTCTCCTTATTGTCTTTCCAGTAACACTATCCTCCTCTGTAGCATAGAAGCACAAGTCCTGATCAAAGTGCTGATCGATAAATGCTCCCTTGCGAAGCATCTTTTTAGGGAAAGGACCTTTCAGTTCCATATGAAGGCGTAACATATCATTGTTTGTGGAGCCGGGAAACATAATTTTCCCGCTATAAAGCTCATACAGACAGCAACCAACTGACCACATATCTAATGGATGGTCGTAGGATAGTCCAAGAATGATTTCTGGAGCTCTGTAGAAGCGACTAGCAAGATATGGTGTAACCTGGTTTTCACCAGCAAACATTGCACTACCAAAGTCACAAAGCTTTAACATGTTCCTTCCCTCATTCACCAGTATGTTGGCAGGCTTTATATCGCAGTGAAGAACCCCACAGTTCTTGAGATGTTTAAGGGATGTGAATAGCTGCTTAGCGTACACTCTGATATCAGATAGTTGTAGACCAACGTTGACACCACTCTTCTTCACAATTTCACGGAGGTTCAGATGAAGAGACTCAAACACCAAGCAAAGGTGGTTCCTATACTTAAAAGATGAAAGAAGACGGACACAGTGGTGCTTATTCTCTGGGTCAGAGCCAGCTAGCTTGTTCAATATGCGAATCTCAGCCTTTCCGGCCTTATGCATTGTCTCATTGTTCCTTATAACTTTTATAGCCACTTCCTCAGGTCCAGATTCTGCAGCCTTTGTGTCTTTTGCCCGCACCACGGTAGAGAAGACACCTTTTCCATGAGTAGCCATGATTTCATATCTACCATCAAGAAGTTCACCAAGTTGATAACTGTAATAACCTTCTGCATCATCCCAATTATCATGGAGTCCACTCCTTACAAAAGGATGAAGGCCATTACCTTTCCGTGTACCAGGAGCTGGAGACTCCCCAAAGATATCATCACTGAACATGTCACTCTTTGGGCTGCCTCCCTCAAACCCTACGGAAGCTAATGTCTTATCTAAGTCTGAAATCACAAGCCGTGCACGTGGTTCCTCCTTAACTGCCGATGATAGCTTGGCGACTTCACCATCTACAGCATCAATACCCGTCCTAGCTGCAGAAGAAACAGGACCTAGAGTAGCACTTCCAAGAACATCTGCCACAGTAGAGGGCTCCTCCTCCAACTTTTTCTTACGTTTCTCCAATACGGATTGCGTTTTCCTCCTACTTTTCTCGATTATTTTCAGGTCTTCAGCTTCTTGATCAAAGCCCCAAACAAGATTTTCACCGTTATCGTCAACATCGACATCAGTTTTGGACCTTTCAACGTTTTCCCGAGTTTCTTCGATATTACCATCGCTAGGATTATGATCCTTTACAGAATCAAAGCTTCTTATCTTTAAGTCATCTTCAGCATGATCATGTCTTGAGATTCTTATCTCTAAGTCAAATTTTGCATCATGTCTTGGTTGCTTCTTCCGCACTTCTTTATAGCCATCATCGAGAATTTTAAGCTTGTCCCGATCACTCTCCAATTCTATCCTTCCTCTATCCCTATATTTTTCCCTCCGACTCTCTCTTTCATTCTCCCTCCCTGTCTCCCTACTAGTATGCCTGCATTTATCTCTACTCCTACTCCTACCTCTGTCTTTGTCTCTATATCTCTCTGCCATGATACCTCGGTCGTTGTCTCTATCCCTCTCCCTTCTGATATCTCTATCATTGCTTCCCAATCCCCTCTCTAACCTCTTCTTAGAAATCTCCCCTTCCTGAATATCAAGTTCACCACCGTTACCAACTATTGTATGATCCTCAAAATCCGTAGAAACATGCTCTTCATCGCCGTATTGAACATCCTCATCACGATGATGACTGTGCCGATGCTTGTGATCATGACGGTGATTGTGCCGCTTGGAAGATTGAATGACTTCGTCGGAAGACGAAGACGACCGACGATGTTTGCGGTGGTTTGATTCTACATGCTTATCGCTCACCATCAAATCGTCGGACAAGTGTTCACAAATCGCAAAGTTAGGGTTTAGGTTAGATTTTTCTCGCGCGCTCTGTATTCGTCACCGATTTATAATATTTTTAAACTCATAATGACACGAAAGAAAAGGCCCAGGCCCATCAAGAACAATCCTATCAAGGATAGAGCTGTAAAGAAATCATGTCCGTTCAGCTCAAACCTTACAGATGAAAGACACTTAACCGATCCGCGTGAAACTCAGTTAACCAATGAAAAGCCAGAACAAGCCTCTATATAAACAAATCTATTATCTCAGCAAACGAACCTTTTCATTGCTTAGTATTTTGTTTGATTTTACTCTTAAAAAAAAAAACTCAAATCCTCCCTAAAGTAAAGTCAACACCAATGGCTCCGAAGGCGGCAGAGAAGAAGCCAGCAGCAGAGAAAGCACCGGCGGAGAAGCGACCAAAGGCGGAGAAGAAGATAACGAAAGAAGGCGGAAGCGAGAAGAAGAAGAAGAAGGCGAAGAAGAGCATCGAGACGTACAAGATCTACATCTTCAAGGTCCTGAAGCAAGTCCATCCCGACATCGGAATCTCAGGGAAAGCGATGGGGATCATGAACAGTTTCATCAACGACATCTTCGAGAAACTCGCTCAGGAATCGTCGCGTTTGGCTAGGTACAACAAGAAGCCGACGATCACTTCCCGCGAAATCCAGACGGCGGTTAGGCTTGTGTTGCCCGGAGAGCTCGCCAAACACGCCGTCTCTGAAGGAACTAAGTCGGTTACCAAATTCACAAGCTCTTAATTAATCTCTCTCATTCGAATTGTTTAGGCTTTTATCTAGGAATATGACTATATATTTGGTGGTAAAGCAATAGCTTTGGAATTAATATTTGATTAGTGGCATATTATTATGGAACATATATCTTACGTTTATCTTATAATGACTTGACAATTGAGAATTTGAAGTTTGTGGTGGCTTTTAAACCAGTTTTTAAAGTCTTTGAATCGTTGTTCAACGTAGTAAACTGCTGCTGGCGTAAATAGTACTTCATGTAATACAGGAATGTAATACAATCTCAATCTAGCTTTAAAATGCTCTGGCGTGGCATGTCATTCCAGAGTCCCAGACGGATAACGCCCCATTTGGGCCTATTTCTAGGCCCATTTATTGTAAAGAATATTAAAAATATCAAGGCCCATGGATAAGAATAAGAAGAGTATTAAAAGACGTTAACATGTGTAAAGTTGTGATTCGCTCCTGGTTAGGTGGCCACGTATATGTCTCCCTTGTTTTGACCTTTCTTCGCATTCTATCTTAATATAAAAAAAAGCTTGTTCGATTTCTTCATTTCTTCTTTTTATCTATCCCGTCTTCTCAGATTCGCTTTTCGTTTGTCGTGATTTCTCGATTTGGATATGGTCGCTCTTCGATTCTTGTTCCAATGATCCGACTCTAGCTTTGTCGCCTGAGATCTCTGCAATCGGATTCGATTTATAGAAAGGGGTGTTTATATTTTGAATTTATATTATCTTTGGGAAATATAGGGTTTCGAAGAGCATAAGAGTTAAAAATGCGGGTGTCCTCTGAGATACTCCTCCTTTCTTTGGTTCCTGCGTTGACTTTTTATCATTCTGGTTTGAGTTCTAATCGTTTGAAACCTCTTCAGAAGAGTGATTGGCGTGGTAATCTTAGTTAAATAGTTTCTCCCTCTCTTCAATCTTCTTTCTCGGGTTTTTTTTTTTGCCTTTATAGATCTCTTTGATCTTTGTCGTCCCCGTCTGGTTCTCACCATTTCCCTAGCTCGGATTAAGCTAATCGAAAAAGAAGTAGCTTGAGATCTCTTTCTTAGTCAGTGGTTCCATCTTTCGGTGTTTTTTTTTTTTGACGTTTCGTGTGCTCGATTTGCGACGCAAGAGGTACTTTTTACTATCTCTTCTTGTTCTTGTGGGTTATCTTGGCTATTGTTCAAAATCATTTGATTATAAGATTATGTTGCTTATTGTAGTACTTTGAATATGTTTGTTGCAGTTGCGTTTGGATATGAGCTCTGTTTGTGGTGGGTTGGATTTCAAAGATGCAGAGTCTCACCTTGAGAGCAGCTCTGCTTCCAGTGCCAGTAAATGTTCTAATGGCGCAAAGCATGTCTCTTGTCCTGGATCTGATGATGCTCAAGAGTCTGATGGTGATGATAGTAGTGGTTTTATACACCAAAATGTGATTGAAGAAGCTAAAGACATTCCTGAGTCTTTGCCTCTCATTTCTTTGGATGATGAAACTGAAGACAGGAACCTTGCAACCGCATTGCAAGACATGTTCTCTGAGAGTGTAAGCTGACCCTATCTTACTCATTAGTTGTTCTTGTTTCTGTTCTATTGCCTTTGTTCCTGTTTTGCATACGGTGTCTTGTTGAAGTCTAAAAGTATTTTTTATACAGTATATTGTGGATGTGCAGTTTCTCTGAGTGATCAGATAAATGCTTGAACTTAGAAGTTCCTTCCTCATAGCTCTATGCTTGATATCATGGCTGTTTCCATCATATGTCGGTAGTTGCTTACAGCTTCTAGAGCCAACCCTTTAGTCTTTAGTGGTTGTTATACAAAAATGCCAAGGAGTTGCGTTACAAAGTATCCCTGGCCAATGCAAGGACGTACCTTATGGAAAATTCTCCAAAACCAATTTTATGATCCATGAAAGATTACAGATCCTCAGATTTTGGCTGTGTGTGATATATATCTCAATGGCTGTAGCTTATCAATATCTTTTTCAGTTTCTGATGTAAATAGTAGAGAAATGCTGTGTTTATGTTGGCTGCCTTCTGATTTTTGTATCTTGTAAACCAACAACAGATGAGTGTGGTTACTTTGATTCCTGCCATTAAAGGTGGTCGAGAGAAACATGGCAAGTCACTCAAGAAGCTGAGTGTGACATGGGCTGAAGATGTTTATGATCCTCCGCCCTCTATTGTCTCTCACACAAGAAGCAAGAAACAGCAACCGCAGAAATCAAAGAGCAAAGACAACCTGAAGAAGAATGGAAAGAAAGGTCAGAAGGGAAGCAGCAATTCCCGTGGCAGCAAAGACAAGAAGCAGACTTCTTCTCGCAGCAGCAAATACAATCGTGATAAATTTGATTGGACAACGCAAGTGTCTATTATAGCTGCATCTTCTTGAATCTGTGTGACACGACCAAGGCATTTGCGTCTTCCTTACTCTTTCGTCCGTCCTCTCTCTTTGGCCTTCGCTTGTTTATAAATAAAATATTTTGTGTGAAAACTTTCTAAGTTTCAGAAACGACTTTTGTTATTCGTACGGAATTGGTTTTGATTTTACACGAATTACCAACTATTGTGAAGCTGTTTCCTCTCCACCTACGTCTTCTTTTGTTTAGTAATACTGTATATAGCTGAAAATTTCGTAAATTATTTAAAACTTCTTAAAATTTGTTTAGTTTAGCACTAAAGCGCACATGATGCTGTGTCCATCAATTGCTTATGTAATAGTGCGTAGATTTCAACTCGCAAGTCTGATATCAGTTTGAGCGAAGCCATTGCTATACACAGTGATCAGAGGAACAACTTTAGTATTAAATATATGCTTACGACTTTATTATATTTGCTTCTTCTTTTCATTTCTTTCCTAGTTTCCTTTACAAAAATATCTCAGTAGGTCTGTAACCTCTCGTGTCAACCCTAAATTCTAATATCCTCTCTGTTAAGAGCTTGTACAAAAAGTAACAGAGGTACACAAGAAATGACCCTTCTGCAAAAAGAAAACAAGAGTGGGTTTTTCAAGGAGAGAGAAAGCAAATAAAGGAAAGATCCTAACTACCAAAATCCAGAAGAAGCTTCAAAAAAATCTTCCATGAAACATGATATCAGATGACCAAAGTTGTTTCCGAAAACGACGGTACTTTCTTCTCGAGCATTGATGTTCCCTTGAAGACTGTAAGCTGCACTTCTCTCTGGTACTTCTGTAACTGCAAACACAAACACCATTGTCAATCCCCTTTCAACTATTCTTGTAATCAGACTGCGCAACCGCTTAAAATTTGATCAAGTCAATAGATTCATCACGAAAAAAAATTGCCAGGAGAAATGTCCCAGGCCAAACTTCACGTACTTGATGTTCAGTCATCTTTGTGAAACCAAATTTTTTTATCCAGATTGACTCGGCTTCTTCAGCTGCTGGGAGAAGCAAGTTCTCAACATTCAGAGAGGCAAGAAGATTCTCAATGCAAGCAAACAGGCCTTGAAAGTAGCCCTAAAGAAACATTAAACAAAGTGAATTGTTTTTGTTACAAGTTATAAAAACAAGCAAATCACACAGTAAACAGACATGGGAAATACAAAAGTTTACCCTTCCTTGATACTCTCGGCTTGTAGCTACCATAGGAAGTTCTGCAACTTTCTGACCAAATATCCTAAGCAGTGCGGCAGAAACAACAAAGGAACTAACAATGCAGCAACAAACAAAAATTAGGATGATCGAAAGATGGTGAAAGAAACACAGAGAAAGAAAGATAAATGCATAAAGAACACCAAGCATACTTCACCATCAGGACCAAACAGTACATTCCTCCAAACTCCTGGCCTGATATGTTTCTCCTGCAAGCATGTTGGAAGAATTACCAAGATGATTAATAACTATAAACATATGAATGAACAAGGTACTCGGATCAGAGTTTACAACAGTACAACTTACCCATAGACCATTACAGGAATGAGATCACGACCAGACTTTGCCACAATGGGATCAAAACACTCCTGAAAAGTAAACTCGCTATACATTAGTTAATAAAATAAATTTACAAGCCAGATAATAGTAGAAATTATTTGAGCACATTTATAAGTCTCGGCATACCCTGAAAATAGCCGCTGCTCGTGAAAGTAAGGGTAGATGCTCTGGGTATCGACTTTTTCCTCTAAGCATCCTCCATTCCACAATGTCTCCGTTGTCAATATATATTCCTTTTTCTCTGTATTTTCTGCTTATAGTGTCTAACAGAAGTGTGGGAATTGTTTGTTGCCCACATGAAGCAGAGTTTTGAAGAACTTGGTGAATCCTGCTGCAGTCACTACAGCAGAACCATTTATCTTGGGGGATCCCCTACAGTATTCAGGAAAGAAGTTGAGAGAGGTTCAATGAACTTTCGTGAACCCAGACCACCAATATTACATGACTTACTTTCAAATCACAAAGCTCGTTTTCCCTGAGACAACCGACGTGGTACTCTTTCTCACACTTCAAAAGAAAGGAGGAAAAACGACCATTAGACAAGATAGACGTGGTTATAGGAAATCTTGAATAAGAAACCAGAAACAACAATATCAACCTGGTCACAGAGAATAACTGTCCTATCATCAAATTTCCCAACGCTAAAATCATGTGACCTATCAGAAATGGGCGAGAACGAATCAGCAGAGTGGAGAACACTTATATGCGGACTAAAACTAAAAGTATGTATACAACCAACCTACAGAACACGCAACCACCAATTTCACTTTCTGGTGCTTTAACAACTCTTGTTAGTCTTATAACTATGGGTTTTAAATTAGGATCAGTAGCAGTGGCCGTTTTGCAAGAGATAGTTCCATCATTGCAGCTTGAACAGTACCAAGTCCCTTCAGGCATTGATTGAAATTTCAAGCATACTGCATATGAAAAGGGTCACAAATTATTAGAACCGCTGAACAACCCTAGAGCTGATACCAAAACAATGCTGATTTTGCAAACCATCTTTAAATTATTTTAGAACTGAAACGGAAAGAAGCTTATATGAGTAATTCCTTTTTCATTATGCTTGAGAAATTTTGTCAAGAAATATGTGCTTAAGGATTAAGTTGTGGATTCGCCATAGTAGAATGATGAACAAGCAAGTCTACTATCCTTTAGCAGTAACAGATACCCACCTGTATGAAATGCTTGAGGGCATCCAGCACATAGTAGCAAATCTCCACCATCGCCACAAACAGAACACATGTCATCGTTGTCACCAGTTGTAATGACATGGCCCCCACCCGCCAATGACATAGCTATATCATGCAATGACAATCCCGAAGATATGAGGATATGACGATAACTGCAACAGAATCAGAAACTTCAGATGTCTTACAAAATTAGTTCAATTACACATCGCTACTAGATAACTTACGGTTGCCGTCTACCAGCCATTCCAGCATGTGCTTCGAATTGTGAAGGACTAATCTGTTATTAAGAAAAACGCTACACATCTATCATTATACTTGAAATAATAATGAGTATAAGGGCCAATCTACGTAGTCACTGCATCTAGCATGTTACCTCTGCGTCGCAGCAGCTACATACAATACCACTTCCTTGTTTGTAACCCTGCAGTAGTTTCTGCGAGAAAAACTAGTGTCAGCAAAACCAGTCAAACATAAATTTGCAAAAAGAATACACAGAATTATTCAATTAAGCCCACAATAACAGACCTCCGATTTCACATAGTAGGCCAATTCAGTCCCATCCGGAAGCCCACTAGGCAAAAACAGCAACCGGTGTAAATCATTGTCCCTACAAAGATATGATTGCAATTTGCTGTCATCACCTGTTGATCGCATTTAGAGAATAAATGTGAACAAGGATAGCTAAATAATGAAGTTCACAAAAGAAATACGAACCTCTTCCATTTACCGCCTCCAGAAACTTTCTTATGGCAACCAATACCAAACATATGAGAGGTACGCCTACAGTATTAACGACCAGGTAAAGTTTTCTATGTTCCGTAACGAATTGTCAATAAGTAATACTCGAGTAATCAATAACTAAGCAAGAAAAATTGAGGACCGTACTTCTTTTCTTTTGGCTTATGTTCATGTCGGGTGTCCTTTGTACAGATTTCCCCACTAAAATAATTGTTCTCTGGTAAACATGGAGTAGAGCTTTGACTTTCATCAAGAGACCAACCAGAACCAGGATAACTGCAACTTTCACAATGTAAGTTTAGGGCATTTTAAACTTCTTATAGAAATAAACAACTAAACAACAAAGGATCCAAGTGTCACTGATCATCTGCAACTACAAATCTTTGGAATTAAAGATCAAGTAATAACACAAGTAGGGGGGTCAAAGTACCTGACAAGGGATTGAAACGAATCATCCATTATATGGTTGCTAACATCTTCAGCCATGTTATTATCCTGCTGGAAACTTTCTGAAGATCAGAATAGCAAGTCAGCTATGTCTATCATAAAGTAAAAGAATACACAGGAAAATTCAGGGAAAGCACTTTCAACATGGTGGGAGATTCCCAAGCAAAGAATGAAAACTAAATCCAGCAGGCAAATAAGATACCTTTCCAAACCTGAAAGCTCTCCTCGTTCAGAGCAGAACCAGCCACATTCCTTATCTTTTCCTCGAGAACATCAAACGGAGCATTCTTCAGCTCTTGAATTATGTTATAAACTGACATTCCGTTCTCCAAGTAGATGTGCTTGTTAGAGTGTTTCTTTTTCCCACCAGCATGCCGCTCGAACTCATGAGCACCTAGAACCTTCCCACAAAACAAATATGACATAGTTAAAGCCTGTGAAATTCCACCTAGTACAAACACATAAGAAAACGATGAAGAATCATGAAGAACAAACTTACTTTTGAGAAATCGCACACAGTACAGCCACACAAATACCCACCCGAGTAGATTATCCCTTGAAGTTGTCTCTAATGACCATTAAAAGTAATATAAGAAATTGAGAACATATATCACCTACATATTGTCATAACAAAATGAGAATATCCAACCCAAATCACGATAAACAGACAAAGAAAACAATGAACTTACCGGAGGTGAGGTTGAAAAGTACTTCACCCGAGCACCATCGAGAATACCAGTCAATAATAGATTCTTAACATTAGATGTGAAGTTGGTAGAGACTATCTTCTTCTTCGAAGGTTTCACACTCACACCTAAAGTTGAAGGAGCACTCTCCCAAGTATGCCCCTTTATCATGGGTAAATCACATAAATCATCATTTCGTTTACTGAGCTTAAACGTGATTCTCGTGATCCCAGTTGTGCTAAGATGCTTTGGAATCTCCCTTACGAAACAAGACGGTACATCATCACTCGATTGCGAGCTATCTGCTAGCGATGCGCTATATTCACTGTGCTTCTCGTCGTCGCTTACAGAGTCATCCGAACCAGAATGACTGCCCGAACAAGACCCAACGCGACCATCTGAACTCGATTTAGCCGGATTACTAGTGATATCGCGAAAAGTAGAGACAATATCAACCGGAGACAGGACTGGGTTAGATATTTCCGACCTAATGTCATCGTTTGAAGCTTCCTTCGATTGTCTCTTGTTAGAATAAAGCTCTCCTCCTTGTATAGTATCTTCTTCAAAACACATACGGTCTCTCTTCAATTCCTTCTTCATTTCTGAACTCTCTTCCACCAAATCTCCTTCCTTTAGCAATTCCAAGCAAAGTTCTCCTTCTCCCATTGTAAAATTGCTCAATCTCACACAATGGTATTCAAAAAATTTATCCCTTGTACTGAGTAACTGACGTAGTGCAGGTCCAAAATCCAAATCGGAGAAGACACTGTCTGCTGATTTGGGTGTTTTTTGTTTTTTTTCTTTTTCGGAAATCCGAAAAACAATTGGAGAAACGTATGGATTTGAGTAGTAACCTTATTCACATCTTCAAATCAAAATATTCACATCGGTTCTCGTACGAACAAAACGGGGGAACCCCTAAGCTCGACCATAATCGAGAGTTGGGAAGAAGGAATCGTCGATCTAAGATCTGTAGAAACGGATTAGAAAAGTCGATTTGGAAACAAAACCGAAGGTAAGAGAAGACGATTTAGGGTTAGGGTTTGGGAAGTGAGATAAGAAGAGAGGGAAAAAAAGAAAAGAAAAGAGAGAGAACGTGTAACGCGGCAACGAACCAGAACGAAAGCTTTTATTAGCGCTCCTTTATTTTATTTTTAACTTTAAAAAATGAGAGAGAAACATAGAGAAGGTGACAACTGACAACAATATTTAGAGTTGCATTATAAAAATGGTAATAAGAAAATAATTAATTATCCTAATACTCAAAATATTTAATACTACCAAAAATATATATATATATATATATATATATATATATTTAAATACACTTACATTGACACCTAATAGTGCTAATACGAGACAAGACAATAAAGGTTCGAAGATCTATATACGAGAGTAATATTACAGATTTTTAAAAATATCTACAATTGGTGACATAACTGAAATTTTATTTAGCGGGAGAACTGGAACGTATATATAACAAAAGATCTCATCTCAATGGAAATAATTGCACTAACTTATTCATGTTGAAGTTTCAATTATTGCATATGGGAGATGGGACTTGATTTAGTATTATATAGCTTTAAAAAGCCAATATGTACAAGTTTTTTTTTTTTTGTAGATGAATGTGTTATGGTTTGTATTTGAAGGTAATTTTTTCCTTGGTTTCCTTTTGATATTGAACTCTTTCTGACAAAAGAAGAAGATAATGCATACACAGAAAGGAGAATCCCCTCAAGGCGAGTAGAGATAGGACTTTAAATGTTACAAGATAATGAGTGTTTGAGTTACAGAACTTCCAAGATATACCAATCAAAGATGTTACAAGATGTAAAGAAAAGAGATTAGACCTAAGAAGAAGTATTAATAAAGCCATACCTAATAGAACAATTCCATATCCATAAAGCTTAAGCTTAGCTTTTTAAGACATCAATGATAACAATAGTGAGAGTTGTCCCTAATAATTCAACGCCTACAATGATAACAATAGTGAGAGTTGTCCTTAGCTGGTGTTCCACAGTTGTAGCAAAAACCCAATCCACACCTGCATCGAGTACTTAACCAGATTCAACACTTTTTTTTTTTGTTTTAAAACTTTTATATGACAGACAAGAAGAAGAAGAAGAGACAGTACCTGCACTTCATGTATAAGCAACCTTGAGACTTTTCAATGTAGAATTTGCAAGATGGACATCTTTTCCATTTCTTATTCTTGGCCATCTTCGCGAGCAATATATCATCTCTTCCTCTTTCGTTCTCCTCTAGCTTCTGAAACTCCTCGCAAGTTATCTCCGGGTGCCACTTAGTCCCACACTCCACACACACCATCCTATGGCAATGAGGACACTCTGCATCCTTCATGTTCTTTTCACTCTCTTCCAAGAAGAGCAAAGCAGAGCAATCCTTGTACGGACAGTAGATTCTCTTCGAACGCATCACCACTGCCTCACACAGAGCATCTCCCCACCGATCAAAAACCTCTCTTGGCAGGATCTGACGACAATGATCTGGCTCGAGCCGACCGGTGCAACCAGAGACAGGACACTCGATCGAGAGGACGTTGTCTTGTAACCTGGCGGCTATGTATTTCGAGACGCAGTCGCTGCAGTAGAAGTGAGAGCATCCACTGATTCGAAACGTCTCAATTATGGATTTTGATTCAACACATATCTCGCAGTCGAAGGTCGCCGTCGTCGCTGAAGCCGAAGACTGTCCCTTTTCTACGAATTTGGCGAAGGTTGGTGGTGGGAAACAGAGGATTCTGATATCATCATCGTCGTCGTCGTCGTACTGATCAAGATCTATGTAAATTGGAGATTCTGATTTGACTGGGGTGTGAGGAGAGCTGACCCAGAGACGTTGAAGTTTGCGATCACGGTCGTAATTCTCAACTGAAATGGCGTCACGCTTGGTGGAACCACGAGTCGAGAGAGGTGCGGAGAAGATGAAACAATCGGAATTGTCGCCGTCATCGTTTACATCTCCGGGAAGATCGACGATCACTGCATTGACTGACTGTGTCGCCATCTCAAAATGACGATTCCAATTCGGGTTCGTCAACAATCAAAATTAGGGTTTACGAATCACTCAATTCACACTTCTACTTTTTACTTTGCATTTTGGATGATCAGTCTCATCAATCACAATCATCCTAAATCGATTTTTTAATAATTTATTCGGTTCATGTATGGACCCGGTTCGACCGCCGGTTATTAAACATTCCAAATCCTTAAACCCCCTTTAGTTTTGCTTCACTCTCATCATCTTCTCTGGAAACTGGAACAATGGCTTTCTCTTCCTGTCTCAAATTCTATCCATTTTCAATTTCTCAAGCCGTAACCCTAACTCACCAATCCTTCTCTCTCAAGCTAACTCCTCCTTCTTCTACTATCTCCTTCGCTTCTCCTCACTCTGCAGCTCTCTCCTCTCCTGATGTCAAGCTTCTCGACTCACTCCGTAGCCAGCCTGATGATTCCGCCGCGCTTCGTCTTTTTAAATTGGCCTCTAAGCAGCCTAATTTCGCACCTGAACCTGCTCTCTACGAGGAGATTCTCCACCGGCTAGGCCGGTCTGGTTCGTTTGATGACATGAGGGAAATTCTCGGGGATATGAAGAGCTCGGGATGCGAAATGGGTACTTCTCCTTTCTTGATTTTAATCGAGAACTATGCTCAATTTGAGTTGTACGATGAGATTTTAGGTGTTGTTCATTTGATGATTGACGATTTCGGATTGAAACCCGATACGCATTTTTATAACCGGATGCTGAATCTTCTCGTTGATGGGAATAATCTGAAGCTTGTGGAGATTGCTCACGCGGAGATGAGTGTCTGGGGGATTAAACCAGATGTATCGACGTTTAATGTTTTGATTAAAGCTTTGTGTAGAGCTCATCAGCTTAGACCTGCGATTTTGATGTTGGAGGATATGCCTAGTTATGGTCTTGTTCCTGATGAGAAGACATTTACAACGATTATGCAAGGGTACATTGAAGAAGGAGACTTGGATGGGGCTTTGAGAATTAGGGAACAGATGGTTGAGTTTGGGTGTTCATGGTCTAATGTCAGTGTTAATGTTATTGTCAATGGTTTCTGCAAGGAAGGGAGAGTTGAAGACGCTCTCAACTTCATTCAGGAGATGTCGAATCAAGGCGGGTTTTTCCCAGATCAGTATACGTTTAACACGTTAGTTAATGGTTTGTGTAAAGCAGGCCATGTGAAGCATGCTATTGAGATTATGGATGTGATGCTTCAAGAAGGGTATGATCCAGATGTGTACACTTATAACTCGGTGATCTCGGGCTTGTGTAAACTTGGAGAGGTGAAGGAAGCAGTTGAGGTTCTTGATCAGATGATCACTAGAGATTGTTCTCCAAACACGGTCACTTACAACACTTTGATCAGCACATTGTGCAAGGAGAATCAGGTCGAGGAAGCTACGGAGCTTGCCCGCGTTCTCACCAGCAAAGGGATTCTCCCTGACGTTTGTACATTTAACTCGCTGATCCAAGGTTTGTGTTTGACTAGGAATCACCGGGTTGCGATGGAGTTGTTTGATGAGATGAGGAGCAAAGGATGTGAGCCCGACGAGTTCACATACAATATGCTGATCGATAGTTTATGTTCCAAAGGGAAGCTAGATGAAGCTCTAGACATGCTTAAACAGATGGAATCAAGTGGCTGTGCACGTAGCGTCATAACTTACAACACTTTGATTGATGGGTTTTGTAAAGCAAACAAGATAAGAGAAGCCGAGGAGATATTCGATGAGATGGAAGTGCATGGGGTTTCAAGAAACTCTGTTACATACAACACACTCATCGATGGGCTATGTAAAAGTAGGCGAGTAGAAGACGCAGCTCAGCTCATGGATCAAATGATAATGGAAGGACAGAAACCTGACAAGTTCACATACAACTCACTTTTAACACATTTCTGCAGAGGAGGTGACATAAAGAAAGCTGCAGATATCGTGCAAACCATGACCTCAAACGGATGCGAACCAGACATTGTTACCTATGGAACCTTGATAAGCGGTTTGTGTAAAGCTGGTAGAGTTGAAGTTGCAAGTAAGCTTTTGAGGTCGATTCAGATGAAAGGGATTGCATTGACACCTCATGCTTATAACCCGGTGATTCAAGCTCTGTTTAGAAAGAGGAAAACAACGGAAGCTATAAATTTGTTTAGAGAAATGCTTGAACAGAATGAAGCTGCACCTGATGCAGTCTCTTACAGAATCGTTTTCCGTGGGCTATGTAATGGAGGTGGACCGATTCGTGAAGCAGTGGACTTTCTTGTTGAGCTGTTAGAAAAAGGGTTTGTGCCTGAGTTTTCTTCTTTGTACATGTTGGCTGAAGGTCTTCTAACTTTGTCAATGGAGGAGACACTGGTCAAGTTAGTTAACATGGTGATGCAGAAAGCGAGATTCTCGGAGGAAGAAGTTTCAATGGTGAAAGGTTTGCTTAAAATCAGGAAATTTCAGGATGCTTTGGCCACTCTTGGTGGCGTATTGGACAGTCGCCAGCCAAGGAGAACCTTCCGGTCAAGATGATACTTTGGAAAGAAATTCACACTTCCAAATTCGTAGACATATGTATGTTGTTCTGAATATGATTTCCTATAAAATTTTGGAGTAATTCATTAATATAATCTTAGGATTTCTTCCCCCTCTCCAACTCACTGCGGTTTTACCGACAAATATATATATTGAGGTGTATTTTATGTTTGGTCTTTGCTGGTCAGTCCACTATATATATTTGCTCAATAACCATCCTAGGTAGTAATTTCAACCATAAGCGTCATGTCCTCAACAACCCACATATAAATGTTTTATTGTTTGGTCTGTGGGATACAAACTAAACAGCATCTGAATTCTCAAATGCAACTTGTGGATCTTTTCTCGTATATTGCATACTTGTTCGATCAAGTAGATACATCCACTAATCCACATATAGAACGGCTTCGTCACTCGTGGGCATTCCCACTGCCACTTGTATAACTACGTCCACATCTACTAGTGGATTTTGTTTCGGATCGAACCAAACATTCGTTGAACCTGCTAAACCCTTTATAGAAAATTGCCAAAACAGCATTGTTTATGCGTTTCGAAAAACCACATTATCACACTACCAACAAGGCAATTTTGAGAAAAAGAATGTTCAGTTGTGATTACAGTTGAAGATAAATTTAAATTGTGAAAGACTAAAACCAAAAATCTTTAGCTAACAGTCGGCTATGGATCTTGTACAAATACGGTACTCATTACCACATATGAAGATAAAGATATCAAGATACTGCCAACTTATGAAAAAAAACAGACCTGTGAGGAATTGATGAAAATGGTTTCAAGATGAAGACCGATCTCATGTATATTCAGACCAGGACGGTTCCAGCCTTAATTAATTATACACTCTAGTTGGCATTCTGAATCACCTATCCAAAAATAAAATGAATATAGCGTTACTGTGATATTTAACTGTTAAAGCTACATGAGCTTAAAGCTTGCTTACCCTTAGAGAAAACCTCCACCAGTCCAAGCGGAGTCTGATTTCCCGTTGTGACCAACAGATTTCTTATCGCCTGCACTTTGGTAATGACCATCGAACCCATCATCTTTGGCATCATGATCATCCCAACCAGTCCAGCCATCATCATCATTAGAAGCTAATGACCCTTTTGGAGCTGCAGCTTCTGTCTTCCTATTCTCATTCTCTCCCCAACTATCCCAAGAATTTGACTTCTGTGAATTGTCATAATGACCACTTGATGATGATTGCGACCTTCCTCCTCCAACAGATGAAATAGCTGCTTTGTTCCCATTTCCAAAGTTCTGGTAGTAACCATTGCTCTCATTTTCACTCTGTTGATTCCAGCTAGTTGTTCCTTCTTTAGTGTACTCTTCTACCTTCTGTGTCGCCATTGCCATTACTCCTTTCATGATTCCCCATGTCCTATGTCCTATCTCTGTTGTCTTATTCGCTACTACATTTACAGTTTCACTCACCTTGTGATCGTATCCACCTTCCTTCACCTGCAAAGAAATGGTTTCTTATCTGATTTTGACTCCACTTTTCCAAAATACTTATATCAGCAGTATTACGGCAAACAAGAAATGTACAGAGAGCATCCAAGAATTGTGCTTTCTACAGAGTTACAACGAATCTAACTAGAGGTGATGTAGAGGCATCAAGATTATGAGCCTCGATAGGCAATATTTGCAAATAAGTAACACTGTGGAACTAGAGAGAACACAAAATTTGTCGCATAACTATGTCAAAAATGAGATAACAGGCGAAAAAACACATGGTATTTCACAACTTTTATGCAAATCAAGCAGAGACTACAGATAGTTACCTTGGATGTGAACTCCTTGGTTCCGGTTTGAACAACACTCGCAGCTGATTGAGCTGCAGATGCGGCAACCAGAGACAGCCTTCCAAAACCCTATCATTTTAAAAACGAATCAACACGGGAAAAAAAGAATTCACTCAACATAGTCACCCCAGAAAAGGAATTGAAAGCATCAAATTCACCTGAGAAACAACGGAGAAAACATCATCCTGTTGATTATTTCTCGGTGGTGGAGCTGAGCTTGATCCGAATCCAACATACTTGCCACCTTGCGAAGGCGGAAGACCTTCAGGCTTAGACTCATTCTCCGCCATTCTCCTCGCGAAGAAACTCTCTTTCCCTGCAGCAGAAGCCTCCAGCTGGGATCGAGTGTAGATATCCTCCGATGACTTCGACTTCACCGGTGCACCTCCTCTAGTTCCCGATGCCCTAAAATCATTCGCTGATTGATTCCGTCTCATATCAGTTGAAGATTTGTAGGAATCATCGTTATCCCAACTATCCCAGCCTCCACTGTTGTTGTTTCCGTAACCACCCTGAGCCAACGGAGGCTTCTTATTCATCCCCACACCTCCTCCGCCGCCACCGCCGATCGCCTCCTTAACAACTGGCGGATCCCTCCAAGGCCTACCTTCAGCTAAAGCTTGGATCCGGTCACGATACACAGAAGCTGCGTTTGAATTATACTTGGAAATGATATCTGTCTCCTTAGCGATTCCGTATTGCGCGAAGAAATTGTTGAGCCGTTCGTTGCCTCCAGCTTCCATTTTCTTAATCTGGATCGCAGACCATGAGTCCATGGTGACGGATCTGACGAAGGAGATGTGAACGCCTAAGCCTCTGTGTTTCCCGGAGCACTCCAAGCACATGAAGATTCCGTAAGAAACCGACGCCCATTGAGGATTCTTCTGAGCGCAGTCCACACATACCTTGTTTTCAGGCTGAGATTGGAGAGTGCGTAATTGTCTCGCCGCCGCCATGTTTCCCGGGGAACCGATCACCAATCAATCCAACCTGAAGCAGATCTGATCCAGACTTGTGCTGCTCAGATTGATGCGTTTTTTTTTTTTCTTCCCTACTTCTGCTTCCTAATAAATTGTCGAGAAACATATTTTGGTACGTGTCTTTGGCACGTGCGAGGTTCTCGGCGGCTAAAATAAAACAAACCGGTTTTGCCTAACCGTTATATGTATAACTTTTCAGTATAATCATCTTTTAAACGTATAAACTAGATCAAAAATAAATAAAAACACTATGAGATGGCCATACAATACTGATGCGAATAGCCTAATCATTTAGATGTAGAATGCTTTTTTCTATAATTCTTAATGAATAGTAAAATATTGTAGATAAACTACATATTCAATTAACGCTTTATACCATTAACGCAAAGATACCACTGCATACATTTGGTTTTTTATCATACATTTGTGTCTCCTCCATTAATACTTAGCGAAGAAGACTCATCATTAACAATTTTGGAAACCGTAATCTCCTCTACATGAGCTTTGTTATGTTGTTGAACCACAAGGATCGATGGGATGATGTGGTTGATGGAAGAGGCGAGTACGTCTCCGATAGGACCTAGCTCGGGATGTTCGGCCTGACGCTCAGCTAATGTCGCCACTTCTGCGGACGGTAACCTTCCTCTTCCAACCACTATAAGGTCAAAGTCTTTACTTTGTCCTATCGACAATATGTCTTCAATTATGTTGTCTGGTTCCTTTTCTTTGTACTCCACCAGTTCTTTCCATTTGCTCTTGAATTCTTCCATTGACCCTTCGTCTAATTCCTATTCCAATTTTTTTTAAAAACAACTGTTATATTTGTTATAGATGATAAATAAATAGGGGAAACGAGATTTACCTTTTCTTTTTCCGGATCCACGTTGGTTGTCAAAAAAGCATAGTTCTTCTCCTTACATTTAGACGGTGCCGGTCGTAAGGTGACGGCATTAGTCCTCAACGTTTCTCTCACCAAGAACCTAATTACGGTAACTTTAACGGCCGGATGCTCCGCCATCCTCCCGCCGAGCTCTAAAGCCTCACGATCATCAGGCCCACCAAAGAAAATCACACAAACCCTTTCAACTACATTAGACCCATCTAGGCTCGAAGTTTGGGCCTCAATGGACCCAAGTCCACGGTCCACAAGAACACCAACCGAACAGGGCGCGTTCTTCAAAACCCTCTGGTTAACTAATCGCCAACCATGGCCAACGTTTTCTGGTATGTTTGCATCTCCTCCGTCTTGGTGATGCTCAGCGTTCCATCGTTTGTGGAAAGGTAAAAGAATCATTGTGACCCTCTTGGTCTCAGCCATGTGACAAATATCTTCGTGCATTGTAGGTAATGGAGAGACTGCGGTGATGGGCCGGACCGCGACTCGGCCTAGTTGACGATAGGCTTGGAAGCCTCCTATGACGCTGCTATGGCACTCACCGTGACGGTAACGGTGGACGAAAGGAAATCCGTTTTTACGGGCTCGTTGCACCATTATGATTGACGACGACCGTTCTGTTAGTTCCATCAGATGCATCACGAAAAGCTTTAGCTGTAGTATCTGTGCCAAAAACACATATGATTTTAAATTAGTAATCAAGATTATTACCCAAGATTCTAACAAAAACTGATATAAATTTAAAGTAACCTTAGTGGTTCGAATGGACTCGATGAGAGAGATGAGGGAGGAAACATTGGCTGGGCCGTGGAGGCAGGCTAGGATGCGAAGCTCTTCCTTGGAAGAATCTTCGCTCGTCGACAAGTCTTTTAACTTCCGGTGGGTGCCACGAGCTGGCTTGTAAATGGCCATTACACTTGGTGTTGTTATGAATGTTGTGAACAGTGCCATTAGCACTAATATCGCAAATGTTTCGTCGTTTAGTACCTTATAAAAGTCAAACCCAAAAAAACAAACAGTGTAGTTAATAACCACATATATATTGCTAAAATTTTATAATTAGTGGGTAGTAAATCATTATTAGATTTTATTGTTGCATTATGTGGACAAGATCATATAGTTTTTGTTGTGCCGCATATTTGCAAGTGGATCAGTATGCGGTGATTTCGTGAAGATTGGCCCACTCGAAAGGAATTCGTATAAAGTTTTTCATGCATGCATGATTAGCCTTAATTGTGTGATACTGTTCTTTATTATCCCAAAACAAGAGGAAACGAAATAACCAATAATATTACTCATCGTGGTACTGGTACCGTGGACTTTGTCACCCCTAATAATTCAAGATCCGACTAGTGAATTGAAAAGAAAATATTGAAACATATCTTCCCACAAAAAAAAATATATATATATATTATTGTTAGTTTGGACATATATTTTAAGTTTAATATATAGTTTGTTGATGTGTAAGATCTGATTTGGAATTATATAGTATTTGCTTTTCTTATAAAATAAAATGGTATAGTCGTATGTACTTAATTAACTACTATTTTGTTCTAGGCTATGGTATCATACAATATAACGGTTGGTTAATGTTCAGATAAACATAAGCAATTTATTACTATTCCGAATATCCCGACCCAAATGCATATTCACAGGGAACCAACTAGAAGATAGAATCATTATTATATCTAAGCTTTAGACTATACGATTAAATTAATATAACAAACGTATTTTGTTTTATATGCTTTCCCCACAAAAATAATGACCAAATAACTTTTGTTATAACTGATAACTAGTAAAAGCAAAAAACAAAGAACCTTAAAAATTTGAAATAAAAAAGACAGGGAAGACAAAACTAACCTTTTTTTCCTTGCCTATGTTGAGTACAATGAGCTCCACTAAACCTTTAGTATTCATCAAGAAACCAAGTGTCAAAGCCTCTCTCGCCGGCACCTTCACCATCACCGCCACAGCAAACGTTCCGGCGATCTTTCCTGCGCAAGCCGTAACAACTACAAGACCCAACATCCCCCACGACTCAGCTCCTTTGATCTTAGCCACGTCAGTCTTCAACCCACTCGTGGCGAAATAGAGCGGTAAGAGTAAACCGGAAACAAAATCCTCAATCCGTTCAATCAATCGCTGACCGAACTCTCCATCTTTCGGTATACACAAACCGAAAACAAACGCACCGAATATCGAATGGATCCCAATAAAATCCGTCGCGAAACCGGAAACCATAACCCCGGCTAAGGTCAAACACACGTAAGACTCACGAACGACGTCGTTCTCAGGAGATCCACGTTTCGCAACCCATTTCATTCCGGGTCGGATCACAGTCAACATAAATACCACGAACCCAAGACCCGATAACAAAACCCACAACGACACTAACGGACTCTTTTTCTCCCCACCGCCTTCACCGCCATTACCCGCTAACGCAACCGCTAAAGCCAGCAAAATCCACGCGGCCACATCGTTGAAAGCGGCTGCAGCCATCGCGGTTTCTCCGATCTGAGTCGTCAGAAGCTTGAGCTCTGCTAAAATACGCGCGAGCACAGGAAAAGCCGTGATGGAGAGTGCGACTCCCATGAAAACGAGAAACTCGGCGTATCCTGGTCTATCCGCGGCGGTGTAGAGAGTGTTACGGATCACAAACGCGACCCCCACGCCGCCGAGAAACGGTAGTGTGATTCCGGCGACCGCGATTCCGAAAGCGCGTTTGCCGCTTCTTCTGATAGATGATAAGTCGAGCTCGAGACCGACGAGGAAAAGGAAGAAGAGTAGCCCTATGCTCGCGACGGATTCGAGTATCGGCATACTCCATTTTGGGAACACACGGTCCATGTACGCCGTGTTTCTACCTAACGCCGACGGTCCTAACAAAATACCTCCCTGAGATGAAGACGAACGATGGCAAAAATGGTAAATATATTACGATGATAAGATTATATTATGGCAAAAAACTGTAAAATATAGTATTTGTGTGTGTGTGTGAGAGAGTAAAGGATGTGATTAAATTCTTTTAACGTACGACGATCTCGGCGATGACGATGGGTTGACGGAGAGGTTTGAATAAGACGGCGAGGGAGCGACTGACGGCGATGATTAACGTCGTTTGGACGATGAGTAACGGGAAGGCGAAGTTTAACGGATTGTCGCCTTGCCATACTCCGTTAGATGAGGTTTTGACGGAGGTTATGTTGAAGGGCATTTTGGGGATTTCTGTGACTCCTGCTTAATCTTAATATAATGACACCAAACAACAACAAGGAAAAGAACAAAAAGAGAAGGGACTCTTTCTTCTTTGTTTTGCTAAAATTGGAACATGAGATATAATATAAGATCAAGTAAGAAGACGATGCAGTTTTGTGAAGAAATTTATAGGCAAAACAAAAGGGTTTGAAGATTCAAAAAAAGGTAGTAATAGTAGTAATGTCGTTGCTTGTTACTTTGGGTGCGTCTATCTGCATCTCACGTGTGACTTGACCTTGAGTGGAAGTCATTTGTTTCATATTATGTTTATGTTTATTTTGTTTTCTTTCCAAAATTCACAACATCAATCTAGTCAATACATTAGAAAACTAGTGTTTGCTACAACACTAGGAACTTTAGGGGGGTCTAATTCATTTGCTAAGTTTGTATAGTTTTAGTAAAAAATATTGAAAACCAATATTACAGTACTCCAAAACTCCCTTACAAGTGTGCATGTTTTACCATAAAGAAACAATTCGTGGTTGCTACAACCAAAAGTAAAGAAGACTTTAGAATTTACATATTATCATTATTTTAACGAGAAGGAAAAAAATGAATACTCATCTCATATGATCATAGCTGATATTGCAAAGTAAATAATATTGGATTAATTATCAACGAAGAAGGAATCATGTGAGTTGCACGTGGGACGCGAGAGATCGGCGTTGACAAATGCTGCGTAGTCGTGGATTGGTATCTTACGAGCACAACCAAGTGACACGTATCTATGACTTTCTCATATATTCTAATTTTTTCTCTGATATATTTTGGCATTATTTACATTTAATAGAGCTGTTGATTTTTCCAAGAAGTTTCAATCGTATCTTTTTTAGTTTTATTCAGCTTCGTTTCTAAGACTTCCCTAACTTTTCTTAGCTAAGTTAGATTGTTAGTCAAGTTTGAAAATAAGCTGTGTTGATCATATAGTTACGATAGACTTTACAAGCCAATTTTTTTTTTTTTTTTTTTTTTGGTAAAAAATTTACATGCATGTATCGATCGATCTAATTATTTCGACGACTTACATACATGAGAACAATGAACACTAGATTGCGACGAAACAAAGATTTGAAATTGTAGAATGAGAGGATCTAATTAGCAGTTTAAAAAGTAGTGGACTGCTTCAAAGATGCTATAAATCTTGTAATCAAACTTTATCTCGACCCATTAATTTCATCGTTAGATTACGTATATTTTGTCGCCAAGTATAGAGTTTTGATTATATTTTAAAACAAAATTTCCACTCACACAAACCGCCCATGAATTCCTGATAATCATAAGATTATTGATGTAGAAATTTATACGCAAATAAAATGATTACATTGTTGAATACACTGTGCTAAAATACTCTCTTTCAGTTATAAAATCTTTTCAATAATGATGCTCTTATGAATCTTTCGTAATTAAGACCATCAAGTCATATAAGTTTGGCAGGGCTAGTATCTATAGTATACGTATATGGCATCAAAACAAACATATTTGATGAACAAACATAGTGATACATTGTCTCAAATATCTTATATCTGAACACATGTAGTTATATGTATATAAATTGTTATGCTTATAAATATGTAATTATAAAAGACCTCTTAACGCGAAAAAACAAGTCACCAAAACAGATCCTATGCAGGACTCGATGTCCGTATTCTGCAAGTTGACTGATAGATCATCGTATCCAACGGAGAGAAAACAATTTGATCTTTTGTCTTTCTGTTATTTTTTCTTAATTATATTAATTTTGAAAACGTCAATCATATTACTTTATAAAAAGTTTTCAATAATATCATAATAGTGGGAGAATTCACGAGAATACTGAGTACAAAAAAAAAGAAGATGAAACTGAAATATCACGAGGTCGTCGTTTATGTATTTCCCTTTCTATGAAATAGATTTGGACTTTTCCTGAAGGCAACTCAAAAGTGCCAAACAAGTGGTCCTCCAAATATTTGAGGAACAGTTTGTTCAAAACCATAAACAACAAGTTTGGTCTTTACCATCTTTTATAAATTACAGCTTAAAACAGAACTATAGAGAAGGTTCTATGAATCTGATCTATTGTTATTGGTCGCTCCGAATATTTTGATTTTTCGTAAGAATATTTTTTCTTGTATATATATACATTGTGTCAATAATATCCCGATTGAACAACGAGAATATTAATCTCAATCACCTAAGCTACAAATCATCTAGTAATTTAATGTAAAAATTAAATTTTAATTACAAAAATAGTTTTTAGAACTCATGCATGCATGTCGGTATTTTATTTTTGCATTGGTAGAATAATTTGAATACAGTACTAGAAGAAATATTTGTGTTTGCAAGGGCATTTAGTTTTCATGTTTGCATTTATTAAGTTTTCCTTTCAACGTTTTGTATTTGCACATTTGTTGGGTATATGTCTAACATTTTGAGTGTATTTGCGTCTGAGTTCGCATATCACGTGTTCGTATTCCCTTTTTGTTCGTGTTTGTATTTGTATTCACATTTGTAGCGTTTGTAATCATCTATTTTATATATAGCGTATGCATCCATGCTTCTTGTTAATTATTTGCATAAATTGTATTCACCATTCGCGTTTACGTCTAAAATGGATGTTTTCGTTAATGTTTGCATTCACAAAAAAACATAGCGATATATATCTTGTAACTATATGAATACGATTCTATAATCCAAACCCTCTAATTAAGCTGACTTGAGTCCACATATTTTATATCGCAGTTTGTAAGCCAGAAATGCCATTTATAACATTTTGTTTTCTCCTTAAAATGAGATTATAATCCTCTTAAGTAATAATTTTATAAAGACACTATCTACCTTTGCTTTGACATATTGACGAGTCACACGCACAAAATCAAGTCGGCAGAGTGAGCTTTGTACGCACAAAATCAAGTCGGCAGAGTGAGCTTTGTCTGTGAATCATCATCGTGTTTGTTTTTCTTCTTCTTTTTTGTTATTGGAACTTGTGTTGTGTGTAGTATAATCTAGCAACAATAATGAAACGAAACTTTATCCTAAGAAAAAAACAATAATGAAACAAAACATTTTGCGCCACTGCTTTTGTATTTCTTTTCTAAAAATCGAAACTGAAAAATGTTTATGGCCGAGAAAAATCAGAACATGGGTCGATTTTGGGAAAAGTAGAATTAAACAGTGGCTACAGTTGGTAAATACAGTGAACTGTCCTTGGTTAGAGGGTCCATATAACTCATTACAAAATTTGACTTAGAGTAACTACTGATTAAGAATATGTTAATGTACACTAATTTTATTTATAGTGACATACCGCTGACATTGTCTCATTGATGTAAACTAGTATATGCTTCTTGTACAGTTATTTTACATTGAAAAGTATCTCCATTATTTTCCAGTTACTTTAAAGTTTAAACTAGTATTAAATTAAAAGAATTGACCTAATGGGTCATGTTGCAGTTGCATAGAATTGTTGGCCCATTACATACATGTTCAGCCGAAAACATTTGAGTTAGCTCCCTTTACAATGTAATTTTATTGGGCCACTTTCAGGTTCGGCCCACTAGGCATTAGAGTTAGAGACATATAACACCAAACAATTATATAAAACGTGGACGTGCGATAAGATTAATAAAACGATGCCGTCCGTCATAAATAATCACAAGATCTGATAAATCACGTTAAGATGATGATTGAAGTCGCCGCAAATTAAACATTTTAAACGAAAATAAGAATATTCCAATTCATAGACGCAAATCTGAAATCCCTAGAAACTCCGAATTGACAACAACATTCACACGAAATTTTTAGCCGCCGAATCCGTAGAGAGTGCGTCCTTGTCTCTTGAGAGCGTAGACGACGTCCATCGCCGTGACTGTCTTCCGGCGAGCGTGCTCCGTGTAAGTAACGGCGTCACGAATCACGTTCTCGAGAAAGATCTTGAGAACGCCGCGGGTCTCCTCGTAGATCAAACCACTGATACGCTTCACGCCTCCTCTTCTGGCGAGACGACGAATCGCAGGTTTCGTAATCCCTTGGATGTTGTCTCTTAGAACTTTCCGATGCCTCTTGGCTCCTCCTTTACCCAATCCTTTTCCTCCCTTTCCTCGGCCTGACATTTTCTCCGGAAAATTTAAAACTCCAACTGAGAAATTAAATGATTCTTTGGTATTGCGAAGTATCGATTTATTTTGGTTAAGGATGGGGAGGCTTATTATATACGAATGAGACAAGAGGACGGACAAGTGCTTTGTGGTTTTTTAAAAAAGGTTGGGAGGTTTTGAGTCGTTGGATCTTGTTTTATCGACGGTTGTTAGCATCTATCCGCGTGAATGTAATTTAATGAATTGTGAACCGTTAGATGTTTTTGCTATCCGCGTCATAAATTTTTTATTAGATCTGAGCCGTCGATCTGGTCATTCGCAAAATTGGTAAGACGAAAAAATTACACGCGGGGAATTCTGATTTCTGATGTTAAGCGCGCGCTCAGGGAAAGTTTTGTTTCTTTTTCACGAACGTATTTGTTCTTTTTGGTTACACTGTACTGTACTACTGTCTGTGTGATTAAGGAGTTCGTTGTGTGTTTAATGAGAATCAATATTTACATGTTAAGAAAATTGTACCATGAAAACATCATGAGCCAAGACTTTAGTATCACATAAACTTGTTATGTGAAGGATTAATGTGCCCATTGATTGATCTCTCTATCGTTTTATGAATGTTATAGTTATAGATTGCACCAAATTGGTTGGTCAAGCTTAGTATGATTGGCAATTGACGATGTGGCGAATGATATATATACAAAAGGCAATCTTGTATATTTTTAGCTTTTTAAAACATGTGTTAAGAAGAATTAAATGATCAAAATAGGAGGCAACAAGTTTAAACGCACAATCACTTGTCTTGAACTGGGGTAAAAGACTCTTTAAATCCAAAATTCTAACAAAACATATTATAAGGGGAAGCTGAAGAATCATATTATGGTATTGCAATAAGAATGACAAAATGCTGATGCTCACTTCTTCTTCTCAGTTACACCACCACCACCACCACCAGACCTGCGTGTAAGCAAACATTGTCCCAAAATCAGTAATTACAATAGAAATGTTCTCTTTCTTTTTTCTTTAAGCAGAGATGAGATTTGGTAAAGATCAAGGATTCACTAATCTACTCAAAAACATAAGCATTTAAAGCAGTTATTCTTAATTCGTAGATATGAGATATATCAGAGAACAAAATGTATAGCACTAATATCTCTAACCACAGATGAGAAAATCTGAAAATGACAGTAAATCTCGAACTTGTGGGTCTCTTAGAGTTTACCTCATCTTGCGGAGAACACTTGACATCTCCTCTCTCTTCCTCTTGGCTCTCTTGTGGGTTCCCAACTTCCTCTTAGCAACCTTAAGAGCACGCTTGTCTTTACCAACCTTCAAAAGCTCAGTAATTCTCTTCTCATAGGGAGCAAAACCAGCAACTTCCCTTATCAATGATCTGATAAAGAGTGTCCTCTTGCTAGTTTTCTGAGCAAATCAAGAAACAGTAAATAGAATTAGATTCATAACAAGATAATCAAAGATAAAGCTACGAAATCTCTATACTTTACTACCAAAATTATTATGAGCCATTAAACCTAGTACAGAAACAGAAATAAAAGCTCAAAATTTGGATAGCAAAGAAGATATGCTACCAAACACTTGAAAAATAGTGTATCAACAACATTTCGAGGTAAAAAAATGCTTCAGCAGAAAAAAATGGTTCTGGAAAGTCTTAAGGAACTAAACATTTCACAAAGGTACGGGAAATGTAACGCCTACCATATGAAATCTTCATACTTCATTTTAACCCTCAAATCATGAATCAAGAGCAGAACCAAATAAGTCATAAAGCAAAGAGGGAGATCCATCACACTAGCAGAACCTAGTATGATCATCTAACATAGTCTAGAAACTACCGAAAAAATGATCCAAAAGAATGTTACAGGAAATGCAAAAGAGAGAACATACTCCTTTGCGAGAACGAGGACGAGGAGCTAATTCGCGTCTGGTGACAACATGTCCTTTGTTCAACCCAACGAACAAACCGGTCTTAACTTGCGGAGCTGTCATCTTCTGCAAATTTCACAGACAACAAACAAAAATTAACTTAATATTCAATACAAACTAAAAGTTCTCGTTCGGAGGATTGAATCAATAGGGATAAGATTACCTAGTCTCTTTGGATCGAGCTCCTCCGCGGGTTCAGACGAAGGAGGGAGGACGATGACTGAAAATTGCGTTATATACCTCATATACAAAAGCTGCCAAGGAGAAAACCCTAGCCCTTTTACAACCTATTTTGGGCCTTAACTTTGGGCTCTGTTTTCAAAATTAAAATTGTGCCGGTTGCTTTTTGTTAAGGTAATACCAAGTTGTTTATCTCAATAAAAAGCCTTTTAGCCTCCCTCATGTTCACTTGCATATCCCATGTTTGCAAAGAAAAAAATTACATAGAATAAATAACGTTTTCATCAGTTTAACTTTATTCGAAATTTTTTGACCGTATTATTTCGACTTCATATGATTGATTTGTATTTTTTAAAAATTGAATGTAAAACTAGAAAAATGACTACACTTTGATATGTTTTGTTGTAGAAAACCATTATAAAACGCATAACATCTAACAACTGAACTAAATTCCCTAACTCAAAATCCGAAAATCTAACCTCCTAAAAGGCTCTAAAATAAAGAAATTGGTATTTTAAGATTGGGTAAAAAGCAGAGGGTAAAAAGCAGAGGGTAAATAGGTAATTTCGGTAAGGAATTGAATCGGAAAACGAGGTGAGCCGAATTCGAAGCCTTTGGACCCGTTTTGTAGCTATTTTTTTTTTTGCTTTCTGGTTTGTTCGTTCATTGGCTTTCATTTGATTAATTGTTTCTTTTGATTTTGATTTCTCCTTCCTTCCGTAGAAAAGTTTGAAGAACCCAAAATAATTTCAGTCGACAGCGATTTAAAGGTAATTTTAGTTTTCGTTTTCCGATCTGCATTTCGTAATTTGGATTGACAATTGTCAGTTTCATTACCTCTTCTGTAAACTTTGATTTTTTTTCGATCTGTGATTTCTTCATTGCATCTCCCTGCTTATATGTGTTTGAGGTGTTAATGAGAGTGTACATCCGATTTTGTTGATCTGCTGTAAATAAATATCATTTGCTTTTCCCTTTTTTTTTTTTTTTCCACACAGATCTTCAGGTGTGTAATATTATAAAATATATTGAATTTGATAACGTGATTGTGGATCTGGGAATAATAATATTTGTTACATTCCCTTTAGGATTTGATTTTGTCACATTCATTCTCTATGATATTATTAATATTCTCCACTCCTTGTTATTATTATGTTATTGCTTAGATATCTCTCTATATATTCCTGAACGAAGCATTTGATTGATTTGTGTTTTTAATTATTCTTTGCTGATGCCAAAATTTGGTCTTATGTTTGTTTTTGTTTCTTTTGCAGAAACTAGAAAATGGCTGATGGTGAAGACATTCAACCCCTTGTCTGTGACAATGGAACTGGAATGGTTAAGGTAAAATATTCTAATTGTTTTTTTTGTTTTCAAATTGGATTTGTTCAAGATCAATCTATTTCCAAACCCTTTGATGGATTAGGGAGCATATACAAAAGTTTCAATATATTTTATATCCTATATGAACAATAATGTAGCTAAGGTGGTTATGTTCTGTGTCTCTGAATTAGGCTGGTTTTGCTGGGGATGATGCACCGAGGGCTGTGTTTCCAAGTATTGTGGGTCGTCCTCGCCACACTGGAGTGATGGTTGGAATGGGGCAAAAGGATGCCTATGTTGGCGATGAAGCTCAATCCAAGCGTGGTATCCTAACCCTCAAATACCCGATTGAGCATGGTATTGTTAACAATTGGGATGACATGGAGAAAATCTGGCATCACACTTTCTACAATGAGCTCCGTGTTGCTCCCGAGGAGCATCCGATTCTACTCACTGAAGCACCTCTCAACCCAAAGGCTAATCGTGAGAAGATGACTCAGATCATGTTTGAAACCTTTAATGCTCCGGCTATGTATGTCGCCATTCAAGCTGTCCTGTCACTTTATGCTAGTGGTCGTACTACTGGTAAGTACAGAACTTGAGAGGCCTTTTATCTTTCAGATTCAGGACCAGGTCTTTTACTGTTGGTTTATGTTGTAGGTATTGTGCTCGACTCTGGAGATGGTGTGAGTCACACGGTCCCCATCTATGAGGGTTACGCTCTTCCACATGCCATCCTACGTCTTGATCTTGCAGGTCGTGACCTCACAGATGCTCTGATGAAGATCCTCACTGAGCGTGGTTACTCTTTCACCACAACAGCTGAGCGTGAAATTGTCAGAGACATAAAGGAGAAACTTTGCTACATTGCTCTTGACTATGAGCAGGAGCTTGAGACTGCTAAAACCAGCTCTGCTGTAGAGAAGAACTATGAGCTACCTGACGGGCAAGTGATCACCATTGGATCTGAACGGTTCCGTTGCCCAGAGGTTCTTTACCAGCCATCTATGATTGGTATGGAGAATGCTGGTATCCATGAAACCACCTACAACTCCATCATGAAATGTGATGTTGACATCAGAAAGGACTTGTATGGGAACATTGTGCTCAGTGGTGGAACAACTATGTTCCCTGGAATTGCTGATAGAATGAGCAAAGAGATCACTGCTTTGGCACCGAGCAGCATGAAGATCAAAGTTGTTGCACCGCCTGAGAGGAAATACTCGGTCTGGATTGGAGGATCAATCTTGGCCTCCCTCAGTACCTTCCAGCAGGTAACTAATCAAATCAATTTCCTTTTTTCTAAACCATAATATTCTACTCTGCAGCTCGACTGATCAGTCTCCCGTTCCTCAATTTTGTAGATGTGGATCGCAAAGGCAGAATATGATGAGTCAGGCCCGTCGATTGTTCACCGGAAATGCTTTTGAGTTTGAAGTTAAGTCTGCTTCCGGAGAAGCCCTGTGGGTTTTCCAATTTATCCTTACGGGGTTTTTTCTATCTTCGTTCTCCGCTGGTCTTTGTTTTTCTTCTTCAATATTTTCAGATTCTGGCCTAAGACATTTTGAGGAACTTACATTATCTGTTTGTAGTTGTGGTTAAAAATGTTGTCTTGTTCCTTTTTTTCTGTTGGATAACACGACTGTGTTGGAGTGAATAAGAACACCTAATTTTCCGAAGTTTAGTGGGGCTATTGGATAATCTTCTTAATATAGCCTAGCTCTAGTTATGATCTATTGTTATTTCATTGTTGATTTTGTGTAATGCAACTAACTCCGTTATTACAGTACCAAGTTATCTTTACTGATAAATTTCATGAGTGTTCATATATCAACACTTTCAAATGGTATGCTCAGTTCATCGCGTACAGATGGTCAGCGTCATAATGTTAGAGCTTGATAGAAAATTTAGGAAAACACGTCATCAAGCTTTATCATATTGTTAAATGATTACAGAAACCACACCTACACTGTCGCCTACATAATTTACAGTAACAGAGTATAAAGCACGAATGAAACACAGCTCGCAGTTTTTTGTACATGGGGCTAAAAGTCGCGACACAGATTCTCTAACAAAGGAAAGACGTGTGAGCAAAAACCCTGTCCTCCTATATTGATGTATATTCCTTTGGTGGCCTCATGTGATCCTGAATTGAGGATCAGACCAACTATCTTCCCGTGTCATAGTTGTTGCAAAACCTTCAAAAGCCCATGTCTGAAACAATTTCAAAACGAGATTCCCCACCAGGACTGTCAGGCATTTACAATGGAAGAGCTGGGCGTTGGCGGACAACATTCAACACGCCCCTTGCAGTAGCCTGTTGCCAGGAAAAAGTCAGTGAGAAGCACTCAGAGGGAAAAGTAATTTCTTTTGGTTGAAATCGTTACCTCGTAAAAGGAATTGAAATTTAGGCGTAAAAGAAAACGTCTCAAGAATGGGGCTCGCTGGCTCCCGGCAAGCTTGCTGCTTCTCAGTATGGTATACAACGAGTTTGACTTCTTGTTGAATTCCTTAAGACCAGAAGAAGAAAAAATTATAAGAGACCATTTCACCTTTGTATGACTGTTGTAGAGAAAATATAAAGCACCTCGGCTATGTTTTCAAGTTCCGAAGTGTTTGGATTGCTTTCTTGATTCTCTATGTTCCAGCAGAACTGGAGACAGAGTTTCATGATGCTGTCGAGTATCCTTGAGACGGAACCAATGTCGAGGAAAGATTGAGAGATAAGGGCCGAGAGATACCTGCATTTGTACAGTACATTAGGTAAGTAGTAGGGGCAGGCATAAGAAACTAAACCAAACCAAAAACGTAGAGAAAAAGATCTCTATTCCAGCTTGCTTTACAAAATACCTAAAATCGAATCAAAAACCAAACCGGAAAATTAAATGGCCATGCAAGTAAGTAACATTAAGATGATTGAAAGGGAACAACGAGCACTGAATATTCTTACTCTTGATGGAAGCCAACGAGTTCAGTGAAGTCTTGAGAATCGTGGATATGAGTCTGCAACACCTTCCATTGAGATTCTATCACGTCAACCTTAAGACATAGAGAGTCAAACCTTCAACGTTGTTTTTTCCGAACTGGTTTGTGACCACTTTGAAACTATTATGAGACGTCATAGGTTTCTTTACCTGAATGTAAAACTGAAGATTCCTTATCAAAAACGCCATGTGCTCTCTAACACGCCACATGGGTCTTATTCCTTGTCGTCTTTGTTGAGATGTTGATCCGTTTGTACCATCTTTTCGATGTTGAGCAGATTCTATATGATCTTGATGCATCACAGAAGCCCATGATTTCTCTAATTCCATCTGAGTTCTCTTTAGCCGTATCAAATATTGGAACACCTTGAGATACCTAAACACAAGTCTATAAATCTCAGACAAAGCATCAAAACATCCGCCTAAATAGTTCATAGTAAATTTGATGCAAGAACTTTGAAAGTGAGAAAATATAGAAAAAAAAAAAAAAGAGGATCTAAGCAAGCAATGCCCAAGGATTATTACTTAGAAAGCACTTCTTGAGTGAAAAATAGTTGCATGGGCCAATCAACAGAATACTCCAGAGCAATAGCGTCCCAGCCATCCACAGAGGTGTCTGATGTAAGATTTGCCTTCCCAGCGAGAGATACTTTAGATCTCGCTAAGTCAGCTTGAGAAGATCTGACTGTAACTCCAAATGAAGGCATCCTGGTAAGAGTAGTAGTTAAAACAGCCAAGTTATGGAACAGTTACTAATGTGTGCTTCCAATTAGCTCAAAGGCTGGAAATTAATCCACCTAATATGAAGTATTTTAATAATAGTTTGATGTGTTACTGACCGTAGGGATACCCTAGAAAAATACTTATCTTCCTCCGCAATGGTTTTAGTTGCAGCCTGTGTGTTCCCAAAAGAGAGAGCGTTACAAAAATAATTTGACCTGACCGGAGCTTTTTATCATAAGATCTTTTAAGTTGTATCCACATACCAACTGAAACGGTACCATAAGATCAGATTCTCCAGTTGACTGGCGCGGCGGCAAACGCATTAACTGACGACTCTCCTCTAGAAAGCACTGAAATCAGAAAGTTTAGTATATCAGATATGAAATTACATGTCCGCAGGTCTTTTACTGAGTCTAGTGCAAGGAAACAAGGACATGAGCAAGTGGGAGCGACATTAATCACGATTAATTATTCATTTTAGATAATCAACAATATTAATTATGGTTTACCTGAAAGAAATCTCCTTTTTCTAAGAGAAAATAATCTTTTAGAGCTTTAAGATGGCCGTTGAGATCAGCACGCACAACAACAAGCTGTAGAAAGGAAGGTAATGTGACCCCAGAAAATAATCCAAAAGATTATAGACAAAAGTTGTCAAGGGAAACCTGCCAAAGATGACTGGCTGCTATTGCTCGAACAGAATCAACAGTGCACTCAAATGATCTCTTGTGAAACTCAGATGATTCCTGCACTTAGACATATTAATTTAAGCATACAATCTGAGCTCTAACGTGATCCTAGGAGAATGGCATATATTATTTCTATGTATGAACAAAAAAGACCGCAAGTTGCATGACCGAAATCAACTCAATTATCATGATTGTTACACTTTTCACCATAAATATAATGGGCAGTGAGAAAGTCTCCCAACACAGTACCTTTAAATCTTTGAGCATAGCTTCGATCTTGTCTGCCTCGGATTGGGGAAGCAACTCTCCCCCTGTAAGATCTGCATCTAACTCAGTTTCCCTTTCAGGGAAATCACTATGCATAAACCCTCGAATCCTCTGGGAGCCACGCATTGTTTGCTGAAAATTCTTATCCTTCTGGAACTGGAAAGCAGGACTTGGATTTCGCAAGACCCTTATGGCTTTCCCCGCAAAAAGAATTGATTCACCAAGCCGCATAGGAATATAATCAGGTAACATATCCTACAATATAAGCACAAAAACATCAATTATATAGTAATGGTAACTAGATCAAAGTTGAAATTGGCATGGAGAGTACCAAAGAAATGTGAAATCCAGAGTGCCAATCAGTTAAAGACGTCTCATGAACTGAGGTACGAGCCAATTTATCAGATATTTCTTCCTGAGATGAGCGATGATCTAAATCTCCATCTTCCTGCCTGCAAGCAAATCAGAAAGAGTTGTACGTTTTTGGAGAAGACCAAACAGAAACCAAAGTGTATACACACAGCGCAGACGACAGCAAGCGATAATGTATCAGCGCAAGCAAACAGCAGCTACCTAACCGGTATCATGGGAGACTTCATGAGGACCACTAAACAAAAGTAAAATGACCAAAATGAACTAAATTAACAATTACCTCTTGATGAAAAACTCTCCATGAGGATCCTGGAGAATCCCATAGACCATCCAAGCCGCAAGTTGATTATACATGACCTGATGTCCATGCCAAAGAAGCCTGATACAAAAAATTGACAAGTGTGAGCTGGACTAAAAATGATTTCAGTTTACTGCAGATAGAGCTATTGAGCCAGTGAATACCTTTGGAGACAAGTCCTCAGTTCAGGCACACCGCAATGACACCTTTTATTCAACACATTCAGAAGCTGCCCTCCACGAATATCATCACGCTCAATCTCAAGAATAACCTCGTACAGGGGAGGGAAAAGAACAAAAAACTAGGGGAAAAAACAAAGACAGATAAAATAGCATTATACAACTCAATATACACATAATCATATAGTATTCATAAGCTCAATCATCAAGTGATCAATGTGTTGCTAAATGGTATTGGGAATGCACCTTATTGAGCCCCTGCGTAACCGTAGCCAGAATAGGCGTAGTCTCGGCCAATAGCTTCTGCTCAATTTGAAGAACCGCAGATCGATAAACCGAAAGAATCTCCCCAATTCCATTAGCAATGGCTCTACGGTATACGCTAGGCTTCTTCTCTCTACTCAGCCTAGACAATTCATCAGCCCGTTCCAACGGATGCACACTAGTTACAGACCTAATCCAGCTCAAATTGCGAGACTTCTTCGCAAACCTGTCGAGCTCTCGATAGTAGAACCCTAGCTTGATCAACCTCTCGATTAAGTCCCTGCAAGGAAGCGCATCAGAATCACTGTAAATCAAAATCGGAGAGCAAACACCAGATCAGCGCGAGAAGAGACTATACCTTTCGCTGGGTTCGATGAAGGAGATGTCCGGAGCTAGTTTGAAGGTACATTCATCAGAGAGAGGTGAATCGGAGTTGAAAGCGAGGCCTAGGGTTTTCAGTTGCTCCCGCTCGTCGACTATAAGATCGCCGGTGAAGCCTAAGAGAGCTAGAAGAAGCTCGTGTAACATTGCGTTTCGGGAAAGTGCTTTAAACTTTTTGGGGAGGGAAATTGAAAATCAAAATGTGCAGGTCACAGTCGCCGGACTTGTTTGATTTACCGGTGTAGTTCAGTGGCAAGTGATGTAATTTCACGACACAACAAAGGTGTTTTGGTACATTTATTACCCATAAGACCTCTTATCCCGGTTTGGAGGTTCTAGTTCTAGTGTATTCCCTCCCAAATTCCAATCAACACCAAATTCGATCTGGTTTAATAACTGAACCAAAAACAACATGACTTATACGCTAAATCAAACCAAACCAAATCAAAATATATTCAATTATTACTTGGTCTTTCTCTATTAAAAACTGAGAGTTGGATTAAATTATCTATCTAATCCTGATTCAGTTTTTAACTTAATATTATAAATGAACTCTAACAAAACCAAAACATATTCAATGTTTACTTGATCCTATCGGACCTTTTCACATAAAATATAGACCAATTCACTCGCATCAAAGATTTGTCTAAGTATGATTAGCTCACCATTATTAAAATTTATAAACTTGATTTTTCAAAATAACACGTACGTGTACGTGTACGCTTAAACTCTTACAGATTAATCGAAGTATGATCAGGTCATTGCAGTCCTTGTTGTAATTTTTTTGATGCTTCTAAACTGAAGTCCGATCGATCGAGCAAGGGACTACTACGTACTATCTACTTCTCTTACAATAACCCTTTTTCATTTTCGTTTTCTTTTGAACAGATCCCGTCAATATATTTATTTTCATTTTCTCAAAGTCTAATCAACATTACAAAGTCAAAGTATCAGTTTATTACAAAAAAAAATATATATGTACTACTAGTATTAACAAATTCCCTATATAATATCTTCTATGTATATAGTTTAACTCAGTCCATAATTTTAGTCGATACAGAACTCATCTTCTTACACTGTGTCTTCTCCATAGAACATTTGAGAGGATTAATGTCTCCATCACTCTTCAATTTCAAAAGTTTCTCTCGCTCAATCAACCACATAATCATAATGTAAGTCCACCCATTTGTATATATAAAACCTACAGTATATGGTTTTAGACAAATACGTTGGTTAATTAATTATACATATTGCGGTGTCAACTAAATGACAATCATTTTTTTTTATTATCGCAGGAGAAGATACGATGTGATCACAAAAGCCTCTCAAAGGGGATATACTAGTGGACGTAGCCATGAGAAGCCATCATGGGCATCAGATCCTAATACCGGATATTTTAGACCTGAGACTGCAGGTGCGAAAGAGAACTTAAGTCCACACATTGAAAAAACCTCTAAAATTCAAGGTAAAATGCTGAGAGGAGAAGAGTTATGGTGGATGCCTGACCCTCACAGCGGGTACTATAGACCCGACAATTTTGCCAGAGAGCTTGACGCAGCTGAGCTACGGTCTTTGCACTTCAATAAGAATCACAAGACGACGTAGAGAGCCAAATGATCTCTACATGCTTTAAAAAAATCTGGTACATCGATTTGAAGTGTGAACTAATAATGAAGATCAGTATTTGCAAATTATTGTTTGCCTCAGTGCTTCTTCTTTTCCAATGCTTGACGGATCATGTGTTTAGTCATATTAACTTTTTAAAAATCTGGCAACATGATATGTTCAAGATTGTTTCTAAATGTTGCGTTTTTATTTGGTCGATATTTTACATAACAAGTTGTCACGTATTACTTTTAATTATGTATAATATCGATACCAAATTTCTATTTTCATAATCTAATTTGGAAAAATTGATTGAAGGGGTATTACCACAAATATCTGTAGCCATTTTTCATGTTTTATGTAGGCCTGGGCATAAAATCCGAATCCGAAAATCCGAACCGAACCGAACCGAAAAAATTGGATTAAAACCGAACCGATATTGGAAAAATAACCGATCGGTTGTTAGCTTTCATTATTTTTGGATATCGGATTAAACCCGATCCGAACCGATATCCAATAGATATCTATATATAACCGAACTTATAATATATACTTTAATATCTTTAGGATATACGTGTTTGCCGCATATCGGATTAAATGTTATTTTTAATTGATTTTAGGATGTTACGGAATTTTGCTACTTTTTCTTTAGGAATTTATGGTTTATTTTGGTTTATTTAAAGCTTTTATGCATCGACACAGTTTTATGCTTCACTTTTATATATTGGTATGGTATTATGTTAGTTGGTTCTTTGAACTTGTCATTTGCCTCATTTCTATTTTTATATATACTTGGATAGCATGGATTATTTGAGAATAATTGGATTTAAAAATATCCGAATAAAACCGAATCCAATAAATTTTGGTTAAAATTTAATTATCACAATTATATCCAAACCGAACCAAAATCCGAAATATTCAAACCGAAACCGAACCGAATTTTATAAATATCCGAATGGATATTAGAATCAATATCCAAAAGATCCGAAAACCGAAAATCCGAACCGAACCCGATCCGATATCCGAACGCCCAGGCCTAGTTTTATGAGTAAGTGCCGAACCAAGAAAAAAAGTAATCATTGGTTCTCAATTTGACAAGACCTTCGTGACAAACTAAAAAGAGTGATATATTTACTATGTTTTAGATATCTCAAGCATCAAAGCCGTCTTAGCTCAGTGGTAGAGGGCGTGGCTTTTATCCACGTGCCCGTGGGTTCGATCCCCTCAGACGGCGACTTATCTTATTTTTACGAAATTAGTAGTCTGTTGCCTCAAGGCACACATAATCATAGGATGAATCTTTACAGAGAGAGTTGCTTGGTTTTAAACTGAGTTTTTAGTTTTTTCTTTTACAACCAAAAGAACAAATTTGTCTTAGCAAATCTCTTCTCAAACTCAAATACAATAATTTAGGAAAATATTGTATTATTTATTTAACAAGAAGGCTCCTATACACATAATAAACAGAGAAAAAAAATGAGAAGGAGAAGATACAGTGTAGATTGTGTTTTGTATAAATTCTAAAAATCTGTAAGTAAATCAACGGCAAAGCTGAACACATAAGCTATTAATCCGTGACTCCGAATCCGAGGGATTTGCCAAAATGTAAGATGCTGATTTCCCATTCCTCAAACAAGTCATGCTCAATTGGTTACCTAATTGAGTCGTCTGCAAAAAAACAAAAATAAGAAGAGATATGTGATTAGAGACGATGAAAGGAGATTCAATCCGAGGCCAGAGAAACCGGAGGAACGAAAAAATGGCGCTAAGGATTCTTACCGTGCAAGAGGCTGGTTCTCTGTTACAACTCCATTTAGAAGTTGGAACACATGAAAGATAATGACACCATGAGCAATGTTCGTTTCCATCGACATTGTTGAAGAGAGAGATCAATCCAACAATGAACCTGACAAGGAAAGAAGCTCGGTTAGATAATTTTTTTCACTACTTTTTTCGTGTAAATAAAGAAAAAAAGACAAGATTATCATTGATACAATCTGCAGGCCTTTATGATTTATGAGTATAGGAAAAACAAACAGACGGATTTATAGCTGTTAACGTGGAGGGTGGTAGCATATAAATATAACACTTACCCAGTGACCAAGAGGAGAAGAGATATGGTCCATAATATGCCTTGATACATCTTGTACCTGTGGGGTTTAGCTCCAGGAGCGTTTCTTTGGTTGATCCATCCATAATGGGGACGGATTAAGAGCACAAATCCAAGAAGAAAACCGGTAGCAAACCCTCCAATATGTGCAAAGTTATCTACTCCGGGGAGCACCCCAAGTCCCAAGTTCACCGCCACAATCAATACAAGAGTTATAATGGTCACAACCTAGACAAAGCATTGGCAAAACAACATAAATTTCCAATATAGAAATCATAAATAAGAAAAGGGTTCTGAAGGAATAGTTACCTTGTTAGAATAGATTGTCCAGTTGATAAAGATCTCAGAGAGCATTCCTCCAAGTAAACCAAACACAGCACCAGATGCTCCAACAGAGATGTTTGAGCGGAGGAAAAGAGCTGACAATATACTTCCTCCAAAGCCAGATATCAGATAAAGCAATCCAATCCGTACTGAAATACATCAATAAAAAAATGTGGAAACAAAGGTTACACACAAATTCATCAAAAGGGGTCTTCAAAAGAGAGATAAGAAATCAATCAAGAGAGGGACAGAGCGTAGGTACTTACTAAAACCGAATTCGCGTTCCATACGTACACCAATGAATAAAAGAGTCAACATGTTCACTAGTAAGTGAACAACTCCTCCATGTAACCAGTTGCAAGAAAGTAGACGCCATCCTTCATCTCCTTTAACCACTTTCTTTACATCCAATCCACCCATTGTTTGCAACCTGTTCCAAGTTTAAGTTACCAAAGTTAAATCTCAAAATCTCGACATCAGGACGAGTAAAGGAAGTGGAGATCAACACACACTATCTCCTATTATACTTCCATGTTTTCTACAAGCAATTAGCTACTTCTTCCAAGCTAAAGTAGCATAGTTGCCTGCTAAAATACTTTGAAAATTCGGATTAAACTCCTAAGAAATTTTGGATTTTTCCTTGAAATCCTAAGAAATCTCAAATCTCCTGCTTCATTTAACTCAGTAAAGATTAGACCTTTGATTGAAACAAAGTAAAACCCATAGAAGATAAGAAGCTTATTACTTACGTTAGAGAGGAAGGACCCAGAAGAGGATTCTCTCTTGTGTTCTGAAAAGAGAACCGACCCAAGAAATCAGCAAAACAATCTCCAGATTTTTTCGGACAGTTGTTGACATACATGGTGATGGCGAAGACGACAACGTTAGCAACAACGAAACAGGGAATGAGCCACGCGAACCAGCTCCTAAACTCCTTAACCCCTCTTCCTCTTTCCTCATAAGAACTTCGGCTATGATTCAGAGATCGACGCTGCCCGGATTGAGAAGCAGATTCTACATCCATCGGGTGTACGTTGTTGTTGTTGTTGTTGCTCTCTCTCTGTCGCGTTTTCCCCCAAATCGGAGCTGTCTCTGAATCCTTCTCACCCATTGAATGGAATTAAAAAAATTGGAGCTTTGAACAAAACTTGAGATTGAATTTGAGAGGTGTGTTTGTAGAGAGGAATTAGGTTTCGTGGGTTTGATGTTAGTTGGGGGGTTTACTTTAATCGGCTATTTGGAGACTTTGGAGCTTAAAAGAGCAACAAGTTCCTTCCTCCAATATCTTATTTACACAAAAAGGAAACTTTCGTTTTGGAGTGTTTTGCAGTCTGAAAAGAAGAAAAAAGGAAAGAGTAATAAAGTCAACGGTCTTCACCAAATATGCATCACACGGTTCCTCTCCTAATCCTACCAGTAAAACAGTCTTCTTCCATAAACAAGTTAAGGGTTATTTTAACATCTTATCAAACAGATTAAACAAATTTTTTTACAGATTTTTTTTAAAACTCAATTAAAATATTAAAAAAAATTCAAATATAAATAAAAAAATTAGTGATGGTAAATATATAACCATATAACTAAATAAATAGAGAGAATATTAATATTTTTGCTTAGTATGCTCATATTCCGAATCATGGACTGATTAGTGGTTAGTGGTTCAACCGTTCCATCCTATTGTAATTGACTCGTCTACCTGTTCCATTAGTAACGTAATCATCGAATTATTTACTTGGACGTTCTTGGTCGTGATTTGTATCGATGATGTTTACAACATATCTTTCATATCATTGATGGAAAAGTTATGTTTTTAATTTCGAAAATCGCGGACCTATTCTCTCTCTCTACATATACAATTTGGAATCGGCTTTGGTTGTTAAAAAAATCCCAAACCATTCTATTTTTCTCAGTCGTTTGGTTTGCTAATTCTCTTTCGCTATTTTAATAGGCGTAAAGTTAAGTGGTGGCTCTTATTATATAATTTGGTCACTACTGGTGGCTCTTTAATATCAATCAGACTAATATAAATCTTGTTGAAGCTTTCTTAATCATCGTTTTATCTAAATGTGATTTACTAATTTAAAATGATTGTAAATCCTCACTAATTTATAACTTTGAAACAAACAGCATTCAACACCAACTACACTAATCACTATTAAGTATAAGTTTACACACTTTATTCAACACACGTTTCTCTAACTGATCGTCTGTTACATTCTAATATATATATATGCTGTCGATTAAAAAAACAAAAACTACGTACATTTCGACACGTGACTTATCTAAAACTTGTAAACACAGAGTTTTCCTCTTACAACAAGAGAATATTAGTGATTGAGAAGAGAATTATCCAAGAAAAAATGGAGAGTCATCCACGTGTCAAAACCAGGATTGATGTTTAGAAGTGGTAACATATTGGAAGAACTGGTCCATAGTGTTCGGAGGAGGGTTTTAGGGCTAAATCTAAAAAAAACCGTTGGTTAGTTTTTGTAGCCCCACAAAAAAAAAAAAAACATGTCTTTAGAGAAAAAAACGTTTTTAATTTACTAATCTTCTAAACTAGTCAGATGTCGACAGGTGTTGTTAAATTTGAGTTCGAGTTTTTTTTGTAAAGGATAAAGGATTTGTGTGGTTTCATATGGGGTTTATGTTCAGACACAAACCCAACTTTAAAGGCGGATGTTTTACGGTTTATAAGTTTCTATATAATCAATCTCTTTCCCACTAACAAATTTCTAACATAAATCTCACTTTTCTTTCTCACACAAAATCAAAATTTCGTTTTCGAGAAACGACAAACAATCATAACTCATAAGGTTTGTGAATTTCTATGAGTGATTTATTTTGTAAATAATGTGTGTGTTTAGTTTATGTCCTCAACAACTGTTCGTGTTCTAGGATCTGATATTTGGAATTTTTTTTGGTTCAGGATTAACGTAAGTAATTTGCAGTTGTGTGTGTTGCAATTAAGGAACATGGTGGACTGTGGTGTCGATGCCTACCAACTTCCCCTTGTTCCTAGGGCATTTAGATCACCCAGAGTAGTGCGCATAACAATTCTAATTAACAATATTTCTTCTTCCAAACATGATACATTTGGCTCACTCGATCACATCTTTTTTTTCTTCTCCAGGGACGCAGGCTAAGGCCTATGAGAAAACGGAGATCCGTGTTCGAGGTTTCAGCCCAAGTGGCTGGACATCTCTCAGGTGAGCAAAAGAACCGAGTTGCAATCTGCTCGTTGCCCCACGAAACAAAGGAGACGAAGGACAGTTTCGTCGTCAATAACTTCTTGGAAACAATGGAAGTTGAGGTTAAGCCTCAAACTGGATTGGAGAAACCTTCTAAGGTGTCATTGTCTAAGGACTGGTTAGCTCTTGGTCCTTCCATGTCTAACTCTCCAATCACACAAGAAGAAAACTTCGATTCAAGTTCCAAGATCGGTAAAATTAAGTCACTCGCTAACTTTTTTTTTTACATAAAAATTTGATTTATTTGTGTTTGTTTGGATATATGTAGACGGTAAAAGAAAGATGTGCAACATGAAAGGGAGATGCTCGTGTTGTAGCCAGGAATCGCAAAATATATATCCTTTGAAGAAAAGAAAGTTGTTTTACCAAAATCATCAATCTCATGACACACGTACGTGAAGCTCCGTGTACCGGTATATATGCTGTATGCACATATATATTTGTGATAAGATCTATATGAAATTTTGTTACTTGTATATAACATTCTCTTATCGTATTTTCAGTTAAATTATGTATTAAATCTTTGAAAATCTCGGAGCTATTGGTGGACGTTCCCGAATCAGCCACGGTTGGGTCAGTGAAGCTAGCGGTATTGGAGGCGGTAACACGGATTATTAAGGATGGTTTAAACATTAAAGTGCTTCTTCGAGGTAAAACCATCGATGATGACTCCAAAACGCTTCTTCAGATTGGGATACCTCGCGATAATAACGATGACCACAACTTCAGCTCGTTGGGATTCATGCTAGAACCGCAGAATTCAGAAACAACGACAAATACAACGCTGACCACTGTTTCCGCTAGAACACGACTTAGGTACACAATCAAAAGTTTTGATTCAACACCATAATTTTTTTTTGTGTGTAAAGGCATTTCTAAAATTCTTGTTATTACTAATTTTGTTTATATTCTTTTTAAACTGCGGTCATAAATAGACAAAATAGGGTTATAGGGTCCGTGGATAGCAATTGTTCAGTGGCAGCTAAATCCGTGGTACCGGTGCGGATGAAGCATGCCTCGCCGCCAGAGATGGTTCAACGTAGAATCAGAAGGCCATTCACTGTCTCAGAAGTAGAAGCTTTAGTTCAAGCCGTAGAGAAGCTCGGAATCGGAAGGTAATTAATTAATTTTCAAGCTCTTAATTAAAGTCTCTAGTTTATATGTTTTCAAACTGTAATAATAGGTTTGTTAAATTATTGAGTTGCCTTCTAATTTCTATATATAAATTGTTTATTTTCAGGTGGCGCGACGTGAAGTCTCACGCATTTGAACATGCAAATCATCGTACGTACGTTGACCTCAAGGTACCTTTTTAGTGATATAAGCAGCGTCTATATATGTATACAATCAGAATTTTTACTGTGAGTAAGAAACAAATTAAATTAAGTGATATAAGTGTATGAACTAAAACAGGATAAATGGAAAACATTGGTTCACACGGCGAAGATATCAGCAAGGCAAAGGAGAGGCGAGCCTGTGCCTCAAGACCTTCTTGATAGGGTTTTAGCAGCTCATGCTTTCTGGTCTGACCGGACCGGAACCGGATGATATTTATATTCTATTTAGAATTATTTAGGTTTAGATAGAGTTTTGATTTAATGAGACAGATGATTTGTCCTTGTCAATCAAATAAGATAATCATATTAATTACTCCAGTTGGGATTTGGGAACTATATATTTGGTGTAGGTTCCAAGTTACAGTAGATGATTAAACGCGTGTAATGTTGTGTGATTCAACACTTGATTTAAACATTTTATATTCAGTGTTTCAAAGAATTCTTTCAAGAATATATCTATTTTGATAAACGTTCTATGTTTGAAGTTAATTTGTAAATTTTAAGATTTTGGTTTCCTAATATATTTTGTATATAACTACAACTAAAACCAAAAAAAAAAAGAATCTAAAACTTCCTCGGATGAATATCTCTAACTACGTACTAATATGATTCTGATGAATGGTTTAGCTTTTAAGCATTACCTATAGTCTCTCTTCAAAATATATTAAAGCTTGTATCCCATATTTGGGCCAACTAATTAAACCTTCTGCGATCCAATACATGTAGTAGATGCCGTCGTTTGGGCCTCCACGTAGTCCCCTCTCACTCGTTCTCCTTAACCGATAAAGTGGCTAGTGCAACTTGGCCACGTGTATTTGTCTATCCCATACTTTACGGGCACACAAAAATATCATATCCTCTGTTCCTGTAATAGTAAAACTAATTACATTCTCATTCTCCTCTCTCTTTCGATCTTACGCAGTTCTTTCGCGTTTCCTTCTCTGCTTTTTCATTTTCTTTAAAGAAGTGTAGATGGCGAATGATGGAGGACCTAACTGGGATGGATTGCTCAAATGGAGCCTCTCTCATTCCGATGGATCTTCCTCTTCTCGCCCTATATGGTCCTTTCATCTTTTCTCAATATCTTTCTTCTTTGGAATCCATTTGAAATCTCTTTACCAAATTTTTCTTGTTCGTATATATGTTTTACATTATATACCCAAGTCTTGTTTCAAGCTTGTTATTATCTTTGATCAACCCCTTCCGTCTCTTGCTAGTTTGCTGTTAATAGATTCTTTAATTATTGGGATATATTTTTTATTCTGAGAAAATTAATCATTTGGATCATGAACTTGTTTTTTCGGATTTTGATTTTAAAACTGTGTTCTGGTTGGTTAGTGAGGAAGATCGACGATGGTTTATGGAAGCTATGCAAGCACATACAATCGATTCAATATCTCGTATGAAAGTAATTTCTCAAATCATGAAAACGCCTGAGCAAGTCTTGGAGGCTCAAGGCGTCACGCCTGATGATCTTGAAGGTTCCTTACTTCGTTCAAATTGCGATCAATTCGTTTAATATGTAAAAGGACTGGTCTTATTGATACCTTTATTTGGACAGGAATGTTGGATGAGCTACAAGAACACGTTGAGTCGATCGATTTGGCCAATGGTTTGATTTCACATTACTTGTTTTTTTTGGTTTTTTGTTATCTTCTGTGAATGGTTTTTTGACATATGTTTTGGATCATTAATATTTCAGATCTTCACTCCATTGGAGGTTTGGTCCCTCTCCTTAGCTATCTCAAGAACTCTAATGCGAAAATTCGAGCAAAGTCGGCTGATGTTTTAACCACGGTTGTCCAAAACAATCCAAGAAGCCAGCAACTTGTTATGGAAGCAAATGGGTTAGAGCCATTATTAACCAACTTTGTTGCTGATCCTGACATTAGAGTTAGAACCAAGGCGCTCGGTGCTATATCTTGTAAGATTTACTATTTCTAGCAGCATTTGCTTTGAGAACCCAAAGGCCAAAAGTGTGACAGTGTTTTCTTGTTTTGGACAATATTGCAGCTCTTATCCGTAACAACCAACCCGGTATTACTGCATTCCGTCTGGCAAATGGTTACGCTGGCTTGCGAGACGCTTTGGTTTCTGATACCATTAGATTCCAAAGGTAAAAAAACGTCTCAAGCATATGCATTAGCGTTAGATAGATGAATTTTTGATCCGGGTTTTGGTTCTGTTCCAGTTCAAGTTTTTAGTTCATGAATATTACTATATTAGTAACCAATTATTCTTTCCGTTTCAGGAAAGCCTTGAACTTGATTCACTACCTTCTCCAAGAGAGCAACTCAGACTGTAAAATCGTTAGAGATCTTGGATTCCCTCGCATTATGATCCACCTAGCATCAAATCAAGACTTAGAAGTCCGGGAATTCGCCCTTCGTGGTCTCCTAGAGCTCTCCCGTGAAGAATCTGAGAGAAACCTTGACAGAGCAGATGTGAATCTAAGACAACTTCTTGAGGAGAGAATAAGAAGAATAATATTGATGTCGGAGGAAGATCTTTGTGCAGCTAGAGAAGAAAGACAGCTAGTGGATAGTCTTTGGACCGTGTGTTATGATGAACCGTCCCATCTAAGAGAGAGAGGCCTGGTTTACCTCCCTTCTGATGACGAGCTGGCTCCTGATGTGGTTATGGACCACTTTGAACCTCCTCTAAGGGCTTGGGCTGCAAGACGACATGATGAAACGAGTGAACCCCCGGTTCCACTACTTCTTGGTCCTGCACCGTGATTTTGTTGGGAATTTAGGAAGAACCAATCTATAGGATTTTTCATATAGCAACAAAACAGCATTGGTTTAGATATTTGAGCAGCAACAAGACGCCATAGATTATCTGTTCTTAGATACATTTCTACGCATATAGACAAAAAGGTCTACGACTATGCCAATATTATAATGTTCCATTATTGTGTCAAGTCATGAATCAGACTTGTGGGATTGTTTTTATAACAAAAACTCAATTATATATATATCTCCATACAAAGGCAAAAATGTATGTACATGATCCGCATTACTAAACCTTTTTAGAAAAGCTATAACATTACACGTTACTAGAGTTGGAGCATCAATCATCACCTCCCACCAGAGAGTTGAGAGTCAGCGATGGAAGATGTGCCCGTAAACCCATTAAACACAGTGGAAAAATCCGTCATCGCAATACCGCTAAATCCGTCCCGGCCTCCCAAATTCATCATGCTCCCGGCTGACAAATCCAAGGGCGTTAATTCGGGCAACGGCATGTCACCTCGTAGATACTGTAACACTTGCCTCATACTTGGTCTAGCCCGAGGATCCGAATGTGAACACAACAGGCCAAGTTTCAAAACCATTTCAACCTCTTCGAGATCATAACCAGATGACCCAAGTTTCGGATCTTTCGCTTCCATTATGTTTCCTCTCAACCACAAACTGAAAACCCATTCCACAAGCAAGAACGTATCATCGCTCTGGCTATGGATCTCAATGGGTCGTCTACCGGAAACAACTTCTAAAAGAAATGCACCAAACGCATAAACATCGGTAGCGGTTGTGGCCCGTCCTGTCCGGGAATGTTCAGGTGCTAAGTAACCCAATGTTCCAACAACGTGAGTAGTCTGAGGATCCGACCCGTGATCATACAACCGAGCCAACCCAAAATCGCCGAGTCTACCATTGAAATCAGCATCTAACAAAACATTGCTAGCTTTCACGTCACGGTGAATCACAACTTGTTCCCATTCCTCATGAAGATAGAACAACCCTGAAGCAACTCCTTTGATAATCTTAGATCTTTGTTTCCAATCAAGTGTTACCTCTGGATTGTTGTAAAGATACTTGTCTAAGCTACCATTAGGCATGTAATCATAGACCAGAAGAAGCTCTCCTCTCCGGCGACAGTAACCCAAAAGAGGAACTAAATTCCGGTGACTCATGCGACCAATACTCACAATCTCCGCCACAAACTCTTTCATACCTTGTTTTGAATCATGTGAGACTCTCTTCACAGCGACTTCAATCTTCGTCGTCGGGAGAATCCCTCTGTAAACTCTCCCAAATCCACCGGATCCAAGAAGATCCTTCTCCTTAAACCCTTTGGTCGCGTGGTACAGCTCCTTGAATCTAAATCGGTTCTTCCCGAACTCCGTTTCCCAGTCATCAAGCTCTTCCTCGTACTTCTTCTTCCTCCTCACGATGTAGAAAGCGAGGAAGATGATAACGAAGATCAGAGATAGTGAAATCAAAGGCATACCGATTTTGTAGAATTCAGAGATTCGTTTCGGCTCAAATCGAGGAAGCTTCGGGAGTTTCGATAACGAAAGCATCGGAGCTACTCCGTTTAACGAGAAACTCCATCCGACTACGAAATGCTCAGAGAGAACTGAGCCAGTCGCAGATGAGAAACCTACATACATCTCTTCCAGAAGAATCGAAGATAGATCTTTCACATAGGAAACAAGAGGTCTTCTAGGTTTATGAGAATCGAAAGGAGCCATGGTGACATCGATTCGATGACTAAGATGATCGTAATCGATCCAAACCTGGATCCGTTTGCGACTAATCAAACTCAGATTCTGAAACACGTCGTGATCATCCCAGTACCCAGCCGTCGAGTAATTGGCCGATCGCAAACCATTGATATCGATTCCGACGTGATTATCATTTGGATCCCCAAACTCGCTGCTCTGTATTGTATCAAACTCGACGGCGAAGATATGATTCGTGTCGTTACCATTGTTGGAGATGTTGAAGAGACCGATGTATTGACTAGGAAGCGCGGAAGGAAGACCTAACGTCGGAGCTACGACGAAGGCGATTCCATGGCCGCTGAGCGTTGGGATCTGAGAGTGTATCGCGAAGACGAAGGTTGTGGAGAAGGAGGAAACGCTGCCGTTTCGGGAATCTTTGAACCGAATCTTTTCGGTATAGAAGGCGTGACCGGTTTTTTGAACCGATGTGTTGGTCAGCTTCAGGAGACCGTTGGGTGTGACAGTGGCGAGACCTTGGAGTGAGATGTCTGTTAATGGAGGATGAAAGCCATTGTAAGTGAAGCTGAGATTTTGAGAAGAAGATCTCAGAATCCGACAGAGAAGGAAGAGGAAGACAAAGACGAACTTGAGGTTGAGGTTGATGAACATGGCTGATTCCGGTTTAATCCGGTTTGGCGTAGCTCCGCTGTGTTTCAAACAAAAAGATTCAAAGAGAGAAGAATGAAGTTATTTAAAAAGAATGTGAAGAAGAGAGAGAGAGAGAGGATAAGAAAAGTCGCTGAGTGTATTCTTTGAGGCCACGGCTCTGTGATATTTGAATATAATTAATGTCAAGACTCAAGAGTGGTTTGGTGAAGTATTGATCAAGGATTTATAAAGCTTTTTGAGCATAATAATTTAATTCTATGGTTAATTGTGTTTTTTTTTTTATATAACACCAAAGCTAGTTTTCGTGAAGAGTATCTTAACAAAAAAGTTATATACTAGAACACACTTGATTATGATTGATGCATAAATAATCCAATTTGTCTGCATGTTAGGACTACAATTATCATTTGTCTATGTTTCTTCTTCTAGTGGTCAATGGTCAATGAGTGAGATGTTGATCACCCTTTTGTTTGTTTAGTTAAATTTAATCTTTGGGTCATTAGCTCATAGACTCATAGATAAACCATAATACCACTAAATTCGCGTCTATGATCTTCTGACTTTTTGAGGATTATTTTTATTTGTTAGTTGCTTAGATAGTTTACTTAACTGATTTCTATAATTCTATTATACAGATTTGCAGGAAAATATTTTAACAATGTTTTCTTTTTAATGCAAATGGAATCATATACACTAATCATTTATAGAAAACACATACAAATTTTTAAGGTTCGATGAAATAAATTAGACACTTAAGTTCTAGAAACGTGTTTTCTCCAAAATACTTGTAGGTTCTTTTTAAGCTTTGTTTGGTTATATTTCCAGAATTTTGAACCATTTACAAAGGTTTCTTCTTCTTTCTTTTTTTTTTTTTTCTTTTTTTGGGGTCAACAATATAATACTACTACTATATTAAAAAATTTAACTTGTACGAAAACTATCATTTCTCTAATTGAATAAAACGTTCCCGATGTAGACAGAAGTATTATTATTTCAACATTTCCAGAAATTAATATTTGTGTGAACATCGAAAGATTGTACTATAAGAAAAGGTGCATGTGTGTAGTGTACCAATCGAACAAACAAGCTTTGTGGCATGAAAGGCTGAGATTGACAACAAGAAAAAACAAAAATTGAGAGAGATTATCTTATTTCGGTTTGTGTTTTTATCTTATTAATTAGTGGCTATGTAACTAATGTACCATCATTAGAAAGAAGAAGACAATACTGACCGACATATAAAATATTCCTCTGCATATAATCTTTTTTGGAATATCTATATTAATTTTTAAAGGAAATTTTGAAATAGATAAAATTATATTGAAATGGGGTTTTGTGGGTTTGTCAGATTACAACTTGAAAAAGGTATGCAGTATACGGTAAGACGAAAGATTCTTTTTGACAATTCTCCTTGGCTGTGTTGGAGAAAACAAACTTGAAAATGTAGTCAGTATGATGATTTTCATTTCATGTGACATTTATGAAAAACGTGGACTTATCCATACGCCACACACACACGTACTCCAAGAAAACTGTTAGATTGTGAAATTATCCATTTTAAGAGCTTCTTCGGTGACGTGAAAACTTGTTCAGTGTAGGAAAACGTGAACGAGACTGTATATATCCATCCATATATATCCTGGATTCATAAGTGAAAGGAAATTAAAAAAAAAAGGAAGTGATGGAGGGAGAGAGAACAAAGACTTTAAAGGGAGTGAATGGGGATAGTGATGGCCATGGGGTGTTCATGTGTCAAGTGGACAAAGCTGGTCAAAACTTGTCCAACTTGTATTTCTTTTAGGAACCTTCTCAGTTTTTGACCTTTGAATCTTTGATTTCTTTTTGGTTTCAGTCAGCAGCTTACAGCAACATGACGATGGGTCTTAGTCTTACCATATGGTTTTCATTGAATTTGCTTCAACTTCAGTTGTTATTCCATTGATTCTTAAAGACTGCTTTATAGTTCGGATTCTGAATTGATACATTCACTGATTCGGAAGTCATACATTCACTGATTCAGAGTAGGGAGACATTTTAAAAATTGCTATCTAATTTTGTTTTTGTATTCATTCGATCCTCAGAAATCAGAATCAAATTACATGATCATTTTCTTATATAGAAACTGAATTATATCATTTACTAGTAATAAATAAAGTCTCTAAAGCAACGATTTTGATTATCGTATACCTCATCGATCAATTTTTACTCCTAAATGTCCACAGAGTATTATTATTAACTATGATGAACATTAAAAGAACCACAGAGGACGAGAAAAACAAGTCTAGTATGGCAACTGGTCAAAATTCATGATGTTACATTGTTACTGATTCAAAATTACTTCAGGTTTAATGTAGTTCGCACTTCTTCGGACACAAGAAACTTAACAGAAACTTTTTCAACTTTTACAAATCTGGATAGAGCTAGGCCCAGCACAGGACCAGGCCCAGGCCCAGGAACAGGTCCAGAGGTATTAAGCTGATATGTGACTTAAAGAGGAATTGGAGTTGATGATATTTATTTGCGTCCTAGATTACCATGCGAAACTCCAACATTGAAAAGTTAGTAAAAGAAATGTTCAAATTAGAATTGTTTTAGAAACCATAATAACTCTTTTTAAGATAAGCTTATGGAGTTTGTAGTCTTTGTCCATCTCAATTAATCGTTGGATAAGGCCAAGAGACTAATTAATGCGGAATCGTTCTATAGTTTGTTTCTTTAAGAAACTAAAACAATGATTATAATATCTTTAATTCCCTTGTTAACCACTTAAGTTATAAGTTTAATGTTCACGTCAACAACTTAACTAAGCAAGAGCCGTCATCATTATTATATACATTACAAAACTGACCAGTTAAACGTGTATGTAAGTAATTTGCTTCCCGCCACTAATATTAGATGTTGGCATCTTACCATCAGCCATCATATTTTGTTTAGTAGTGAACAAAAACATCAAGACAATCTAAACTCTTCTGAAAGTTAATTAACAATTAAGAAACATATATGATATATTTTCACTGTAATCGTATAAACAATATTCTGAATATTTTGAAATTTTATATCATGGACCTTGCCCTAAAGATTGATTTCTTTATCTTATATGGCTTAAAGTCTTGATCATATATAGATTTAATATAAAAACCTAAACTCATAAAGAAACAGTTGTGAACTACATTCTAAGTTAAAAATCCATACACTAGAAATTAAGAATAAACATAATATAATCTAAGATTCTAATAAAATATTGATTAACATTTGACATTAGTAAAAAGAGTTAATTATATAGCGTATACGAGATCGATGATACCGACGTATAGATAGCTCCATACATATCTCTAACTGGATGAAAATCTAACGCCCGAGTCAATAAAGCATATAGTTGTATAATGACTTTCATAAGTATTTTCTAATGACATTGATTAGTAGAAAATTGTAAAACATATATGTCAGCGATCGACCGTTCGCTTATACGTGTGTATATAGATGGGTTTTGGGGATACATTATACATAGCATATACTTTATAGTTAAGACATCGCTCATTTGTTTACATTTGTATATTTTGATCATGTATTCTAATATTTACAGTGTGTTTCATAAACTGTAGTTTCAATAAAGAAAAAAAATTGCGTATATATCTACATTGTCGGCTATATATATTTATTAGTATTCCATAAAAAGTTAAAATGTAAACGCCAAAACCAATTAAAAATATAAGCCAACCAATCTTCGAAAAGACAATAATATATAACCACATACATACATAACTTATCTTCATAGTTTTTGTCGGCTAGAAAAGGTCGGCTTTGACTTTAAATTTTAAAACGACCAATTATCACGTTGTATATGAGAGTATAGTTAAACCATTCTCATGATACAGCCATTACATTGTGATTTGTCAATTTTACATCTCTTCGCACGCATATTAAAACACTCCCTAGAATTTATAATTTTCTCTCGGTATCATATACAAATGAATAGAAAATACTTGGATCGTCGATCATATTCATGGTCGGGATCACAAGCAAGACCATACATATGCGATTTTTGCGAGAGAGGTTTCTCCAACGCACAAGCTTTAGGAGGGCACATGAACATCCACAGAAAAGACAGGGCAAAACTTCGACAGGCGGACCTAAAAGAAGAAGATAATGAAGAGGCCATTTGCACCACTTCGAGAAATCGGTTCGAGCAAGAGCTTATTGAGTTACCTTTCTTCGTTGACACGGTCGGTCCAAAAACAAAAGTAGAAGATGATAAAAGCGAAAACTGTATAGGAGACGAGGAAAGGAACAAAACGAGGATACTTGAAAGGGCTTTATCTCAAAGTGCAGAAGTGATAGATCTTGAGCTCCGTCTAGGATTAGATCCTTATAAGAAACCAACAAGTACGTAACCGTGTGAATATATTTATCACCAAGTATGATTGTATATGCAGTATATGTGAATAATTCCGTTTGACTAGATATTGGTTTGTTAATACACAAAGAACTAACATTTGTTATGTACATATATAATTAATGGTTACTGATTATTGTGATGAATTTTTACTCATTAATTTGTTACCATAATTGTTTAATACACATAATCTAACATTTGTTATGTGTACACTTGAAGGCTTTAGTTCTAACTCTTTTTCGTTTGTTCCTCGATCTAACAAATGTTGTAGCCAATGCGTTAGCCAAGATAGCTCTTAATTCTGTAACCTCTCCCTCCCTCTGTGAGATGTAACCGTGTAAACGTTAAGTTTCTTATATTTCAGTTTGTTGCCCAAATAAATTGTTTATTTACCATAAATATTATTGTGAGTCGTCTGAGTATGAAACATGAATGTACCGTAATTAATTATCCCTCATATAAGAAACATAGAAACTAAAGTAAACTACACGCATTACTCTTGTTTCAAAAAAATAAAATACTAATTAAGGAAATGTTATCAAAGAATTAATAATCATAGGTAAAAATAATAGCTCTAAAATAATTCGTAAACTAGGGGTTTTTTTTAGATCCAAAGAAAAGAGGGAGAGCATACAGTATGCATATGAAAGATTTATGTGATGCTTCCACATGGATTAACTATTTCAAAACGAGTAGATGAATTTAGAAAATACAAATAAATTTATAAATATATATATATATATATATATATATATATATATATATATATATACATATTGTTGGTGCAGATTTACATGATCATTGAACATATATTTTTGGTAAAAAAAAACTACACTCAAAAGGTATAAAATTTTCTTTGACGAGAAAACAAATATATTATTTCGAATCGTGATATGCATGGTCATGGACATGGTCGTGCCAATTGAAGAAACATCTATTTGAACAGTTTTACCAACGAAAAAAAAAAACCCTCAAAATACCACAAAACTAGTAAAACAAACCTGAAAAACAAAAAAAAAACTAGTAAAACAACAAAAATCCAAAGTTCACATTAAGAAAGATTCCAAAAATATTTGAGCAAAAGCCTAATCAAGTTGATATATAACAGACAATTCATAAGTTGTTTTAGAAAATAGAGAACATAGATGTGTAATAGACTATTACTAATAGTGTTGTAAACAAACCGATGTGTCGTAGTCAATAGTTTATTTATAAATAAGCTAATAATGGAAATTTGTAACCACGCGTCTATCAGTGATAGCAAAGAAAGGCTGCTTTCAAAATTTGAGGATGTTCTTTTGCTTCCAGAAACTTCTCCACATTTTATTCGTTTTAAACTAATTAATAAACGCGGTCCAGATCATGCCACGTGTTTTTAACATGACGTGGCATCCGAGGTGGCATAACCTCAATCCCCGTAATTGATTCTCCTCCCCCCCCTCTCAATTCAGTGAGTCAACTCGTTCTCTTTTTGTTTCTCCGTTTCTAGATTTTCTCCTTTGTAAGAAGACAACACGAATTTGTTGTGAAAGTGAAAACGTAGATCATTGGATTTTCTCTCTAGGGTTGTATTCTGATCTACGTGTGTGTGTGTGTTTTTATGGTGATTGTGGATTTGGAAGAATCTGTGCCATGAATGTTAACAATGGAGGAAATGTTCCGATTGGGGAATGTAAGGCGACTTTAGTTTACATGTCCGGTTACTTACCAGGAGCTGCGCCGGAGAAATCCCCTATTCTCTCTCCTGTTCCCGTGCGTTTACCGGCCGCTGTTCACGGTGGAGATTCGTGGAAAGATGTATGCGGCGGCGGTTGTGGATTCGCTATGGCTATTTCAGGTTGGATTTAGTGATTTCGGATTTGAAACTTAATTCGTGTTCGACAAAAGATCATAACTTTGGGTTCTTTGATTTACAAAGAGCTGTGTTTTTTTTTTTTGGGAATTCTACTGATCTTGTGTGTTTGTGGGTTTTAGAGAAGGGGAAGCTTATAACTTGGGGTTCTACTGATGATGAAGGACAAAGCTATGTGGCTTCTGGAAAGCATGGGGTAAAGTTCTATTAAGATGGTGTAAATTTTGACTCTTCTTCTAACCTTTTTGTTACTTAACTGATTCGATTCTCGTCTTTTCTTTATTACGATTGGTTAAGGAAACTCCAGAGCCGTTTCTTCTTCCCACGGATGCTCCAGTCGTTCAGGCTTCTTCAGGATGGGCACATTGTGCGGTTGTAACAGGTACGTGATTAGCCTCTACTCCTGTACTTTGACTTCTGTTATATTACACTGGTCTGTGTTTGAAGTAGTATAAAGGTAGAATATGTAGGATTGGTCAGCTGAAACATGAAATGAAGTATGATACTTGTAACTGTGTCTTTTATTCATTACTTGTGTTGGTGTGTACAGAGGCTGGTGAAGCATTTACCTGGGGTTGGAAAGAATGCATTCCATCAAAGGATCCTGTTGGAAAGCATCAGAGTGGCTCGAGTGAGCAAGGTGAGATCGGTTGGGATATCTTTGGTTTTAGTGGTGTAAATTTGTTATTGTTGATGGATATGCTATGTTTTGAATTGTGATAGTGATTCCATCATCACAAGGTTCAAATACAGCCAGTGGTATGACACTGCATAATGAGAATCGAAAGGTAGGGGAGGAATTGGTGAAGCGGAGGCGGGTTTCAACTGCAAAAGATGAAGCTGAAGGCGTTTCACATGGAGAGGACTTCTTTGCTACAACACCTTCACTTGTGAGTGTTGGCCTTGGAGTGAGGATCACCAGTGTTGCTACTGGTGGTCGGCATACTCTGGCATTGTCAGGTGAAGTTGAATAACCAGACTTCGTTACAAATCCGAGATGAGCTGGTACCTTGTAGTTGAAGATTCATTTGAGGATGATCATGTTTTTGCGGAAGTTTCAGATATAGGACAGATTTGGGGTTGGGGATATGGAGGCGAAGGGCAACTAGGATTGGGTTCCCGGATTAAAATGGTGTCCTCTCCTCATCTAATACCTTGCTTTGAATCAACTGGATCTGGCAGAGAAAAATCTTTCATATTGCATCAAGGAATAACAACCACGTCTACTCAAGTTTCAAGAGAACCTGGTCGGCATATAAAGGCTATTTCTTGTGGAGGTCGTCATAGCGCGGCAGTTACAGGTCTATTTTCTTTTCTGAGTGTTTCCGCTGTAGAGTACTGATGAAACTAATCATGCTATGGAAGTAAAAAGGTTACCTTGCAGTTATGTATTTCTAAATTTGGTAGTCAAAGACTAGTTTGGTCTTGATTGCTCATCCTTCCTAGTTGCAGATACTGGTGGGTTAATAACTTTTGGCTGGGGACTCTATGGACAGGTGAATGTTATACAGCGTAGCAACGTTTGTCTCTATCAAGTTGACTAAGCTTTTGACTTTAAGTGTATTCTGTATAGCCTCGCCATGTGCTCATGCTAACCCAACAATTTTCTTGGCATTTAGTGTGGCCAAGGAAACACGAATGATCAGTTAAGGCCCATGGCTGTGTCATCAGTGCAGAGCATACGGATGGAAAGCGTAGCAGCTGGATTGTGGCACACTGTATGTATCTCAAGTGATGGTAAAGTGTATGCCTTTGGTGGAAACCAATTTGGTCAACTGGGAACTGGCACTGATCATGCTGAGGTAACATCTCTAGTAATAAAAAATTTGTGACTTCTTCATGGTCTGGAATTTTTGTGCAGTGCATGAACTGAAATATTTGCTATACACTTAAATTGTATAATCTGTCTTCTGATGTAGGTTATACCGAAGTTGCTGGATGGCCAGAATTTGGAGGGCAAACATGCAAAAGCAGTTAGTTGCGGTGCGCGGCATAGTGCGATTTTGGCAGGTATGATTTTCAAATGTTAATGGCAGAAAGGGACCTCTCCAAACTGAACTGAGCCCTAGCAATTTGTTTTCAGTTATTTTAAAGAGAAGATACTAAAGAGCCCTTGCTTGTCAGATGCTGCAACTTGTATTCAGGTCTCCTTATGTATTGTTTTCAGTTCTAATTTGTGGTCTCTCTTTCAAGCGAGAGAAACTTATCTCCTTCGTTTTTGAACATATAACATGTTCGCAAAACACTTTGTATTCTATGATATATGCCTGATGTAGAAGCACCCTCTTTAATTTAGTTCACGATAAACTCTGTGAAGGAGATACTAGATGTGTTCTCTGTTTTGCTGATTTGCACTGCACTTTTTTGTTTCTGCAGAAGATGGTCGGTTGTTATGTTGGGGATGGAACAAATACGGGCAGGTACATTGTTGTTCCTGTTTTTCTTTGCTAAACCAGTTGCCTCATTATCAAAACCAGTTGCCTCATTATCAGTATATTTGTACAAATAGCATCTCATTTTTTGCATCCCTCTTATTACTCAACAGCTAGGCCTAGGGGACACGATTGACCGAGACATCCCTACACAAGTCCAGCTGGATGGCTGCAGACTGAGGAAAGTGGCATGTGGATGGTGGCATACATTACTACTAGCTGACTTACCCACTTGAGATTTCCCAACCAGGCACCAGATCCTCAAAACCAACACTTTCGTGTTTTCGCCTTGTGAAAGAGATGCCTACATGACAGAAGCTGTACATACATGCTTTTTGCTATATGTATTTTCTTCTTCAATATTTCCGTGTCTTCGTACTTTGATTTTGTATTGTGTAACATGGGAAAATTGCAGAACAGGAGAATAAAACTGTTTGGTATGAAAGGATCTTTAGGTTTCTTTAGAATGGGTGTAAAAACAGTTGGATATTTAGATTGGCAAAGAACGAGAAGTCGATGTTCTGCTCTGTACAGTCTTTTAATCACATCCCTCCACTTCTATTTTCTTTTACTTGTATCAGGAATCAGAAAACTATAGTTTTTTAAAGAGTTGGTAGGATAACTAATCTTCGTTATAATCAACCACGTAATGTGATTATAATTTCTGATAGATTTTAATGAACTGCTGAATTAGCAGGATGATTGGGATTTTTTTAGCATATTCCATACCAAAGTGTAGATCCACGGTCATATATATAATATACTTCGAATCACAAAACTTTAGTTATGACTAATTTTTAAACAACTACTGTGGCGTACATTCATTAAAAAAAAATATTCGAGTTAAACAATGTAACAACTAGGGATAAAATAAACTTAGTGTCACTGTGTCACACTATTAGTACAAAAATTTAACTAAAATATGCTGGAAGGCGCGAGCCTTAACATGATGCACTAGCAAACGTCAATAAGATACTAATTTATGGCGATTAAGGATCTTTAATTCTATAGCTTTTTCTTTAATTAAAGAACATTAGAGATCTCATGTTTTGCTACCTTATTTAGAACTATTTAAGGATTACTACATATATAGTACAAACTAATACTAAGAGACTCTTGCTTTTTATATAAAAAAATGTTGTGTTTACAATTGATCCTATTACTTCAGACTTCAGAGCATCTATGCTGCTGCATTGAAGCCCTTTCTTGCATAAACATCTCTACCTAAGATGCTCTTAGAGTTATACTGTAGTTTTTTTTTTTTTTTTTAATTCCTGAGAGATTCGAACTCTCGCGGGGAAACCGTTTTGACGGTCCAATGTCGTACCTGAGAAGAATGGTTGTGAAACGTATCCCTTACCAGAAAGACTTGTCACCCACGATCAGTCCGAAGTTTCGGGAAACCAGATTTGAAGTTGCTAATATAAAAGTAGTCAAATAACAAAGACAGTATGATTTAATGATTCCAATAATTTATGTTAAATGTGAATAAACTATATATGCTTTGGGTTGATTGGCCCTGTACCACTTTATAACAGGCCAGTTGGCTTCTGAACATACAAAGTATAAACAAATATATTCCTCGGAACCCATGTCACGTCGCAGAAGGTTTGTCTCGTCGCTACACCAAAGTTTTTATTTTGGTCATCACTCATCATTCAGTTATTGTAGTTCAGAAAAATAATAATCAGGGGTTAGAGAAAAATAAGACCAAGAAAAGAAGTGAAGAAAAATACATAACATATTTAAAATGTATAGAACAAATGGTCACGTATAGTGAACGCAATTAAAAAACATCTTCCACATGTGTTCGGACTTGTTAACGAAGATAAATATGTATTCAGAATTTTGGGTCAATTCAAGATATCAAAAACACAGCTTTTAATGTACCATGATGCAATCGGATACTACTTGACAAAAAACAAATACCATTATTTTACTTTAAGAGAAAACGGAAATCATAGTACACATGCAGCTAATATATCCCACACACTCACACTCCTGAGAAAGCACCTGCCCATAAAAAAATGAAGCTTCCATGGCTCTCTCCTCTTATCACCTTCACTCTCTCTCTACTCGTCTCCTTCTCTTCTACTGTAGAAGCTTTCAAACGATGCCCTAACTGCGGTACCACTCCAGTCCCATACCCACTAAGCACGAGACTCGACTGTGGCGATCAAGATTATAAGATCCGGTGCGACCAACGCGGCTCCTTATGGTTCGATACACTCAACGGGTCAAGCAATCCGATCAAAACAATTGATCCGTCAGGCCAACGGTTTGTACTCCGTCCACCAGGGTTCGAGCCAAACAAATGTGTATCGGTCGATATCAAGTACCACGGTATTCAGCTAGACCTGAACCTTCCTTTCAATGTTAGTAGCAGTAACACGGTTATAATCATGAATTGTACAAAAGATGGTCTAGATTCTTACAGCTCTCAAGGGTTTAACTGCTCAGACAATAGCTTGTGCCACAAGTTTCTCAACGAGAATCTTGAGGCGCGAGGAAAGTGCCGAGGCGTGTCATCGTGCTGCTGGTATAAAACCGGTGCATCGGTTAACACTTATAAGGTTTACAGGGCTAGGACAGAAATGTGTTCAGCTTATCAGAGTTATATGAATCTTGATCTGTTGTTGCCGGTTAGTAAATGGGGTGAACCGGCCGTTGAGATACTGTGGGAGTCTCCGAGAGAACCGGTTTGTAAGATTCAGGGAGATTGCAAAGATTTGGTGAACTCGGTTTGTTCAGGCGATTCGACGAATTTAGGACAGAAGAGATGTTTCTGTAAGAAAGGGTTTCAATGGGACTCGGTCAACGCACTATGTGAAGGTCCGGTCCGGTTTGGTCTTGTGATTTGGCTTTTGATTTGTTTTTGAGATTTGAGTCTTTTCATTTTAGCTAAATACAAAATTTGTTATTTGTTTATTTAGTTAACAGGTGTTCCAAGGGAAAGAAATGTAAAAAATGGAGCAATTTACCTTTAATTGGAGGTAAAACCGGATCAAATTCGGATTCAGGCCAGTACGGTTCGATTTGGTTTGATGTTAGACTGATTAGTTTGCGGTTGTGAACAGGTTTAGCCGGAGGTGTAGGAGCGATACTGATCGCCGGATTCGTAATGAAGATGATCATCTCAAAACAGAACCAGATAACCGCCGGAAGCCAGTCGTGGGCGAGCGTAAGGAAACTACATCGTCACTTATTGACTACCAACAGTACCGGACTCGATCGAATCTTCACCGGCAAGGAAATCGTGAAATCAACCAACAATTTCGCCAAATCAAATCTCCTAGGTTTCGGCGGATTCGGCGAAGTGTTCAAAGGAAACCTCGACGACGGTACCACCGTAGCTGTTAAACGAGCTAAGCTAGGGAACGAGAAGAGCATTTACCAAATCGTCAACGAGGTTCAGATCCTCTGTCAAGTTAGCCATAAGAATCTAGTGAAGCTTCTCGGATGCTGCATTGAATTGGATATGCCGATACTAGTTTACGAGTTTGTCCCCAACGGAACTTTGTTCGAACACATATACGTCGGAGGAGGTGGAGGACTATATGATCCTTTGCCTTGGCGGCGACGTCTCTTGATCGCTCATCAGACAGCTCAAGGACTTGCTTATCTTCACTCATCAGCTACACCGCCGATTTATCACAGAGACGTTAAGTCGAGTAATATTCTCTTAGATGAGAATCTTGATGTTAAGGTTGCTGATTTCGGATTGTCAAGACTAGGTGTGAGTGATGTGAGTCATGTTACGACCTGTGCGCAAGGAACCTTAGGGTATTTAGATCCAGAGTACTATCTTAACTTCCAGTTGACGGATAAGAGCGACGTCTATAGCTTCGGGGTTGTGTTGTTCGAGTTATTGACTTGTAAGAAGGCCATTGACTTTAACAGAGAGGAGGAAGATGTGAACTTGGTTGTGTTTGTAAGGAAAGCTTTGAAGGAAGGGAGATTTATGGATGTCATTGATCCTGTGATCGGGAAAGGAGCGACGGGGATGGAGATTGAGTCGATGAAGGAGCTTGGAGTTTTGGCCGAGCGGTGCGTGAAGGAGACGAGACAATGTCGACCAACCATGAATGTTGTAGTGAAGGAGATCGAGAGCATTTTACACAGTATTTAAAAATTGTGAAACGACGTTTTGTCCTGTGGTATAAGGATTTTGTGAATAAATAACCCCACAAGTGAATTTACATGTCACTTATATGAATGTATTGTATTCAAAAGATGTAGTAGTCGCCGGTTGGAAGAAAGTTTTGTAAAACGGATCAAAGAAGTACACATCAAGTTTTGATTCTTACTTATAGTGCTCAAGGCCTCAATGTATATAACATGGTTATGAAAAGTAAGTTGCGGTGGTTACGACTTAAGAGAGATATATATCTATGTAGCAATAGCTTGATTTCAAGAAATACTGATGGATTTGATTTGAAATACTGATCTCAAAAAACTACAAAGATGTTCTCAACATTCCAAGAATAAAAACAAAGTTGGATTTCTCATGGAAACTAAACTGAGGCTAAGATCCAGAATGTGACATGAGAAGAAACAGCGATTTGGATCCAAGTGACAAACGAAAGGGCTACAGCTACTTCATACCTAAGACATGGATACTGGCTCTCAGTATTGCAATACTTGATATCTTTTTCATATAAGACTACAACTCCTGCTGATGAACATGCAGCTGCAAGAGATAACATTGCAGTCACCTACACAAACAAGAAACACAGTTCAATCCTTCAATGTGGTCATATCAAGAACATTGAATTTAGTGTAACAAAACCCATAAAAATGTGGTGCGTACCCAATCACCAACGACGAATAAGCTAACCAAGATTGGGTTTTGGAGATCTTTTTTGCCCCTGAGAGCATAAACATCAAGACAAGCTAACCCAAAGCTCCACAGCAATTGAAGACCCATTGATGCAATCAAGTAGCTGAAAACAAACCCAAAATCAAAAACAATATCAACCAGACTTCCACTAATTTACTTAAAACATTGCAGAAACAACCCATTACCATACTAATTGAATCCGCAAAATCCGACAACTAGGCGAACAAAAAAAGGTTAAAAAAAAAAACAAATCAACACTTTACCAAAAAGCAGTGTGAACAGAGAACTGCTTGGCAGAGACCATAACTCCGATTGAAGCCGCAGCTGAAGCACATTGTCCGATTCTCAGTAACAGACCACACAAAGTTCCCGGACCTCCGAAAAGCTTCTTCATTTCAATCAACAACAGCGACTCCAGTATCTCTTTCCCAAAACCCAGAAATTTCCAGCTTAAATCAGCGAAGAAATCGAGGAACAAAAAACCCTAGTTTTCGCAATTAACAAAGCTGCATTTGGTTCAGGAGGAATTTTGGCGGGGAAAAGCAGAGGAACACCATAGCTAAGATGAAGAAGAAGAACCCAAAGGAGGGGATGAGATTTTGGGTCACCTACCTACTAATAGAATTTCCCGAAACGGCTTAGATTCGATTATAAGCTTCTTTGTTCTTTCTCCTTCCCCATTTTCACTTTTTTTTTGCTCTTTTTAGTGGACTCAGAAGAGAACCAAGCGTCCTACGTGGCAGACATTTTTTTTTTTTTGGAGTTAAAAATGTGCAATTTTTTTTTGTCGGCAAATAAGAAAATTTCTGTACTATTAATTAGCTGCTTTCTAAGAAAGTTTGTTAAAATATTTTTGTTAATTAATATCTGAAATGTTAATTACAATATTTTTGAGTTTTGAATATGTGTGTTATACTTTTTTATATTATTTAAATCCTACATCTTGTTATATTAGTCACGAATAGTTGTCCTACAAATAATTACGGAATATTCATAATCTTTTAAACTCCGAAATCAAAATTGTTTTAAGGTAAGGGATGCGTAACACAAGTCTTGTTTTTTCTTGTCAAAACAAATAATAAATGTAAGAAAAAAAAAATACCCAAATGATTTAGCTATTTAAATAATAAATGTAAAAAAAAATCAAACATCCATGGGCCTAACAAAACCAAATGATTTAGCTATTTTTATCAATATATGGGCCAAATTAGGCCCAATATAAATTGGACGCGAAACCTGATTTTCTGAATTAGGTCAAATATAAATACTAATATCATCTCTCTCGAAATTACGGCTCCTTGTACTCATTTTTAGGGTTTCAGAGATCGGCAGATTTTGACAACCACACAAACATGACGACTCAGATCAGCAAGAAGAGGAAGGTGTGAATCGTGATTTCATTTTCTTTTAATACATTTCATTGGATTTATCTCTTTGCATCGTATTGGAACTGTTTTGAGTAACTGTGCTGTAAATTTTTTTTTTGTAGTTTGTAGCGGACGGTGTGTTCTACGCTGAATTGAATGAGGTTCTCACTAGAGAGCTTGCAGAGGATGGTTACTCTGGTGTTGAGGTTAGGGTTACTCCTATGAGGACGGAGATTATCATCAGAGCCACCCGTACTCAAAATGTTCTCGGTATGTAGAATCTGTTCCTTCATTTTGGTAACTTAAGAATCTTAGAGACCTGTGTTTGGAGATCTGATTAGGATATAATCATTTGGATACAGGTGAGAAGGGAAGGAGAATTAGGGAATTGACATCTCTTGTTCAGAAAAGGTTCAAATTCCCTCAAGACAGTGTTGAGCTTTATGCTGAAAAGGTGACCAACAGAGGTCTCTGTGCCATTGCTCAGGCTGAGTCTTTACGCTACAAGCTTCTCGGTGGTCTTGCTGTTCGTAGGTATTGCATTTCTCTACTTTGTTTAGTCGGATACATCAATTGAGAAATTTGGTTTTGTGAATTTAGTACTAGCTTGTATAAGCATTCTCTGAACCCCCTAATAGTTATATGATGTGTATTAGAGTACTTGTAATAGATGTCTTTCATTTAGACAATGCTAGACTGTTAATGTTATTGCATAATTCTCATATCAAGATGTTAATCTTTGCAATGATTATACGTTTTACAGGGCCTGCTATGGTGTTTTGAGGTTTGTTATGGAGAGTGGAGCTAAGGGATGCGAGGTCATTGTAAGTGGAAAACTCCGTGCTGCACGTGCCAAGTCAATGAAGTTCATGGATGGTTACATGGTTTCATCTGGTCAACCAACTAAGGAGTACATCGACTCTGCAGTGAGACATGTTTTGCTTAGACAGGTAAGTTTCTGACGAGATGTTCTTCATTGAGTAGGTCATTCAGCAATGTCCAATCTAAGTTTGGTTAAACTACGTGTAGGGTGTGTTGGGAATCAAGGTGAAGATTATGCTTGATTGGGACCCTAAGGGAATATCTGGACCAAAGACTCCATTGCCTGATGTTGTGATCATTCATGCTCCCAAGGATGAAGAGACCAACTTCGCACCTGCTCAGGTTGCTGCTCCGGCTGCTCTTGTACCAGAAGCTCCTCTTACAGCAGTAGATTACCCTGCCATGATTCCAGTCGCCTAGAAGAGTCCTTTACTAATCAATGTGATTTTGTTGTTTTCGACTGTTCTTCCTGTTTTGACAGTTATAGCTTCTCGTATCTTGGAATCAGACACGTTCCCCCAAATCTTTTATCGAAAGTTATCTCAAGTTTCCATTTTTCAAAGGGCCATTTTAGTTTAATGGATAGCATTCTGTTTTCCATATTAAATCGAATTTCAATTCTCAAAATACTGAAAAGTAACGATATATTACATGGAAAAAACTAAGTGGGTGTTATTGAATAGTGTATTTTAATGTATTTTAATGTATTTTAAAATCTGCTGTTATTCAATTATGTATTTGATAAAGTACAACACAATCCACTGTTATTCAATATGAGTTTGATTTTGTTGTATTTTGGTTGGAAAGGATTTTAATGTATTCTTTTGTCTAAAACATGAGTAAAGCAAATACGTGCCTTTTCTCTCTGATTTTGATGTACTTCATAGAAAACTATAACCAAATAAATATTTTTAAAATTATTTCTTCTTCTTCCATCTATAACCGAGAACCTATAAAGCACGTAAGGAATTTAAATGATGAATAAGTGCAAGATCCACCATGGCATCTTCAAGCGGAGAACTTTGCTGGGAAGGAGGAAGAAGAAGAACAACGATCATGACTTTAAAAACAGAGAATCAGATGCTTCATTAGGAAGATAAATCCACAGATCCCTTCAATATTTTATTTGCAACATACTAAATCTTTTATGTTTTTTGTTATTTTGATCCTTTTCCTACGAAGAACCGATGTTGCCGTCTCGGAGTCGTCACGAAACAAACATAATTTAGATCTGATTTTTCATTTTTATAATACAGAGCAGTTACTTTTTAAATTAATGACTATAATCTATAGTGAAAATACATTAAAATCCATCGGTTTTGTAATGAATCTATCAAAATCCTTTTAAGTACTTTCAAATTCAATTACTTTAAAATACATAGAAATCATCAATTCAATAACACCCCCTAAATTTTAATTGGTTTAATCGAAAATGTAACGTGGAGTTTGGATTAGTCCACTTATATAAAATCTGGCCGACCAGCGATTTTCCCGCTCTGTCGACGATCTTCCTCCGCCTTAAGGCTCACGAACGAGATCTAAATCGCACTCCTAGAGCTCTGACAATGGCGGACGAACTCGGATTCTTCGAACTCAACACCGGAGCAAAGATCCCATCGGTCGGCCTCGGAACATGGCAAGCTGCTCCTGGCGTCGTTGGAGACGCCGTCGCAGCCGCTGTGAAGGTTTGTCTCAGATTTTTCTTTCTCATTTCACTGATCCTTAGAGGTCTTGGGTTTAGATGCTCAAGGTACAATTTTTACAGCATCATTTTGGTTTTGCAGATGGGCTATCAGCATATTGACTGTGCTTCCAGATATGGCAATGAAATTGAGGTTATTCCACCGATCTGATTTTTGTATTTGCGAAACTATGCCTCTAAAACCTTAACATCTCTGGAAATTTAATCTGTAATGGCGTTTTAGGTTCTCCATTATATTGTTACCTTCTTGAATTACACGGGATCTGAATCTTGTATACCTCATGTTTCAGTGTTTCACCCATTTTGTATCATCTTTTGGCGACTCATAACTTGATGCCCCTTGGTAAAACAGTGTATTGTTTGGTATTATCTTTCTTATTGGATTTCGTATGTAATCTTGCGGAGGCTCACCTTTTGTTTTGGACAGTGGCACACATTCATCTTAACTAGCTTTAAATTTTGAAGGATTGATGGAGTAATTTGTTATAAACTGTTTTTCCAATTCATCCGAGGTGTAGATTCTACTTTTGCTATAGAGATATTGAAAACCTGTTTCAAATGCAGATTGGGAAAGTTCTGAAGAAGTTGTTTGAAGATGGCGTAGTGAAGCGTGAGAAGCTGTTCATTACATCAAAAATCTGGTATTTGTTCATATTTCTTATGCATTTTCAGTCTCCCTCGTGTCTACTTAGCCTCTAACCTATAATTGCCTACAAATGATGCCACGACAGGCTGACTGATCTCGACCCTCCGGATGTACAGGAGGCATTGAACAGAACTCTACAGGATCTGCAGCTTGATTATGTTGATTTGTACCTCGTAAGCATGACTCCTTTGAACAAATGCTAATTTCATTATTCTAACTGTTTTCAAGTTTTGTTTCTTTCTTATATTTTTTAGCCTTGATTTGAACTTACAGAAATTTGCATCTTTGGAATTGAAAACTGTAGTTAATCTTATTTATATTTTGATTGGTTTCATTTGATTTCTTTTCAAGATGCATTGGCCTGTTAGGTTGAAGAAAGGCACTGTTGACTTTAAGCCTGAGAACATTATGCCTATCGATATTCCTAGCACATGGAAAGCAATGGAAGCACTGTATGATTCAGGCAAGGCACGAGCCATTGGCGTAAGTAATTTCTCTACGAAAAAACTCTCAGATCTCGTGGACGCTGCTCGTGTTCCTCCCGCTGTAAACCAGGTGGAGTGTCATCCTTCATGGCAACAACATAAGTTACATGAGTTCTGCAAGTCCAAAGGGATTCACCTATCAGTAAGTTTGAAAACACTAACATGTCCAAATCATTATAGGAATCAGAATTTCATGCTTATACACGTGAAAATTTCGATTATGGCAGGGATATTCGCCACTGGGTTCTCCTGGAACAACATGGGTGAAGGCCGATGTTTTAAAGAGTCCTGTTCTGGAAATGGTAGCTAAAGAACTCGGGAAGTCTCCTGCACAAACCGCACTTCGATGGGGACTTCAAATGGGTCATAGTGTACTTCCCAAAAGCACAAATGAAGCAAGGATCAGAGAGAATTTTGATGTATTGGGGTGGTCAATCACAGAAGAAATGTTTGACAAGTTTTCCAAGATAGAGCAGGTAAGTAAAATTATAAACCACATTCCTGCAAATTTAGAATCGATGAGAAAGTCTAAATATCAAACTTTTCTGGTGTTGCCATGTGATTATCTTCACTGTGCAGGCTAGGTTAGTCCAAGGCACGTCGTTTGTTCATGAGACTTTGAGTCCTTACAAGACACTTGAAGAGCTTTGGGATGGTGAGATATGATGTACCCAAAGACGTCTTCTGTTGCATTTTTAAGTTTTAACCATTTTCCTTTGAAGTTGGAGAAAACTATGTTCCACTGTTTTATACATTAATAAAGGGAAATAATGTGTAATCGACATACACTTTTCAATAATAATAGGAAATTAGCAGTTGTATTAACAGTTTCTTTAGTTCCCCAGGCAAATCACTAACAATCATAATGTGGTCATATTGGCCTCAAAGCCCAATAATTATCTTTCATAAACCAGAAAAGATCCGAAACATGAATTCGCATATAGAGAAACTAACGAAGCCACATTGCTAATAGCAAATGGAAACCTCAAGAAAAACAAACTAAGAGGCAGAGCTTTCTGATTTATCTTCTCTCTCACTGTTGTTTTGCTTCCACCTTCTTCTTCTGCCAGAGCCTGTCCACGCCACTGTCTGCATCTCCCTGCAGATTAAGTAATAATATAAACAGTCAATATACATGCTCAACCATGAACTTTATGCTATAATACGGAATTCAACATTGAGAATACAGATAACAAAGTAGAATAGTGAAATTGTTTATTCAACAAACCTGAGCTCGGACAAATCCGCAGAGAGCAAAGGTGGTGAATTGGCCGGTGTACACACCATTAGCATCAAGGTGACCAATGTTAAGCTGAACAGAAGCATGATCCTTTGATGTGATCAATCTGTTTGTTGCCGAGCTGTAAAAATTGAGCTAGCTTAGTACTTAAATTAAGACAATTAGCTTCATACATTAATCAAACGTTACAGCAGAGAACAAATCAAAGCTGAGCATACCATTTTCTTGGAATGTAGAGCTCTGTGACCTGACCTTCTTCGTTCTGCATTTTTACAGATTTGACTTGGAACAACAAAGAACGATCTGAGCAGGTTCAACAACACACAAAAATCAATTAAATGAGCAACAGTTCCATAATATATCAAAAGGAAGACGGAGATTAAGATTCTAAGGAGAAATTCTCACCTGTGATGAAGAAGAACTAGCTGAGATCAGTTTGGCGGCGACGAAGGGAAACATAAAATGGTCGGTTTATATTATAGTAGCGAGCTCGTAGGGTTTGCTTATTTCACAATGACTTCTATACCCTTGTCGAAAACAGATCCAATTAGAGCGATTTTAAAATATGAAATCGAACCGAACTACTTAAGGTTTTAAACCGACAGTTGTTATTTGTAGCCGGTTGATTTTATTATACACCATCAACAAAATTCGGAATCGTAACCAAACCAAAACAGAACACTGGTTCAGTTTGGGTATTCAGATTGAAAAATTACTTAAAATTGGTTAAAATGTCTGATTCATCTGGAATGGATATTTTTTTTCAGATTTGCTTGCATACTTGTTCATTCAAAAATGTTTTTTTTTTTTTTTGGTAGACTGTAGACAAAATGACACATAAATCACGATATACTCCCAAAGAAAATGGGTGATTACAAGTTTTTGTTCTTTGTTTCCTAAAGACGAGATTCTTCTTGTTTGTAGTCTTTGACTCTTATCCAAACCCTTTCAATAACCTGAGATCAAAGAAATATAGAAACAAAGTAAGAAGCCAAATAACTCCAAAGATTTTGAGTGTAAAGTTTACAGAACTCACACACAAGAATCACTTCATCAAAAGCTTAGCCTTCTGTCCCGAAACTGCGGTCTCCAGCGTCTCCAAGCCCAGGTATTATGAACCTATTGATTAAAATCCGCAAGGAAGTAAAAATATAATCACCAGTTTTCTAACCCAATATCGAAAATGTGAACTTGCATATCTGACTTACCCCTTTTCATTGACTTCAGGATCGATCATTCCAGCATATACATGAAGCCTGAAATGTTGCAAACAGCAACCAAATAGTTTAGTAAAGAGTTAACCAAATGTCAAACATGTCGAGAGTTGATCTTTTGCTATTGGTTTACCCAGGGAATTTCTCATTAAGCTTCGACAGTGCAGGAGGTGCAGTACACGCACAAATCTGTAATGAAAGAGGTACCAGAAAAATCAAACTACACGATATTCCGTAGCCAAGATTTCTGACAAACAAAAAACTGCTTTCATATATGATTTACCACTTTGATTTGCTGAACAGACAAACCACGTTCCTTCAATAGATCCATCGCCGCAATTATGGTACCGCCTAAAATACAAATAAAGTGTTTAGAAGCATAGAGAAAACCAAGCTGTTGCTAAACCTACACTTCTAGCTATGAAACATTTGGTATTACCATTCATGCGTTCACATTCCCACATTATCATGTATATTTGAACATCAAACCTTAATTACACTTCTAATATGGAGGAGGCTAAAATGACTATAACTCATTACATTACAAGAATTGATGAGATTTTCTTACCTGTGGCAACCATTGGGTCGACCAAAAACACTCTTGAATTCTTGGGAAATTCATCAGGCAACCTATAGAAGATGTATTAAAGATGTTATTGTAAACACTTCAGTAACTACATAATGCTGCAGAGAATTCCTTACTTGTTAAGATACACCGACGGCAAGAGTGTTTCCTCATCCCTACTTATTCCTGGCAAATAGGATAAGCACGGGAACATTCATAAGCTATTTGATAAAAGTCTTCATGTTCCACATCTTCTAAAAAGAAATTACTTACCTAAATGATATACTTTATTCGCTGGCAAAACCGAGGATGCTTGTTCTGCAAGAGCAAGACCAGCTCTTAATATCGGAACAACCTACGCAGAGACAAAAACCAAGTATTAGATATGGTTTACATTTTTGCGTTTCAGAAGAAAGTATAGACAGGAAGAGTTCGAGGGATAAAACAAACCGCAATAGGCTCTCTAGGATCAATGAATTCAACAGAAGCAGGACCCAGTGGAGACATTATTTCTCCAGCAACAGTTGGCTTAACACCACAGACAAAAAAAAAAAAATCAAGAAACAATAAGCAAAAACCCGGAGAAAATGGAATTCAAGAAAAATAAAGTGATGTGAAACTTTGTCAAAACATTACTCACCAGCCACTCTCGTGCTGCTTCATACATGAGTAGTCTCCCTAGTTCAGCCATTGCATTCCCTAAGAAAAATTACAAGATTTAAACAACAACAGAGACTTATGTAGTCGCAAACTGACCCCAAAAAAAAAACTCATATTCAAACGCAATTTAGCAGATAATATAGTCTTAGAGCTAAGGATGTTCACTAAATTCAAAAACTATGATCCAAGTAATCAGAAAAACCAAGAAACTGAATTCAATTCTACAAATATCTCTCTATCTACTTGGGGCAGCATTACTCATAAAATCTTATCTACTCACTGAATATAGGACAAGGAGTTTGGTCATTTCTCAGAACAGAGATCCAATGTTTGATCAACGGATGTGGTGGCACAAACACCTGAAACCATAATCAAATCAACAGAATCAAAACACAAAACTTGTCCAAAAATCTAAAATTCAATCCGACTGATGATTTTTTTGGTTTTGTTTACCAGCATCCTATTGCTCCCGTTGATCGAACCTTCCGACGCCGCCATTTTAGCTCTAACACAAATACTCCGCCGGGAAACAGACGAAGAAGAAGCACCCAAATTCTAGTATCAAAAAAAATCGAGAGTCAAAATAAAAGTTCAGTTTGAAATATCCAAAAAGGCTTCACTGGAAAAGCGTGCTTAAGGAATATAGAATATATATACTCCTGAACGAGCGAGAATTGGGGAGGGATTAAAGGAGAGGAGAGAGGAAGGAGGATTAGGGTTTAGGCGGCTGCATTGTTGTCGGGGACCAAAACGCAGCGTATCAGGAGCACACCTGATTGAGTACGCCATTTTCGTCGAAACGATGATGTATGTCCGAATCTGGTTCAGATTTTTTCACAAAGACGATAGGGCGGGCGAACTTAAACCGGCTCTCATAACTGTTATCCAAACAACCTTCGTATCTACTTAATTATTTACGGCCCATTGGGCTTTTCATTTATCAATTATTTAAATGTTTTCGACTTTGTAACTTACATGTTTTCAAATACTAATAAATGTCTTTACAGGATAAAACCCAACAATTGTACTCACTAAAGCTGTTTCTCAATGTTAAACTATATTTGCACTTTGGGTTCAAGAATGTTTTCTCTATAACTAGATTAGTTTTAATTCAGATTTTTATAACCACTGTAAATGAAAAAAAAAAAAAAGAATTGGAAAACAAAAATTAGATGACATGTGAAAATAAAATCATAAATTACTCGTTTTTTTATCCTTGATATTCTATTATCTATTTCATTAAAATCTTTAATTAACATTGGTTAAAAAATATAACAGACGTCTTGATTACTTGTTTATAAAAACAGACGTGTGATCAAATATTATATAGATTTATGAGAATTAATTATTATATAGATTTAGAGAATTAAAAGAATAACAGAACGTTTTTGTTCATTATTACAAATCTCATAAGAGACAAACTATAGAACAATTGTGTAGATTTACTATATAATTTGAGACAACCTCATAAGAAATAATAATAATAATAATAAATAAATAAATAAATAAATAAAAGAAGAAAAAAGAGACGCTTTACCAATGAACTTGAAGCAAATGTGATGTTTCTGAAGAAACTTGTATTGTTTGATGAAAAAAAAGATGAGACTACTTATTTGTTTATATAGAGGTGAATATTTAAGATCCTTTTCTTTTGGTATTAATAATTAAAGGTATATAATATTAAAATAGATTTAAAAAATCTTCCAAAAAAAAGAAGGAAATCCATGTTTTTAATGTAATTACTAATTAAGACATGGATAAAATCAAAGGATATTTACTTTTAGAATTAGCAAGATATTGTATATTTTCCTATATTAATTATCTTGTATACTTTTCTTAAAATATCTTTAATATTTTGATAATTGTTTTAGGTTTTTATTTTACTTTCGACAACTGTCAAAATCTCTAATTGAGAAATATGAGAGGTGATCGAGTTAGCAACTTTAAATATCAAGTTTTATATAATATGATAAATGTAAGTTTTACACCACTTATACGTAACTTTACACTCGAGACTAGAGATCTCCAATGTTATATTATAAACACGCATGATTACACCATCACACTGTGATAGACGAGGACATAAATGGTTCCAAAATCTGTATATATTTCTTTACTATATTTTACAGCTTCAAATAATATCTGAGGTCTTCCGCGTTGGGTTGGTCCCTGAGTTTAGCCATTGCTCTCCGTTCGATCCTCCGAATCCATTCTTTGCTAACTCTAAGAAGCTTCCCAATCTCTTCCAGGGACTTGGGCCTGTAGTCTTGAAGACCGTAACGTAGAACCATCACTTGCTTCTCTCTTGGCTCTAGCCCTTCTAGAAGATCATGCAAGTCTCTCCTCGCGCTCTGCCTCATCACAGCCTCCTCTGGACTCTCCATCATCGTGTCCGGTGTAAATTCCTGCAGGCACAAAGAACAAGGATTGAGTATCGAGACCAACCAAACTGAACAAAAAGAATAGTTAAATCTAGACTGAACCAATCTTTTTGATAAACCTGATGGTAACAGTATTTTCATTCGTAGAAAAAATCGAATTAGTGTAACCAATTACCATACTAAACAAAACAAATTTTGGTTCTTGTTTCTATAGACATTTCTGACAACCATAAATTGAATCAAACTAAACAGATAAACCAAATTCTCACTCCTCCATCCCGTGCATGAATTGCTAAAATAATTCATAGTTTCTGCACATATTGGTCCAAAACAACATACCAGGAATTTTGTAGAAAAGCAATCCCCGACTTTATTTTCTATTGAACCGACCACTTTTAGGCATTGGTTAGCTGCTCGAATCTTCTTTACCGAGAGGCTTGTTAGTTTCGAGATCTCCTCATCTGCCGGATACTTTATCCCGTGGCTCGTTTTCAAGGTCTTACGAGCCTTTTGTATCTGATTGATAGTACGGATTATAGATGACTGCCAAAAAACAGGAAAGAAAAAGAATGAGGTTAGCTTTGTCGAAAATGAGACAAAATTTAGATAAACAAGAAAAGGGTCAAAAATCAAAATGCACATACAGGAATATGAACGCCTCTTGCATGCCGTGACACCATCATGGACATTGATTTTCTTATCCAATACTGCACATATGTTGAAAACTTGTAACCTCTTGCGTGATCAAACCTCTCTGCTCCTTGTAACACCCCCACAAACCCTGCCTGAAAAACCCACATATAAGAACATAAGGAACTGCAATCACAGTTTTTAAAACTTTCCACTTGCAAACTTTTATCATTTGTGTACCGAGTACCAACTACCAAGCAGTATCATGAAAGCAAGCCGGAAGTATCCTATCCAGTCTTTCTGTAATCATAATCTTAAGCTACAAGATAGAACTTTTGTAGGACTCTTACTACAATTCTAAGGAGAGAAGATGAACCTGAATCAAATCTTCGTGGGCGATTCCCAGTCCACGGTAATTTCTTGCAAGAAAGAGAACCAAAGACCGGGTGCTTTTCAACAATTCATCTCTACAGTACCAGCCATAATGTAGATTGCGCATCAGGAGTTTCTCGTTCATCCCAGCTGCTTCAGCCCAACAACTCAAACTCGCTACCTTACCACTTTCTTCCTCCAGTTGCGTTCTGATTCTCTCCATGTCCGCCACTATCTTCAAAAGATACATGAGAGTGTCATAAGAATTTCTTGTTAACTGAAAGCGAACAAAGGACAAGTAAAATTAAAAGTACAGTAAACAGGAAGATTTCACACTGAACCTTGACTCCTGTTGACATCTCAGCCTCGTTTCTAGAGATCCTCTCTCTTTTCTTTCTATATTTTGGTGGTCTTCTAACTCTAGGGACATCAATATTGTTCCACGTGGTTCGTAACTCGATTGGCAAAGAACCCTGATCACCATTCTCACCTGTCACACTCGACCTGCTTGCTTTCTTTTTCAATTTTCTTCTGGAGGATACAAAGACTTGCTGTTTCGGTGTAGTACCCACCAAATCGGTTGTTTCAGATAAGCAGGACGTGATAGAGGAACCACGAGACCTAGAAAGACAGGTTTTGAAAAACTCAGTAGCACCCAGCTTCCCCATTTGAAACATAATATCTCTTTCCATTCCTAAAGAGTCCAAGGCAGAAAATGTTTCCTCTAGTGCTATGAGGTTCTTTGCTAGTAAATTGTATTGCAACATGCTACGAGAAGAATACGATTTCTCTGCAGAAGACATTTGTTCTCCAACGAAGCCCACACCAATATTTTCCTGAAAAAAAAAATGTCAGCAAAAAGGAAAAAAAAAAAAGAAGCAAAGCGTGAGAATAGTGTTAATATGCAGTGAGCTTTCAATACACACACCTTTGGATCTTTGAGTTCAACATAAACATTATTTGGTGTAGTGTAAGGAGTTGCAGAAGCGCAGGCACATGCTTTGAAAGGATCATTGTGAGTATAAGTTCTGCTTTCCTCTTTGAGTGAGGATAGAAAAGAGCATCTCGTAGCAACCACAGAAGTCATTGGAATTCGAACTGTGAAGCATCAAGTCAATAAAAAAGTAGCAAGAACATCAAACTATGCTCGTTTATTCAAGAATCAGGATTAAGGATTTAAGCACAGAGAGAAACATTGGAAAATGGATGACAAGAGCGAGCCTAATCATACATAATCTATCCGAATTTGGGAGAGTGAGTGACTCACCAAAAATGGGGAAAGAAGTATGCTGACATCTTAATAGGGAGAGCCAATGTTTAATCAAAGGATGTGGAGGTACGAAGACCTGGATCCAAATCGCAAAATTCAGGGAGTGTTGAGATGATATATGAATGAAAGGGAAAAGAGAAGAAGGTACTGTTACTGTTACCAGCATACTAGTATTGGTGGACGGCATAGTCGATCGCACTAAGATACGTGGGCGAGAAGAAGACGAAGACGAAGAAGATGAGGAAGAAGAAGAAGAAGAACCAACAATCTAGAAATCCGAAAATCCAAAATAAAAACAACAATCAGCTCGAGAGAGAGAGAGTGGACACACGCGCGTCTGTCTATACAGAGAGAGAGAAGAGAGCACACCTGTTTGGGAATGGGGAATGAATTGAAGGACGCCATTGACGCAGTGAGCGAGGAAGGGAGGGAGATGATAGAGTGTTGTGTGTGTGTTAAATTGTATGGTCTAGGAAGACCTCTCCTCCTTTCTCCCTTCTTCTAATTTTCCTAATTCCCTCTCTCTGTTTCCTTGCCACACTTTATATTTATTTTTCCTTTTTTTTTTTTAATCTTCTTCTCAGTTTGTCTTTTTTGTTTTTTTTTCCACTTTTATTAATTTTAATACCAAAGTATCTTCACCATACCATACAATATACAGGAAATTTACATTAGTTTATCCAATATATAGAAATATTTAGTACATTTCCTCGTGATGCTTTATTTTACACGATGATGCATATAATAATTAAATGTGGTGAACGTGAATTCATTGCTGGTCTCATGATTAATTACAGCAATTTGGCAATTGATTATCTTTTTATGTATATAGTCAGTATACAGTTTACTAAATCCTTTTTCTCAAAAAAGATATATCGATAGTTTACTGTTAGTAGTACTTTACTAAATTAATTTTGCTGGTCTCATGATTACAGCAATTTGGCAATTGATTATCTTTTTATGTATATAGTTAACTGTTTTCAGTATACAGTTTACTAAATTCTTTTCTCAAAAATACATATCGATAGTTTACTGTTAGTAGTACTTTACTACATTAATTTGACGACGATAGGATAGTCACTTTCGTGTCAACAACAACATGCAAATTAAAATGGATAAGTTTTCTTCGTATATTACTATTATGCAAAACCTAAACCCCATTGACCGTAATTACAAGTCAAACCAAAACTATGGCTTACGAATGTTTGTTATCCTAATCA